GCCAGATGTTTCTCATTTCGGAGCGGGGCTCGGGACTCCAAGGCTGAGCTCAGCTCTCGCCATGCCGAGCGAGTCGAGTAGCCCCGGGGAAGCAGCAACAGCAGGGCTTGCAACGGTTGCCAAAAGGGGAAAGGCTTGGGCACGCTTTAGGAGCAGGCAAGGAAAGAGGTTGTTTTGCTTTCCAGATGAAGCCTGGGCTTGAGCGGGTTCCTGAGATCCTTCCGCACCCGGCAAAAATCGCTCAGATCGCTGGAGATCAGAATGCAGTCCTTGCTCCACTGACCTTAAATGGGGCATGCCAGGGAGGTGGTTTCCCATAAAACCCCATCTCTCCAGGTTTCCTTTGCACCCCATAAACTATTTACTCCTGTGCGAAGTCACTTTTGAACCCACGCTGGTGTTACTATTACTGGGGTAAGTGTTTTGAGTCCAGAACCTTAATGATACATACATACATACATACATACATACATAATTTTATTTGTATGCTGACTTTCTAAGATTCAAACCATGCTCCAAGTGGCCTACAACATGAAAAAATACATAACTACCACATAACAAAAGTCATCATAAACACAAAAATACACAACCTAACTGAACAATTTCCACATACGGTGGTACCTCTGGTTATGTACTTAATTCGTTCCAGAGGTCCGTTCTTAACCTGAAACTGTTCTTAACCTGAGACACCACTTTAGCTAATGGGGCTCCCACTGCTGCTGCGCTGCCACCGCCACGCGATTTCTGTTCTCATCCTGAAGCAAAGTGCTTAACCCAAGGTATTATTTCTGGGTGAGCGGAGTCTGTAACCTGAAGCGTATGTAACCCGAGGTACCACTGTAATTCACAAGAACGAAAATAAAGATACAGAAAGCAAGAAGATACAGAAAACTGTGGGATGTGAAACTCAAGAGCAGTCAAGTACAGCATCCCTAGAGTGGACATAAAAAGGCGGTGCCTGGACCAGCCAGTCGGAACTTCCTGTTTCTCCTGTCTGGGACAGACTTCCTCTGCATGTGACTAGAGGTGGGCGTGGCCTCACCTGTGCAGGTAACAAAAGTGTAGGACTGGCTTCCATCTCTCTCTGACTACATTCGTCGAAGAAGCAACATCTGCTTAGTCCAAGGTTCCCTCTTGGCTTGCAGCCAAGAGAGGACAAAGGGACTGTCTCCTTATGGGATAGTTTCCAGGTGTACATTACTTTTCTAAGCTAAGTCTGCCTTCTGGGATGCAATTGTGAACAGAATGTGAGTGAGTAAACTCGTTTTATACTTTTATAGAAGACTGTGTTGTGTCTTATCTTTTATGAGGGACTAAAGGGGAATTACCTTTAAAAACGTATTATTGAGGCTTTAGCGAGCCTGAGCAAACGCATCCACTGTGTAACTTTAAAAAGGGGAATGTTACTCTGCTAAATTGTGGAACTTGTTAACACAAGTTGGAAAGGATGTAATCAAACAATATATCCTCCTGCATCCCTGAACATTGCCACAAAAACCAACAGCAACCCTAAAAGCCCAACAACCCATGACATAGGACTAAAATAGTTGCGTATAAAAAAAATATTCAGGCCCTAGGTAAAATATTTCTGTATTTTGTAAGACACCTTGGGCTCATGTTCTCAGACTTTAGTGTACTATTTGTATACTTGTGTGGCTTATGAAAAAGGGAAGCTTCACAGAAGTGAGTAATTATTTGATGCTGGGTTGGCTACCACAAAGGGCAGGACTTCTTAGTGGTAGCACCCTCATGGCATCTCCCACCTCTGGGAGATCTACACCCTAAAGACAACTGTGTGTGCTGGAGATGGAGCCCTCGCACCCTTGAGGGCTTGCCAACTCGGTAGGCTCCCTGCCTTAACACCAATCAGTGGCACATTTGTGCTGTGGGCAAGAGGGATCCTTTGGGGAGATAGGGGTGGTCAGGTTGGGAATCATCAGAGTATGGAGCCCTAGCCCTTTTGTAAAGCTATGGGTTTGTTTTCTAGATGTCCCTGCAACTGTCTTGGTAACGATGGAGGCAACTGAAATGCCCACAGAGCAATGAAGGCCTCTGCTCAACTCCTCCTGCCTTTCAGTCCCCTCCATCAAGGAGGTCAACAGAAGCCTAGCACAAACAGGAGCTCAATACAGCACTGAATCCTTTGTTACATATCCAATGTCCCAGAACAACTCATTCTCTTATATCAATTGTAGAAAAGTTCATAAATAACTAGCGCTGCCATACTGCCGGATTTCAATGGTGGAACTGACGTTCGAAGGAAATTTCTGAAAGTTCGTCCTTTGTCTTGGATCTTAGACAAGTCAATTGAAAAATTGTGTTTTGGCATATTTGTAAAAAAGCTCAACAATTTTTGGGTTTTCTTTGCTTTTCTTTTTCCTGAACTATGCTCAGATTTTTATTTCTTTATAATTCACTATGGACATATGAGATTTGGTGATAATTGCCATATGCAATTGGCAAGGTTCTTAATTTTCTGCTTTCCTCGACAGGGTTGAAGGCTTATTGCAAAGCCTTGTTAGTACAGACTTCCATGATGGAAAGGAGGTAATCTCTAACGATAGACTGATATAATTATGAAGGCTTATCTGTTCAGGTAGAAGCCGCCTCAAGTGACCAGTATCATAAACTTTGCTTATGAAAATGAATGCCAGGTCAGCTTTTGCAGATTATGATTCTGTAACCTAGAATCATAGAATCATAGAGTTGGAAGAGACCACAAGGGCCATCGAGTCCAACCCCCTGCCAAGCAGGAAACACCATCAGAGCACTCCTGACATATGGTTGTCAAGCCTCTGCTTAAAGACCTCCAAAGAAGGAGACTCCACCACATCCTTGGCAGCAAATTCCACTGTCGAACAGCTCTTACTGTCAGGAAGTTCTTCCTAATGTTTAGGTGGAATCTTCTTTCTTGTAGTTTGATCCATTGCTCCGTGTCCGCTTCTCTGAGCAGCAGAAAACAACCTTTCTCCCTCCTCTATGTGACTTCCTTTATATATTTGAACATGGCTATCATGGGGTGTTAGCCACCCCTCCCAGTTTGGTGTCATCTGCAAATTTGATCAGGATGCCCTTGAGTCCATCATCCAAGTCGTTGATAAAGATGTTGAATAAGACCGGGCCCAAGACAGAACCCTGTGGCACCCCACTAGTCACTCTTCTCCAGGATGAAGAGGAACCATTGATGAGCACCCTTTGGGTTCGGTCAGTCAGCCAGTTACAAATCCACTGAGTGGTAGCATAGTCAAGACCGCATTTTACCAGCTTCTTTACAAGAATATCATGGGGCACCTTGTCAAATGCCTTGCTGAAATCAAGGTAGGCTACATCCACTGCGTTCCCTTCATCTACCAGGCTTGTAATTCTGTCAAAAACGAGATCAGGTTAGTCTGACATGACTTATTTTTCAGAAATCCATGCTGACTATTGGTGATCACAGCATTCCTTTCTAGGTGCTCACAGACTGTTTGCTTAATGATCTGCTCCAGAATCTTCCCTGGTATTGATGTCAGACTGAAGATAATTTCCCATTTTAAACGGTTTAAATTTAGAATGCTTGTTTCTGCTTGTTCTGAATTTTTCCCCTAAACAAGTCTTTTAATATTTTAAATCCCTGACCAAATCACCAAGGTGAGCCTTGACATTAAAGTATATTAAAATTGTTCTAATAGGAAGGCTACAGAACCTGCCCAGTCTACTATGTCTTGTAAATAATAAGTTGTTAAAGGCAGTCTTGTACCAAGGGATGAGGAGAGTGGAGTCATTTGGAGCACTCTGGATTGAAACAATCCTCACTTATTTTTTCTTTTATACATTCTTTCTTTATACCATTTTTTCTTTTATACATTGGTCCACAAGATGGACTAAAGTCAATAGATTTGTGGCTTACAATTCATTTGTTCCATTCAGAAATCGTTTAAAATGTACTGAGTTAGAATAACTGACTTGCTCCCTCCCCACAACATTCACACATATTTAATCATGTGAAGTTCATAAAATGAGTATACCCTATCAAGGGAAAGGCAAAATGCATAATTATCAAACAATCCCAAGCAGGGAAATTGAAAAAGAGAACCAATATAAGGATATGAGCCTTGTCAATACTTTTGACTTTAGCTCGGGTTATTTCTTTAACAGAGAAAGCAACACTTTTGAGTCCCTAAACACTTGCCAATTCTCATACAGTAGTTTAAAACCTGTATACACAAAATTGTCATGTGCTCAATTATTGGACCTGTTTTCTTCTACCCCTGAAAACTACCACAGTAACACATTTCTCAAGAGGAACATGGCACTGCCCTGCCATATTATTGCAACTGTATGGGATGTATCCTACTGCATTTTCCCAATGTGCAATGCATGATCACCCCTTTCCTCTCTAGGAAGAGGCACTTCTTGAAGTGACATAGTAAAAGCAAGATGGAGAAAAGAAAGATACAAGTTGGTTGGCATCCATCTGTCTTGAAATACAGTGAAGAGTGCACCTTCAGGGGTGAAGTCAAACTGTTGGGAGAGTTATAGCCCCTGCTGTGGCTATAGAGACCAATAGAGGCATGTTTTGTTTGAAAGCTTAGGGTGTACAGGAGTACCGTGGTCCTAATTTTGTTGATACAGCAATTCTATAGGATTGCAGCTGTAAGGAAGCAAAGCATCACAAAGCCTTGCTCTGTGATTAGTGGAAAGTTTGATTCTCAAGTACACAGGCATTTGAGAAAAGGCAAAGAAATGGTGCTCAGGAACATTTGTAAAACATGTTCCTCTTTGAAGGCAGAGAAATATACATGAGCAAACAAAGTTAATAGAGTTACCAGATATAGGAAGTAAAAAGCTAGAATCTCCCACAGGACCTTGCTGATCTTCTTTCAGTACCATTCTCTCCAAACTTAGTGCCTGTTTTTCAAGATTTGGTGTAATAAAGGGTGAAACATGAAAGTGTGTGTTTCTGCTTGATGTTGTAGGGCTTGGACAGCTCAGGAACACATGATCCACATTCCACAATCCTGAGAGAAGTCATTTATCACAGCAGTTAAATACACACCCCAAATCCAATGCTCTGAACAATCTGTGCTCAAGTCACTTGAGAACATACAAGTTTGTATTTGCCCAAGACTTTATAATTATACGATTACATAGCAAATCACCTCAAGTTATTCCTCTCTTGTACAACATATACGTATATAAAAACACAGTTCTGAGAACAGAAGTTGCACTCCATCTTCAGGCAATTATTTAGACTGACGTATGTAAAAAGGCACCAGGGGACAGGATTTCAGATGTCCATCAAATCTTTCAGGATTGGCAACACTGCACCAAGTATGAATAAGGAAACTATACTTGTCTGCCTGTACTACTGCAAAGCAGTTCCAAGCCAAGCTCAGCTTGCTCTCCCACCATCCTACCCATTGCCTAACTACCGAGGTGGCCAAACAATTTTCTTATTGGCTCCAATATATTTCATTTTCTTCTCCTAGTCTCACTGCTCATCTAATTATACAACTTCCTGTAAGAGTATTATTATAGTCGAAGTACTTCTGTCACCAGTGATAAAGAACTCCATTGTTGAAGGATACGAGATTTGTTGTACAAGTGCTAAAACACATTATCAAGCTTTCTAGACATGTATCCAGCAGTCTGTGTCTGAACTGTTCATATATAAAGTTAAGTTCTGATATGTCCTGAAAAATGTCCACCTGCAATTTACATTTGATTAGGCAGTTTCCGGCGACTTCCGGGTTGGCGCCTCTGGCAATGGCGGATTTCCTCCGATCGGGAGGAATCTGCTCCGTGGAAAAAAGGGTCTGAACCGCCACGGCGAGGCGGAGACCCATCAAAAACCACAGGTGGGAGAAGCCTGTGGACGTGGGATTCGGCTGGCACCTTTGCGCCCCCCCTACTCGCGGGGAAACCCGGTTTCGGGGATCCGGAGCGACGTGGGGTGAGTGGTGCGGTGCTTTGAATCAACTGCTTCTTTCACGGAGTGAAGCCGCATTGCTGTTGCCGGAGAGCGCTGACTTTTTCCTGTGGACAATTGGATTTTAAATAACTGCCTGTGAGTAGAACAGAAAATTGGATTAAGAAATTTATTTTAATTTGGCACTGAAGCGGGAAGGTCTAAACAGGAAGTCCGCCTTTCCGCTTTTGTAGATAGATTAAAGCAAAGACACGGCAAGCTAGAGTTTAGAAAGTCGTCTGTAAAGGATCAATTTTCATCATTTAAAATTACTGAACCCCCCTTGGAAGCAGGAGAAGAGGGGGGAACTTTTTCTGGACTGTTTAAACCTGCAGAAGAGAGAGTAAAGAAAAGCATTTTTCCACCGTCTTGAACCTGGGAGCGGGGTGTCAGGACAGACGTCCTCGGGAAGTTCATTGACTATAGACAAACGTTTTTGACAGATAGTTAAAAGAAGAGAAACATATTGATTCCATTGTTCCCCTTCGCATCTAAAAGGAACAAAATATTGACAAAATATCTGAAAAAGGAAACTTTGTTGTTAGATCTGCTTTTTTTAAAAAAAGAGATGGATACAAATAGAAGCTTTTTCCCCTAGAGGGAGCTTGCGAAACTGTTATTAAATCTGAACTGGGGAGCTGTGCAGCTGCAATAGATTAAGATTGTGGGATTAGACTCTGACCTTGAACAAGAATGTACTCGGAGGCTCTGGTGCTTGCCTTCTGCAAGACAAGTGCCTTATTGGAACAGTTACATGAGAAGACGGATTTGATGACTGTTGCGATCGGAAATTTTGGACAGGCAGTGGGTACCTATATAGAACCCACTCAGGAATTAATCCAGGAGTGTGCTCTGACAGATCAGATGAGGGAGGAGGTTGTTGCTGGACCTCGGGAGGCAGAGATGGAGGGAACTGTGGCCCAGCAGGAACATGAGTTGTTGGATTTGACGAATGAACCTGGAAAAAGCCAGATTTGGAGAGATAGAGTCTTGTTTGGCTTGGAGATGGGGGGCTGGATAGACCCCCCTATGCAGGGATGTTTTGACCTTTCAAGTCTGGCTTTGGGCCGGGAGGAGTTCGGAGTTGTGGGGGGCCCTTAACTTTGGAGGGACCTTGAAACATGCTTTTAAATACCACATGGAGTTCAGTGTTGACTATGGAAAAGGGGCTGATCTGTCGAGAAGGGACAAAAATATTGTCAAGCTGGAGTCTCCACGAGTGAAAGGAGCAGAAGACAAAGTAAAGTACAGGTATAAATATGAAGAAGACCTGCGGAAGGGACATGGAAGAGATTTAAGAGCCTCGGACATAAGGTTACCAGGTTGATGAACTAGATGGATGGGATAGAAAGGACTGACAAAACCCGAGACCAGGAGGAAGAGACGTTGGATGAAGATTGGAAGAAAGTTTTAAAAAAATTATTTAGGAAAGTTTTGTAAAATTAATGAGTATTAGAAAAATGTTGGAACGAAATTATTTGGCTTTAGCAGAAATGTTAAAAAGAATTATGTAAGAATATGTTATGGTCATGAGAAATTGGTATAAATAAGATTTAAGTTTTACGTTTTAGGGTTTTTTATGGTAAGATAAGGTTAAAATAGATTAAGGTAATTTAATGACAGAATATTATGAAAGATGGAAAGGATTTGCTGAGATAATTAACAACTAGAATACAAAAAAGGGAGGTGCGAGGAGGTCGATGAAATAAGGTAATGACAGTTAAGGATTTGGGAATATTGGATCTGTTTTTAAATTTTTTGTTTATTTTTGCTTTTTGATCTTGATGTATTATGTGTTTTGCTTTTTCTTTTTGATTTTGATTGATTTGTATTGTTTAATTGTTACTTGTTTTTTCCTTCTTTTTTTCTTTGTTTCTTTGTAATCTTAAAATTCTCAATAAATATTATTTTTTTTAAAAAAATGATTAGGCAGCTTCCGTTGAAGTTGTGCTAATCTTTCCACCACCGCCAAGGTGACCCACTTAACATGCAAGTTGTCTGTTCAAAGTCTAGAGGCATCTTTCTAACGTTGCATGACAAGCATTAGCACCAACATTATAATGAAGAGGACCAACGGTTTACACATTTTTTCACTGTTCCCTGCAAACATGGATAACAAAGAAGGGAGTCCAAGTTTACTTCTTCTTTTTTTAGGACAGCCCCCATTTCAGCTTGGAAGCTGACTTCTGCTTTGACACAACTCCACAAAAGATGCAAGTAAGTGCCTCTCATTTAACACCCCCCCTTTTCTTTTGGGATGATTTTTGGAAGAGCCAGACAAACATAAGGAATCAGTTAAAATTACAGAATTTACTACAAGATGGCATGATGGCCACCAAGGGGGACAGCTTTGGAAAGGGATTAGATAAATGCACAGAGAATAAAGCTATCAGTGGCTGCTAATCATTATAGCTACATACTTACCTCCCATATCAGAGACTGTATGCCTCTGGATACCCGTTGCTAGGGATCATGCATAAGAGAGGGCTATTATACCCGTCCTGATTCTAGGCTACTCATAGGCACTTGGTAAGCCACTGTGAAAACAGTATGTTGGACTAGGTGGGTCTTTGGTCTGATCCAGTACAGCTCTTCTTATGTACCAATCAAAGTCATAATTGTAAAAGCAAGTTATAAACATTATCCAGTGTCTTTATTATACTACATGGGATATGTACACAAGTTAAAGCTACAGGTGGATATTTGATTACAGACTTAAATGCCAGAAAGAAAGAAAAAGGAATATCTGTGCAGCATTGACACCATCAAACATTACCAGGCAAGTGCACAGTTCAAAAACCTCTTTAGCATGGACAAGCCCACGACTTAAAACATATTCCCAATAATCCAGTTTTCCAAGCCATCCCCTTTTATTATGAACTTAGGACTACAAATATAAACTAGGTGTGGCTCCTCAGTGTTTGTATTCATTAAACATTGAGAGTCTCTCATGCCTTATTGGAATTTATAGCAGTACCAGAATTATTAAAAACCAACCAACCCTAAAAGGCTATCAACTGAACAAGATCTGAAGGCCACTAGAAAAGCACCCAAAATCTGCCAGCCGTGTGGCCTTCCAGAAAGAGATTTCACTAATCTAGAAATATTTAACATGGAGATGGAGGAACACACAGAACCAGGAGTCCAAGAGTAGCAGATGCTTCATCTTTGGGGGGGGGGGGAATTGCCATCTGTTTTGAGTTTTATCAGCTGATGGAGGCTGGTTCTGAATTCCCATTGGTTGCAGGTTCTTCCTTTTTACCCTCCTCCAGTCCTGGCCCAGTTGTCACAAGATGCTGTATATTCTAGTAGAAACAGAGAGGATAAAATTGACAATCGTATCCTATGCTTTTTTTACAGAAACTGGACCTAGTGTGTTCCTATGCAAAGGATGCAATACAGCAACTCTAGAATCAGGTCATACCCAGGCCAGAGAAGGTGCTTTCTCTCCCATTGTTTGATGTTACTCCCCAGTGAATTGACTATTCCATTCAAACATTCAAAACAGCCAACAGACCATGGGGAAAATTTCCTCTGGGCACCTGCTTGAAACCAATGGCTACTGCAAACCATTAGCCTTCAATTCAAGGCCTGCAGAATGGATCGGTTTTGATTCCTGGTTGGTAAGACAATTAAAAGTCTCCATTTCAGAGGGCATGGGAGGAAAACAGTCTCGTCTTGAGAAAGCAGAAGTGAGAGAACAAATATGCGCACAACAAACAGGTATAAGCCGAACTCATCTGAATATATTTTTAAGCAGAATGCAACCGAAAAAGCAAGAAAACATTAAAGAAATAGTAATAACCCAATCACAGTTCTGGAAACTCAAACAAACAGCATCAGCCACCTGCCAGCTCCTAACCCACTTCCCATCCCTGCATTAATGCGCCAGGCCAGCTGTGCAATGTTACACGGCTGGGGGACAGTCCTCTTCCCTCCTCCAACACATACAATGAGCAGATGGCTAATCCCCTTGACAAACAAGCACGGGTTGCCTTTTCCTTAGGAGCTAGCCTACGCACGTATTCAGGCTGACTTCAAGGAAATCTTTACAGAACAGGCAATCTCATGGGACTTTAGTGGAGGCAAGACCTTCGCCAGCAAACCTTAATTCACTCATTAAAAGGATCTACTGACTCCCATCCAGAACCCCATGCAGGTTCTTCCAAGCCCAGATCAGTACCTGTGAGGGTAGCTCTTGTAGCAACTCTGAAGCAGGAAATGCAGTTTGTCTGGGGAAAAACCCTCTGCCTGGCTGTGCTGCCTGGTTCAAAAGTCCTTGTTGAGCAAACTCTTCACTTGGTGGCACATTTGTGGGGGTTTCAGCAACACTTTTGTTTAACTGGTTCTCAAGAGAAGTAGAAGGATCAGAGAGCAGAGGAGAAGGGGGGCATTGCATGCCATCCCCAACAACATCCAAGTCCTGTCACAGAGAAAACCAAACAGTTTTGAGATGTGGCTAAACAGGGTGTTTCCAGTCCCCCTCCCTTAACCCATTCCTAACAGTATTTCAGCTTCTTCTGAAGGGAAGCAGGAATCAAACAAAGTCAGCATGTGCTGAAAGTAAACATGAAAATCAGACTGACATCCTTATTTTATTAAAAGGCATACAGAGTCTGCTTTTTAGCTTAACAGTCACTTTTGTGGGCAGAGAAAGGAGATACTTACAATTCCAGAACAGCCACTTTGATAAAATGAGACAGATCCTAGCTGCCTCTTGATAAGGTTCTACCTCAAAACAGAATAATTTCAGAACAAATATATGGACACTTCTATCTAGGGAGATTTTTATTTTAACTGAAACAGCAAAATAATGGCATAAATGCCATCAGGGATGATACAAAGCTGCCTAGGGCTTTGCAGCTGGAATCCAATGTAACCCAGAAAGCAGCCGGGATTAAGCCCTAACGTTCCTCTTGGAAAAGACATTAAAGGCCCACACAGAAGCTCATTAATACACTCTACTCCCCACAGAAAATGCCCCCATTTGCAACCACATGATAAAGCCACCATCCCAGTGCTTGCACTTCAGAACAAGTTATATATGAGAAACTAATCTGATCAGTGCTCACTGTACCCAATAGACCTTGCCGAACTATGTGGCAGACCTCCAACTCTCTCCCTACAGTGGGATGTATGCTGCATGAATGGGAAGAGTATGGCCTGATAGGACTCAATATCCCCCATTACACACATCTCCACAAATGTCCTTATGTTCAGCACAAGCTTGACACCCTCACTATTTTCAGAACCACTTTCAGAGCTGGCCCTAGAATGAAAACTGCTAGCTGATTTTACACTATTATTTTTAGAAGACAGACATTTCAGTCAGCATGCTGTGTCTACAATGTTTTGTTTTTTATAAAGTACATAGATTTAGCAAACACACAGGACATCCTAGTAATCCAAGGATTATAACCCACACAAACCCTTATGGGATAGAGAAAAAGCTGCTTTTTTTTTTTTTTTTAAAAAAAAGCTTTTAAATACGGATTTTAAAGGTCTGATGTTTTCAAAGGGTTACAAAAGGTCCAATTAACCCTTTTGTGTTCTAGTCTTTCCCAACAAGATGCCTTTATATGAATCAACAAAATTACTTCACTTAAAATTCAGTCAGGGCAAGGAACATGACAACAGGCCATCAATTCACTGCCCTACACAAATACAAGTGTTTGCTCCAAATACACACTGAGGAACCTATAATTTTGTTCTTAATCTATTTATTTTAAAATATTTATGTGCTGCTTTTCTAGACAAAGCTGAAACTACATATTCCAAAACAGCACACCTCCAAGGAATGTACCACCTCTGCAAGCAGCTGGGAGACCACACATTCCAAGTGTCCCCCCCCACAAAAACCATATGCATATACAAAGTCAATGTATCAAAGAAAACTAGGTTTTCCACAGGTGTAAGTGCCACTATTTAACATGGAGGAGGAAGCATTTGATCATATTACCCCTCCAATCTCTACTTTAGCTCTCCCTTCGCTTTTTATATAAAGAACTTTCAAGTATCTTCATTTTCTCACACCCACTAATCTCTTTGCCCCCCCCCTTTGTTCCTCCAGAAAGTCTTCTATTAATCCAAAATGACATTCTTCGTGCCCCAACAGCCTCCTTTCTTGCTTCTTATGCCGAGAAGTCTCTCGGTAGCCCTCTAAATGTTTGATAAACACTCACCTCCTCCCTTGCTCAATCAGCTTGATCTTGCACCTCTTGAGTTTTCACTCTGTTCCCCTTCAGTTGTTAGTCTATTATTTAGACTGCAAACCTGAGAATAGGGTCTGCTTTATTTTAACGTACCAAATTTATTTAAGTCCTCTAGAAATATCGACAGGCATGGCATTAGCAACCTACTTTTTCAAGTGGCACACTTTTTCCTGCACCCAAATGTCAGCCCTGTTCACCACGCCCATGGTGCCTGCTTCTCCCACATAATCCATGTTTTTGATGTATCAGAGCTCTCCCCCCCTTACTCATTTACATGTAGCTTCAACCCATGTCATTACTGAAGTACTCATACCCAGGTTAGAGGTAACTGTGCCTTCTGAAGTGCCATGGGCAGGTGCCGCATTACAATTCACTTACATCACTGAACTCCAGCGGCAAGCTCTCTGTGGGCCGGAGTTCAGCTGCGCTCAAGTACAGATCCATGGAAGCAGCTTCCAGCTCCTCGGGAACAGACAGTACCTGTTCAGGAACATACATCTGAGGTGGTAGCTGGAGATGGAGTGGGCAGCAGGGGTCTTCGGAGAGGCTTACAGGCACTGGCTTGCTGCAGGGTGCTTCTTCTGACCCTTGGCACAGCTTAAATAGAAGCTGATTGGTATCCTGGCAAATATCTAAAGACGCAGTCAAAGGAGACAAGCAAGATTTGCGAAAAGGCAAGGTCAGCCGTTCCAGGACATAAGAAATAAAAGGAAGTGTTAAAAGCAGACTTTTAGTAAGTCAGCAGGCCCGCCATTTTGTAGGCTTCCTTAAAAATAATGAATAATTTGCAGAAGAGTACATAAGATATATAGAATGGCAGGTTACAGCTCCCTGTTTATTTCCATTTTCCTTGGAAATTCTTCTATTTAGAAGAAAATATCAAGGTGCACATCTGAACTCCATGTGAAGTATCATAGTCTGTACATAAATAATCTAAAGCACCTTAAATTTACTGTAGGAATACACCACCATATTAAGGGGGAACTGCTAGACTTTAGCCTCAAAGTAAAAACCAGCTTTTAAACTCATGGGGCTTGAATTTTTAGTAGATAACTTTTCTTCTGCATATCACAACTAGTAGTCAGCTGTTAGCAAACCAAAAGCAGCTGAATAATTAATGCAGGAGTAGACCACTAGGATAATATAACACAAAGTCAGCAGCAAATTATGTCTAAATTCAGAATATAAGATTTAAGGATCATCGTGGAATTGGAACGACTCAAGTATCCACACATGTGATTCTGAAGGGATCAGTCTTATTTCAGACAGTGGCCTTATTGTAGTTTGAGGTTTGCTTGTTGCTTCCAACTGAATTGGCTGTTCTAGTCTAAAGCAATTGAACAGCCAACAGACCATAGGAAGACATTTCTTTGGGCGCCTGTTTGAAACCAGTGGCTACGACAAGCCAGCAGCCTTGATTCAGGGCCAAAACAAAAAAACAATGAAAAACAAAAGCAATTCAATTCTTCTTCTACTTCCAGAAGTACTAATACAGACAACTGATAGGTTAAAAGGATACGAGTAAGGCAGTGTCTTGTCATTGGAAGAGACTGGTTGGAACATCGAACATCATCCACAAAGGCCAAACACCTCTGGCTAGAACGGGTGGTGTGTGCCTGCAGAGCACAAGATAATTTTGCAGGCTGTTGGTGGAAAAGCTGCTCTTACAGGAATACATTCTTCCATTCAGAAATCAAAATACACACAATAGAGAATCACCTCAACATCTCTTTCCACATGTATTCGTAATAATGTAAGAGGCTGAGCCGATACAATAATTCTGTGCCCTGTTCAAAACAAATAGTGTCATATCTGAAAATCTTCCAACATTTCAGAGCCAATTTATACCCCTGCCTTACTTTCAGAGGAAAATCACAAAACCCACAATTTCTAGCTCTACTGTGCCTAGTAGGTACAGAAGCACAGCCTGACTCAAGTACCTGCTGGGCAGCACCCTCAGTGACCAGCATTCTGCGTTCCTTCAACTGCCGGTGTAGAAGAGCTTCCACACCATAACGCTGCCGATATCGCCTCAAGTATTTCAGCCGTTTCAGGTTTTCACGTTCTTTAGCCAGAAGTCCCTCTGGGCCTGTCAGGAGGCTGCTACCTGGAAGACACCAAGGAAGCATCCTCAAGGCAGACTCAAAGCACTACCCTGATCTTGTAAATCCCAACAGACTAAGCACCTGCTAGTTTGGTGAACCTCTTTTGAGAAGATTATTTTTCACTTGAGCTCAACAGTTCCTTCTTGTTTATAAACCCACATTATATTACATTCAATACAAAATGCACACAAAAACAAATCTGTACCCATTATCCTGTAAAATTGGATCATCAATGTCTTACTATGAAAACCAATAACATTTCACACAATTTTGAAAAAAATGTCTAGGAATAGCACCAAGCCACAAGATTATACTCTACAGGACCCTTTCTATATTTCTCTGCTTGCAGATTGTCCCATGGAATGCTTTAAAGATAAAGGTAAAGGGACCCCTGACCATTAGGTCCAGACGTGACCGACTCTGGCATTGCGGCGCTCATCTCGCTTTATTGGCCGAGGGAGCCGGCATACAGCTTCCAGGTCATGTGGCCAGCATGACTAAGTCGCTTCTGGCAAACCAGAGCAGCGCACAGAAACGCTGTTTACCTTCCCGCCGGAGCGGTACCTATTTATCTACTTGCACTTTGACGTGCTTTCGAACTGCTAGGTTGGCAGGAGCAGGGACCGAGCAATGGGAGCTCACCCTGTCACAGGGATTCGAACCGCCAACCTTCTGATCGGCAAGTCCTAGGCTCTGTGGTTTAACCCACAGCGCCACCCGCATCACTTATGGAATTTAGGCCACCTGCTTTAGGCCACCTTTAAAGAGCAACTGTTTCAAGACAGCTAACTTGTAAAATCTTGTAAAAGAACCTGTGGAATTGATTAGTGGTAGGTGTGAGGAAATCAAGTTTTGAAACTGTGTAGGGAAAGTTACCCAACTGGTGTTATTGGGTAGTCAACTGCAGGTGTATTTAACCAGAGAAAATACTCTTCACCATTTAAACTTCAAGGAATTGTATACTATTTGTTAGCAACTGCAGGAGTTCACATTTCCCTTGATGCTTACATCAGGTTTCCAAAGTCATGTGTGGAACAAGTCCCACACTTGTGGCCCTGCCAGAAGCCTGTGCAAGAACTTTCACTAGTGCAATGGGGCCTTTGCCCCCTTCCCCTAATTGCCTCTGGGGGTTGGGAGAACCCCTGGAAGAGCAGGGGAGGCAGGTCGTTTCATCAGGCAATCAGAAATGTTTGTGCTGACACAGCAACCTGCTAAGTACTACACTGAATTCCTTCCTATGCACTCTCCTACCATTAGGGACAAATGATGCTCAATACTCATAACTAGTATTTGGAAACTTCCTAGCTCATTGGAAGATGACTTTTGAAAACAATTTCAGCAGATATAACAAGAAAGTAATGAAAGATCTACAGAAATACTTGTCAAGCATTAAGCATTCTAGCTCTTGGTAAACTGCTTTCAGATTGTCCTAATGAATTTTAGAAGAGCTTTAGCAAAGCTTCTGAGCTGCAAGTACAGGAGCTGCTGATGTACAGGACAATGGCTGTTTACCTATGGCCTCATGTTCCACCTTGCGGCTGTGTAAGTACCGTCGTTTTTTCTCTTTCAGGAGATGTTGAAGTCGTTTGAACTGATCAATATATAGAGACTGCAGCCGGATGAGTTTTTCTCGCATGATCAGTGCCACTTCCTCAGCAGTGTACACACCAGCATGTCTGCAGAAACAGGATCCAATTTAATAAGGAAGCAATCCAAGTCACATTTTCTCAAGTCATTAAAAAGGAAGAGCCAGCTAAAGTAGTGTCAAGTAGCAAAAGGAAGCCATTTAACAGCAAAGCACTGAATCAGGTAGACCTGTGACCTTCAACAGGAATACTTAGAGCAGGATTTTTGTTAACCTTTTAAGAGAGGATGCTAACTTGACAAACTCAACACAAATACCTGGAACGGCTACAATGGGGATGGCTTGGTTCGAAAGTTAAAACCACTTTTTGAGCCATTCTAAGGCTTCATTTGAGCTACTGTTTGTGATCATAATTAGAGAGGTTAGGGGATAACATTTCTTTCATAACTGTAACCTGTCCAACGCCTTTAGGAAACAACAAACAACTGCTGTACATTCTGGGGGCTAGCACATGGAAAAGGGTGCTTTCACACATATATGAATGAATGTATGTATGTGGTGATGCTGGTTTTATATTTTAGTTACAATTTTCTCAAACTTGAGAAAGTTTTAACTTTTAAATGCAGCCTAAATTTATTTTTTAATTAAAGTCTGAAAGTCTCTGGGGACAAAGGAATTCCCAAAGTCTATTTTTGGACTTCTCAAAAAACAGAACTGACAACAAAGATTGCATTTTGATAGAATGGCTATACTGTATCTGCTCCAGAAGTGCAAGGATTAAAATATCCACCTGTCCTCTAATCATTCTCTTATATGGTACGTCACCCAAAGGCCACCACATTTTTCCTGAAGGTGACTTATATTGGAATGAAGTTCTCAGGATTTCATAATTCTGATGTGTCATACAACAGCAATTCACCATTCACATGACTCACTTAAGGGGGTCCTCCTGGTCACTGTCAATGCTATCTGCTTCACTGTCGGGATCTCCTCTCCATGTCTGATCTACAGTAAGAGGTTCCTGCTCTCCATCACTCCAACTGTCCTCATCTGAATGAAAAATAACCCATTTGTTATTTGGAGAAAAGTATTTTTAAGGATCTAATTCATGTGGGGAACCCTGGAGCATATGCTGTGGATGCGTCTTGCATTTAGAAGGGCGGGGAAGAGAGAAGGAAGGCCAAAAGTTGGAGGAAGGTGGGGGGAGAAAAGGGATGGTCCTCCAACTAATTCTGGTTTCCATTGCCCAACCGTTCTACATAATCTTCAGAGACCTAGCCTTGATCACAGAAACAAACTGCACACTACTATAACCAGATTGGGCACTATGCTGCAAGCCAGCCATATAAACATTCTTCCCCTTTCCCAGTACACTGGGCTGCTCATCCTACGCCAAAGAACCAAGAGATTTGGGTTTTTGTTAAATCAAAAATTAGCATTCATGACCACATATATAAGGTGGAGCATAATGATAAATCAGAAATCAGAAGACAAGGAAAATTGGAAGTTTACCAACTTTATGATTCTGCAAATCTTTTCCCATCCACAGTTCAATAAGTTGCCCATCCTGACATTTTGGCCAGCAGGTTATAAAAAGCAGCATTGGGAAGGGCATGTAACAAAAAACAGCTTATATAAAACAACACTGAGTGAAAAATCTAACACCCACGGCTTCCATCTTCTCTCTTGGGTGGCTTTTACTTTTCAATGATAATTAAAAATATTTTTAAGTTAGGATGTAACAGACCCTAGCCTTCACACCCTATTTTAATGACCAGATCAATGCCGTCACCACCTATTCCACTTACCCAGTATTCTGCTAGCCTCGCTGCGGCTACTCTCTGAAGTCTGGGAGCCCAGCTCTGTCTTGGCATAGGAGCTCAGCTGACAGAGTAGGGACTCCCGCACAGGACTAGGGTTGGACTTCTTCATCTGAGCCTGCAGTGCTAGGGCATTTCTACGAGCATGTTCAGCACAAAACGATACCCTAGATGGGGAGACAAAAGAGAAACCAACCTTTCGTGGCTCCCAAATACAAACCTTTTCTAAAGTAGTACTGATAATAAAACAATAAGCAGTAAGTATGTTTTCATTTTGTTTATAGTGTAGAAATGAACACAAAACCTGTTGATGGCAGCCTAGATTCTGAAACTGAGCAAATCATGTACAACAGCTGAAACCATTGCTGGACCAGAATAGCTTGTAACTGCATTACTTCTATGCAGTGTATGTGGGGCTCTCTTTGCGGTTGACTCTCAAAAACTGTAAATTATGCAGAATGCTGCAGCAGGACTACTAACAGGAGTGTGAGCCTACCACAATTTTATTAAAATCTGCACCAGCTACAGATTTTTTTACTGGGCCAAGTTCAAGACTTTACTATTAGTATATAAAGCCCTTAACTGATTAGGACTACTTTACTTGAAGGATTTCCAATGCCCATATGCGCCTACTTGACCTACTTGACAATTTTGATCTGTGGAACTTGTACTTCTACAAGTGCCATGTAATGTTCGTTCTGAGTCTACTAGGAGTCAGTGTAACAGTGCAGTAGCTTTGGATTTCCCTGTGTATTAACATTAGGAAAGCAGTCTTGCTATGCTATTTGATGCCAGTTTAAAACTTTTTGATTTCAGCAAGCCTACCCACTGAGCCTAGGGCTTGCTGATCCGAAGGTCGGCAGTTCGAATCCCCGTGACGGGGTGAGCTCCTGTTGTACGGTCCCAACTTCTGCCAACCTAGCAGTTCAAAAGCACGTCCAGGTGCAAGTAGAGAAAAAGGTACCACTCCAGTGGGAAGGTAAATGGCATTTCCGTGCACTGCTCTGGTATCGCCAGAAGCGGCTTAGTCATGCTGGCCACATGACCCAGAAAAACTGTCTGCGGACAAACGTCGGCTCCCTCGGCCAGTAAAGTGAGATGAGCACCGCAACCCCAGAGTCGCTCGTGACTGGACTTAACTGGCAGGGGTCCTTTACCATTTTTTTACCCAGACACGTTTAGTTACCTATATTTGTGTTTTTAATATTTGTTGATCTACTATTATTGATAAGTGTACTTTTTAAGGTTTTACATAAAGCACTTAGAGGGAGATTTTTATTAAGCAGTTTATAATTTTTTCTAATAAAATAAACACTCCATGGCAGTTTGTTTTTGCTATGCATACAAGGTAAGCAGCCACTTCAGAAATTGATCTGGATATGCCACCTAACAAAGGCATGCCCAAAGCAAGGACTCATGCAATAACACAACAGGCACCCTCATTTGAGGAGGAACACTTGGTACATCTCACAACTTGCGCAGGTTTAAGTTATGTGATTTCAACTGTACATGGATGAAGCCTGGCCAGCTCTCCACACAAAATCTGAACATACGTAACACATACCCATCCTTTTTCTCAGGTTTGGGAGCTGCGCTTGGACATCTCTTCCCATTCTTAGTGGAAATGTAGCTGCACTGCTTGAAAGGCGCATTCCTGTCTTCAAGAATGTGCTTTATGCAGAACTCATGTCCTTCCAAACGAGGCTGGGAGCACGGCCGATGAGCAAAGGCACATGACAAGGCCTCTTGGGGCCTTGGCACAGGGGTGAGTCGTCCCCGACTTGAAGGCAACACGTGGATGCGAATTCTGTTCATGCCAGCGTCTGCAAGGAGCAAGTTATGAATTTCTGCAGCACCACTGCCACAGAGGGTGTGAATACATAACCATAAGAACGCGGGGGGGGGGGGAGGGGACCTGTTAAATCTATCAGTTTCCAGGCACAAGATTTCAACCTTGGCCTTCCTCAGCTTTATCGAATTACGAAGAAAAAAAATATCCAAACCCCATCCATGCTGCTCCAAGTTTTGGGAGAGGAAAGCAACGTAATGGGGTCTCGCCCCCCACCCTTCCCATTATGGCCCTTTTCCTTCTTTTCAGTTATTAGGCCAGACTTCTTGATTACCCGTTTCTTCCCTTGTGGTTAAATTAATATATATATAGCAGGTAGTGGAGTGTGATGGCAGGGGGGGGGAGAGAGAGAGAGACAGCCGTTGTAGAAAATAGAAATGGGGAAATAAAAGAGTTATTATTTATTCTGGTAAGGCGCGCGCGCACACACTTGCTTAGCTCCCCTGTGGGAAGAGCTGCCCACCTCCCGCCAGGGGCTTCGCCCGACCTCCCACCCGCGGTCGCAGCCGCCCTCAGCAGCAGGGAATCCTTGCCCTTCGGCTCTCGTCTCCAAACCACCAGAGCCCCACGGCACAGGCCTGGCCAACGAAACGCCCTTCCTATGTGGAGCAGTTTGCCCACAAGAAGCGGGAGGAAAGGGAATAAAAACGAGACATAAAAAAACAACGCCTCACCTTGGTCATTCCCGCCGCCGCCGCCGCCGCCATCTTAACTTCGCCTCGCGCTTCAGCAACTCCTCCCGCTCGCCATCGCAAGCCAACCCGAACGGGAGGCGGAGAGCGGGGACAGCATTGGTCGAAAGGTGCGTCGCTCAAGCGAAAAAGCCCGCCTCTCTCCCTCTCCCCTCCACGCCCAACGGCGCGCAGCCAGTGGGAGGGACCCCACAAATTTACTGGCTGTAGCTGCTGCCGCTCACGGTCGCATCACGTAAGAGGGCGGGGCTTGAATTTAGATGCTGACTGCCTGACGTCGCGCTGCGTTCAGGCTGGGGAGGAGCGGGTCCAACATGGCGCCCTCAGACACGACTTCCGTCAGTCGCAGCCAGCCTGGCCAAGGGATACTTATAGTTTATTTGTTGCATATTTATCCCACGTTTCCTCTAAGGAATGGGCATGTGGGATGAATTTTAATGGGTAGGAGAGGATATAAAGGTAAAGGGACCCCTGACCGTTTGGTCCAGTCGTGACCGACTCTGGAGTTGCGGCGCTCATCTCGCTTTATTGTCCAAGGGAGCCGACGTTTGTCCGCAGTTTTTCCAGGTCATGTGGCCAGCATGACTAAGCCACTTCTGGCGAAACCAGAGCAGCACATGGAAATGCTGTTTACCTTCCCGCTGGAGTGGTACCTATTTATCTACTTGCACTTTGAGGTGCTTTCAAGCTGCTAGGTTGGCAGGAGCAGGGACCGAGCAACGGGAGCTCACCCCGTCACGGGGATTCGAACCACCGGCCTTCTGATCGGCAAGCCCAAGAGGCTCAGTGGTTAAGACCACAGTGCCACCCGCGTCCCTAGGAGAGGATATACTGGTTGCAATTTATCCCTCCAGGTGCCCACGCTGTGTGAGTTGAAGTGTTTTTCAAAACGCCACCATTGGTGGCAAAATTCAAAGCATAAGAATAAGGCTGCTAAACCTTGTTTTGAACAAGTCTAGCTATGAAATAAGCTGACCTCCCTTTCTTATTCCGGTTAATAAAGAATCAGGCAACTACTTGAGAATTTTAAAAAGATTTACCTACATTTATGATCATGGACTGATTCACAGTACCAGTAAAATCTATCCAGACAAAATACTTATATGAGAGAGGATATTGATGCTATAAATATGAAATTGGCAACTGCTAAATATGTGTTATGATGAAATTCAGATTGGAAGGTGTCGAGGAAGTCTTTTAGTGATGTAAATATACCAGGGAATAAGAAGAAAAAATTATTTTATTTTTTGTGTTTTTATTGTTAAGTTTTTATGTTGTGTTAAATGTAATGTCTGTGTTTATGTCTGTGTGCTATAACCAGTAATTTTTTTTGGGGGGGGGAATAAATATATTTGCAGCTTCATACATGTTATACTAAAGCTGGAGCAAGCAGAGGGATACCTGCATCCAGCCTGGTCAAAGGAAGTGAGGAACAGGAAATACTATATTGCTCTCTCTTCTCCAGGTGAAGAGGGGAAATGACATCACAGAGTCTCCTCTCTACCAATTGTATTTCAATGGTCTGAGCATTGGCCTATCAGCAATCCAGTTCTGTGGAATTAGCCCCTCCCCTCTAGCTAACTAGCTAGAATATGTATTTGTTAGGTTTGGCTGCTAATCTCCCACAGGTCTTACATAGTTCTCCACATGCTGGGAGTTAAGAGGACACCCGCATTAGCTACCTCTGTATTATGGGACTAAAGCCCATTTTCACCAGATATGTGGAATATGACCCTCAAGTGGCAGGTGTGTGGGCAAAACTTTGAATTTATCACAAAACAAAACAAAAACCTCAACAACTTTGGTCTGTCCCAGGCACTGGCAGGCGTTGCTACGTTGCCGAGTATTGGTTCCATTATAATCATGGGCATAGTCGTAAAATGAAAAGGTGTAGGACATGGTTTAAGTGTGCTTTCTCCCTATACCACCCATAACCCCCTTCACTGGCAGAACAGCTCCACTGGCATATTGGGAGACTTCTGCCAGAGCACATGTCGTATCAGTGCTATCAGGCCAGAGGTGGCAACAAGAAAACGGGCTTCTTCAGTAGTGCTCCCTTATCTAAGGAATGTTTTCCCAAGAGAGGCTTACTTGGCACTGACATTGACATCTTTTGGTGCACTAGACAAACTAATCTCTTTTTCCCCAGGCATTTGTTTTTATTTGTAATTGTCCGTTTTCCTTTAGGGGTGTGGTGAAAGTTTTGTTATTAATGGTTTAAGTAACTTACAGTATTATACTTGACTTTTTATTATTTTTCATGTTATTTTGTGCATTTTACTATTATTTGTTTAAGTCACTTAGAGATGTTTCCCTAAAGCAGGGGTGGCCAACTCCCAAGAGACTGTGATCTACTCACGGAGTTAATCATGATCAAAGTTGTTGAGCTTTTTTTAGGGGATGCAGGGCAGAAATGGGCCTTTTTTAGGGGACCCAGTGATCTACCAGGAGACTGCGTTCTACCTGTTGGACGTGCCTGGCCTAAAGCAACAAGTATGCATAATAATAGTCCAGTCTCTGGCAGTATAGGCAGGCTTCCACCACTATAGGATTGCATCCTAGCAGAATTGTTATTGAATTGGCAGTCCATACTATCATGGCAGTTCATGCAACTTTCAGTATACAGTGGTACCTTGGGTTAAGAACTTAATTTGTTCCAGGGGTCCATTCTTAACCTGAAACTGTTCTTAACCTGAAACACCACTTTAGCTAATGGGGTCTCCTGCTGCCGCCGGAGCACGATTTCTGTTCTCATCCTGAAGCAAAGTTCTTAACCTGAGGTACTATTTCTGGGGTAGCGGAGTCTGTAACCTGAGGTATCACTGTACCTGTATCATTATTTACATTTAAGCATGTTCTAAAGCAAACTTCCTTACATATTTTAGAACAACGCGCGCGCGCGCACACACACACACACAAACAGGATGAGGAACTAGAGCTACATGTTGCAATTCTACAGGGGTCAGAGGGAGAAAAGTAAGCACAATTAAGGTTCTTGGAAATCTAAGCTTTCATTAATAAAATATAGGTTCTAGCCCTTATGGCTGCAGAAGTATGTTGTGCTTGAAAATGCATGGGCCATACCTGCTGAAAACATATACCGTAAGCCAGTGGTTGCGGGGTGGAGCGTCAGTGCCCTGCAGAGTTCATTGCCCAGCCCAGCAGAACCAGAATTTTGCAGTGAGTAATAACAGAAGGTTGCTAAAAAAATTCTTTTGTGTAGAATTTCGATTGCCTAAGAATGGAGTTTAATTTATTTTCTTTTAGGTTTAATTCAGGAGTAGGAATTTTGCCCCCCCCCCCGCCATATGCTGTTGAACTATCAGTCCCATCATCCCTAACCACTGACCATGATGGCTAGAGTGGATTGGATTTGGAATCTAACAACATCTGGAGAGCCACAAGTTCCTCTTCACTGATCTAAATACAGTGGTACCTCGGGTTACATACGCTTCAGGTTACGAACTTTGCTTCAGGATGAGAACAGAAATTGTGCTCCAGCGGCACGGCAGCAGCAGGAGGCCCCATTAGCTAAAGTGGTGCTTCAGGTTAAGAACAGTTTCAGGTTAAGTACAGACCTCCGGAATGAATTAAGTACTTAATCTGAGGTACCACTGTATATGCAAGTCCTGGCAATAACTCAGTTGGAAACAAGTACCAACTATTTACTTTAAGTTACTTCCTCCTAATATATAACCGAGGTGACCAAGAAAAAACTACTTAGTACTTTTGTTTCGATTTGCATAGCTTATTTCTGAAATGCTCATTACATATTTGTGAATCAATAAAGGAGTGAATGCATTGAGTATAAGGGATGTATAATATACAAATGATGGGCTATTGAACATTTAGTTTCAAACTCCCCAAGTGCCAAGGAAATACTAGTGCATACCTGTGCCACCAAGCTGCCCGAGGCAAGAATATTCCGTTAGAACACTCAGTTCAAAGATGTAGTGAGCATTAATCAGGTAGGCATCACTCCAGTGCAACTGTCACTCATTTAAATGAGGCTCACACAGGAACCTTCAGCAAGCCCCACAAACATAATAGATTGTGTTAATCAATAGCAGTTGACAATTGATCACCTGAAAAAAATCTAGTCATACCTTGGTTCTCGAACGTAATCCATTCTGGAAGTCCATTCAACATCTGAAAACATTTGAAAACCAAGGCGCAGCTTCTGATTGGCTGCAGGAGCTTCCTGCACTCAATCGGAAGCCGCATCGGACGTTCGGCTTCCAAAAAACGTTTGAAAACCGGAACACTTACTTCTAGGTTTGCTGTGTTTGGGAGCCAAAACATATAAGTACCAAGACATTCGAGAACCAAGGTACGACTGTATTTCTTTTGAGATATTAAAAAACTATTGCAAATGGCAGACTCTGGCTTTTCCCCATGCCCAGCAACATCTTTTTTATCTTCCACACTATTTTATCTAATATGCAGCTTGAAGATGAGTTCCAATGATCTTACAAGGTGGCTTACTACTTTGTGAAAAGTGGTATTGTGCTACTGCTACCGGGGGGGGGGGGTATAATTTGCCCAGCATGGCCACTTCCCTCTGTCTGCCCCACTCCCCAGACTACTGTAAGCAGAAAACTGGTGCATATGATACAAGGTTCTTTCCCCAATGCTTCTGTACAGATTTTCTCTGCTGTATATAAATATTGGGATGCGTCCAAGGCAGTTTGCAACTGTTGAAATATAGAACAACAGACAAATTGTGGAGACAGTACATTTATTGAAACTTAGAATAGTAATAATATGAGCTGGGAATTAGAAAGTTTCTGAAAGATTATGTGAAACCAGAGCCAAAGTTTGTGACCATCAACAGCTGAGACACCATTGCTTTAAAAATTAAGAGGTGGTGGGAAAATAGTTATTGTTCCAAATTAAGAGAAAACACTTCAATAAAAACCAAACAGATACCCACAGATGAGTGTCTTTTGTTGTTTTAAACATGATACACTCTATCTAACCAGCAGCAATTAAACTTTTCTCACATGAGACTGCAGACCTAGGCCATTGCTAGCCTTGTTTGTTCACAACTTTTAGTTGCTATTAACACACTGGAATAGATTCCTATTGATATGTATTAGTCAAAGCATTCCATTCCAGCTAAGAAAACCACAATGCTTTACACCACACAATCCTCCAGATTTTAATTTGGAAGTTTCTTCAGAGCAGTGGGAATGCCCTGAAATACTTTGCTGAACTAGGAAATGTATACTCAAAGGACAGCAAAGCTGGGATTTATGAGTACCAACCAAGTGTTCAGTCCAATTGTTATGATGCGACAAACCAAGGCTGAATCCTGTCAAATGAACAAGCACTCAGATGTCATCTACAGAAACACTAAATATATGGCCACTTTTAAAAAGAATAACCCCATTTAACTTTAACACAGTACTGGAGAATCAGGTCAGAATGTTATGCCTTTTGCGATACAACCTTAGGCTGGAATATGTCTCTGAATCAACTTACACAGGGTCAATTCCCACATTTTCCCGTAGATCTCAACGTCAGGACACAGTAAACCTGGCCATAGGTTTATATTGTCGGCAGACATCATTAAATGAGGAGACAAGCAAGTTCCCATTTATTCATCTAGGTTTTACCAGCTCTTTTCACTCCTCTGTTCTCCAATCCAAATATGCCTGATTCCACTCACTGCTGTCTTTACAAATACTTTGAAAAGCCTTTTCTGCTTCTAGCAAATATGAAAATCTCGTATCCCATAATGCAGTTTAAGTACAATTTAAAGCATCCCAGAATCACGATTACTGTTCTAACATTCACATTGACTTTCTGCCTCCCTTCCCACTCCTCTTCCCAAACTAACCCCCACTTCCAGATAAGTTGCTGCAAAGACCCTCTTTTTTGAAGGCACCCTCAGAGTTCCTGCAGGAAGACACAGTCCTGACCAGCTTTATGATGCAGTCCCAACAAAATTATTTTCAATGCCTTATGCTAGGTGGGACACACAGTAGCAGGGCACCCAAATGGAAGAAATGTGGTCAAGGCAGGAAGTGAAAGGTTAAGGAAGACACGTTCCCACATCCTTCCCGCTCAGCAGGAAGGGCTGGACAAAGCCAGAAACTAAAACACACACTTTGCTGTTTCCAAAGTTTCTTGGAAATACGGGTCTGCCATCTGTCTCCACACTCACTGGTGAGCAACCAAAAACCACAGTAGGGAGAAATTTGGGGGTGGGGGAACTCCATCCCCTACCCAACCATTACGCTTCTAGTTAATGTTCATGCCTTCCTCAGAGAGTTTTCATGCCTTTTCATCCTATCAAACCTTCACTGCCTTCCATTCAGAGGGAAGCAACTTCCACCAGGACAAGTAACACTTAAGGAGCGAGCAGAGCCCATGAGCCCTGCCTTCATTTCAGTTTCTGCTGTAATCCCCTTCCTTTGTCCACCTTAGAAAAATAAAATCAACACTAAGAACATATATAACTTATTTTTAAATTATTTTAAATGTCTTTTAGGAGAAAGACTGCAACAATTTTAAATAGCCCTATGCCATCTCCTGTTGGTTCACGACCTTCAAATCAGTCTGACAGGAAACAAATCCCCATTTCTTTCCAGTAGGACTGGAGGGGAGGGGGAAGCACATGGAGAAAGATGGGTGCATCTTTTCACAGCTTCAAGGGCTCCACATTCTCATACCAATAATAAAAATGTTTTAAAAAGGGGTTCGGGCATTCACACAAGGCAGTGGAGATCACTACGAGCAACATGCCCTCAGCAGACAGCAGCCCAACCTCAGTAGTTAAAAACGGGAATCACTTGGGAAGAGGCGGCAGGGGAGGGGGAGGTTCTGAAGGTAGAGGGGGCGGCCGGGGTTTATCCACACTCGCAGCAGCCCTGGGGTTCAAGTACTCGCCATATGAATGTACAAAGTCAAAGGTGGGAGGCTGGGTGGGTTGCATGCCCTGTGCGCTGAGCAAGGAGTGCAGCATGTTCACTGTATCCTGGTAATCAATGGCCTGGTTCATGTTATGCCCGTTGGCCCCGGCAGTGCTCTTGTCCAGTTTCCCAGGAGCCCCTCTGGTTTTGCTGCCCTGGACAAAAGGGAGACCAGCTGCATCCAAGCTGTGCGCAGGGTGCTGGGGAAAGGGAAACGGCATGGGGGGCCCTTTTGAATTCTTGCTGATTTTCGGCTGATGTTCATGTGCTGCAGCTGAGGCCTCCTCAGAAAGTGGTCTCTTGCGGAAGGAACAAATTGGGACAAAGCCTTTATGGGATGCAATGCCACTTTGGTTACCATGCTTGGAGTCCACTGGCCGCTTGGTGCTGGCAACAGGTTGTGCATGTGAATGTTTGTGAGAATGGTGGTTGTGGTGGTGGTTAGAAGAATGGACCTTATGTTTTTCCTTGTGCTCTCCTCGGCTCTTGCCGCTACTTTCATCAGAAGAGCCCGGCCGTTCTGACAGAGTCGGCACCTTGATGCGCATTTTTATTTCCTCCGGTTTGGAGGAAGAGACAGCAGGTTTGTCCCCTGGTGCAGTCAGCCGAACTTTGAGGGCAGATGAGGTCTTATCAGGCTTTTCAGTGGGGAGCCGTTCAGAACCATCAGAGCTGCCACCCAATGGGATTTTCAGAATGATGGGAGATGGGTTATTCTCTTGCTGCTGCACATCCCGTTCCCGCTGCTGTTGCACAAGCAGGTTCTGAGCAGCATAGGCATATTGAGAACGTACATTTGCCTCCATGTTTTCCAGCTCACGTTTCTGTGCAGCTAGCTCTTCAGCATGTTTGGCACGATACTCCTTTAATGATACTTTTGCCAATGGTGCACTTTTAATGCTCTGCTTAGAGAAGGGGCCACTACTGTTATCGAGATGTGGATGATCTGTGCTGGAAGACATTTCACTGGCCCTGTGGCTGACCTCCAATTTATGTGACGGGTGTTGAGCCATCCAGCTGTCTGCTGACATCACATCTGTGCCAAGGTCCCCTGGAGAGTCGCCTGCTGCACCTGAAAGCGAAGCAAGGCCTCCAGCTGTCGAGGAAGTAGACATGCTCATCAGACCTGCAATGGTTGTGTCAGAGGAGCTTCTGGAGATCATGCTGAGAATGGTCTGTTCTGAGAGGCAATCATCATCACCTTGATCATCAGTCTTTGATTTCCTAGCTGCCTGGCAGGCCTAGGGGAAAAAACAAAAGCAGTACCAACTTTAGAATGCCAGATCTCTCTCCTGGACAGAGAAAGGAAGGAAGGAAGGAAGGAAGGAAGGAAGGAAGGAAGGAAGGAAGGAAGGAAGGAAGGAGCTGCCCTGTTTTGTTGCAGCTGTCCTGTTATGCCATTTCCATAAACATTTTTTTCATTCACAAATTGTCTTGCAAGAAAATAGAATACATCGCATTTCAACAGCATACAACATTTGATCCTGCCACTTTAGAAAATTCTATAATGGAGAAGGCTGCAGTAAGGGGGTCTATACACCCCAGCTTCCTGTCTGATGAAACCTTTGGATAATTCAAAAAAATATAGAAGGGTTTATGTAGAGAAGCATACACCTCTTGAATATTCATCTCCTCACAGCTAGAAGATGTTTATTATACATATATTTCTGCATTACTTATCAAACTGAAGAGCACACACAAATTTTGCCAAGCCATGCTCAGAGTGTGCAGAGGACCTTACCCGCCAATTCCTGATTCGTTTCAGCCGGTTAGGTGTTTTTTCAAGGATCTGCAGGAATTCATGAGTAAGTTCTGCAAGATAAACACAAGAACACCAAGTAGTTAGAGGCGTGGAATTTACAAGCCAGAACCCAAAGGGTGCTTTAACTTCTGCCCTTGCCAGCAACAGATGGAGCAGTCCTGGGACTAATAATACTGGCTCAAGTTATCAAATTAATCCCACTTAATTTTTTATTGCCATGCTGGAAACCTTGGTGAGAATGTCCCTTAGAAGTATGATATCAAGGTAATAAAATACCTCATTGTGCATGGGAATGTATTTGACCTTGCTCCAAACTTACCATCCAAGAGTTCCAGAGTTACAGTGCCATCAACGTACTCCCACCAGTGCTTCCCGTCCATGGAGACTGGGATCTCCCAGTTGGACCACTTACAGGCCAAGTGGATGCAGACGCAGGCCACAACGGGAGGGGTGTACTGCAGGCTGAAGGTGGTTAGGTGAAGGCTGACATCACCAGCAGGGAGAGAGAAACAGAAAGCTGTAAGCTCCCAAGCCTGAACGGCAGCAGCACACACAACCGCCCGCTGGACAGACACTGCAAGAAGTGAGCATCCCTCAGCTTTAAAAGCCTTAATTATCCTGCATCGTCAAGCAGGTCCTGCTTAAAACAACACTGTTTCAGCCTTCTTCCACGAGGTTTTCCAGGAGCTCCCGTCAGCCTGGAGCTCCAGGACCCCCATACGGCCAACAGGGCGGGCAAAGGGAAAATGCTGCATTTGAAGTTACTATTTTGGGGTTCCACAGGGCTGGATTATCCAATAGCACCAGAGAACAATCTCAAGAGATTTGGGCTACTTGGTTCTTTTTCAAAGGAATTTTATTTACCGGGCCAAAAAGTGCCAGAAACCTCCAGATACGACAATCTGATCAGTGATGGCAGTAGATTTTTGCATCAGATCCAAAAACCAACAGTCAAGCAGTTGTGCATTAGACAAACTGTAGTTCCCTTTAAGCTTTGGCCAATTCCACAGAGCATCAAACCATCTTGCATGACAACAACCTAATAGGAATGGGCCCCAAAAGCCTGATAACAAAGAGATGCTGGCAAGATGCTACTTTACTCATGGTACATTTCTATCCCAACAAACTTCTGGAGACACACTACAGGGCAAGGCATTGATTTGTAAATGGTGTCTGCTGGGACAAAAGTGGTCCTTGGGAGATGCGCCAGCTGCTCTTTCCCGCCCCTACACCAGTTGCCTGGGATGAAAAAAAGGTGCGGAGGAAGACGCAACTGCTGTGGTGATGGGACTTGCAAGCAGCGTTTTGAGAAGGATGAGGCCTCAAGCCCATTCCATCCCCCTCCTTCTAAATAAATTAATCTCCAGCAGAATTAGTACTCTTTGCATATTACACATCAGCTGACTATATACTCTGCAACAAGGTAACCCAAATAAGCAAATCTACATGTATGTTATTTTGCATTTTTAAAATTCAATTGCTACAAGTCAATGAGAAAGAAGAAATTAGAAAGAGAACTCAAACCCCATTAATTGGTCACAGGAAGGCCTATGTATCTACTCTCTGGCTTCTGAAATTTCACAAGGCACAACATATGCCACCAAGTTTCTATATGCCCTACTTTAAAAAAAGAATAGTAAAATCCTCAGGATGCTGACTGCTGTTTTAGACACAAAATTCCCTACTTCAGTCCTCCATGAAGTACAAAGCTGAAACATTTAAACAGCTGCATATACCAGGCCACATCTGAATTCAGAGAAAACTAGTTTGTATGAGTGTCTGAAACACTGTCAAGAAGAGCACTAAACTGAGCAATGGTTATCAGAACAAAATCTAAACATGAAATATAAAATCTATAGAACGGCAGCCTTAGCACACAATATAGTTCCAAAAAGTTATTTCAACCATGTTGCAGGGTTCAAATACTGAAGAGGCATTTCTCTTCTGGAGAATTCTAGATTGAAAAAAAGCCATCTCAAGCCAACAATTTAGCTTCTTCCAAAAGAAAATCTAATTCTTTTCATCTCAGATGAATGCTGCTAAGTGTTCACTAACTTCTAGATGGAAAGATCCAGTCCGATCCACACTTAGTAGCAAAGCAATTTTAGCCTGGAATTATAAATAGCCAGCCACCTATGGCAAGCAAGAATTGTTTCAGGGTAACGAAGCAGGAAAATCCTAATAAAAGCTGTTTATTTTTTGGTTTAGGCCACAAACATAGGCTAGTACATGGGCTAGTAGCCTTGTCAACTTATTTTCTAGGAGATTTCTTCAGAACAAAACCTTCATTTATTCTGTACTGCCCTGATATTCAAACGCGCAATAAAGCATTTCTTCTATAAGTTTAGAAGGATGTTCTTCTGCAATTGTCAATAACTACATTCCCAAATTAAAAAGCTAATAAAAGTGAGCCTTCAACACGTACCTGTTGGTAGCCATGAAGTAGGACGTCTGTGCCAGATCCTTGCTGGCTGAATGAAAAAAGGAAAACCACATGTTAGTGCTGCAAAGCACCTCTTTAATATACAATAATATGTTTCTATTGGGAAATAGCTCAGCATATTGAATTTACTTTGATTATATATATACTCATCAGCTGTAAATGCCCACTTTAATACTGCCATACTCTGAAAGCTTGTATCCAACTCATTACCACCATATTAAGCCAGGGTAAGGGGTGAATATTTAGTATAGCAACACCCTCTCTGTTTATTTTACTTGTTCCTTTGACTAAGAAACAATTTGTCGGCTAAGAAACGCAACCACTTCTGTGTGAAAGTGTCATAAGTGTCATAAGTGCTGTGCCAGAATCACAGCAGTGTTGAATCACTGCTTACCTCGCACTAGCTGTGTGCATTTCACCACATGAGTGTGAGGATGATCTATGGTGATCTCAAACCCTGGAAGAAAAACAGGTGACAGTTAGGTCATGGATATAACATACTTGTGCTTCTACATACCACAAATGCCTCTGGATCCTGGGAGGCAAGCAGATTGCTCATTCTTCCCCATTAAAGCTCATGCTGTGTGTTCAGTCGCAAGCAAGCAAGAAAGCACAATATCTTCCTAGGTTCAAATGAATCTGTTATCCAGCACAAGAAAATGACAGAAACGTCTAGCTTCTAAGGCAACCATATTCTCTGCTGCAAATATACTAAAATACAACTGAACATTCTAAATCAGAAAACTAACCTGTATTAAAACAACAGGAAAAGAAAATTCTACAATCTACTGAAAGAGGGCTTTTCTTGTCACTCCAAACACCAACAAGCAATGTTTTCCTCTTAAGCAACAGATGCTCACTGAGTATAAACCTAGTTTTTAAATGGTTTCTTTTAATGGGAAATATTTGGCCCAGCTATGGACTGGTCTGAGAAATCCCAATGGGCAGTGGCTCAGGAAAGACAAAAATATATATATATATTTGAAGCCTTGCCTTCTGCCAGACAGTAACTACTACCAGTAACAATTAAGTTAAGCAAGTTCTTCCTCTGCGATGTTCTTTGATGAAAGTGTTACTGGAATAATTTTGTTGTGTCCCTTGCAGCCAGGGATAACTTATTTGTACATTGGGGACTAAAATTTATATACCACTTGATTGTAAGAAAATCTCTGAGGTATTATCAAAAAAGTGTTTGAAATATCTGCATATAACAAGCAAGATTGGGCATCATATCATTCATCTAATTACAGTGAGAGATAGTATCTGTAAGCCAAGAGGTTACCAAAGGCATAGAAATAATATTGTTTCAGCTATCAAAAAACCTGTTTGAATTAGTTACAAAGTAGCAAAAGCTCAACATCAACAATTCATGTCAGTTTGTCTGGGTATCCAGTTCCCACCCTGCATGACCAAGCTAATCATACAATTGGAACAATAGGCTGTCATGTTGCTAAGCCTTCAATCCAGAGTACACTGCATGGAACCTGAACAATATAAATCCTGTTGAAAAAGAACCCAAACCAATTTTTGCATTCATATTGGTTTACAAGAATGTCAATAAATTCACCCTAAACAAAACATATCAAACAAGTCATAAATTGTGAGGTTTGTCGCCTGGACTGATTGATGCTCTCCCACACTGGCCAGCTGTGCCTCTGCCCTCCAGCTGTGAAGAACACTGGGATTAGACTCTCCACTCTGCGGAACTTTCCTGGGTCTGAGATTCATGAAGCAGCCCGTCCGCTTGGAAAAACTTACCCAGGGTCTGCAGTATTATGCTCTCTAGAATGACCAGGTCTTGGGCTTGTTGCAGGTAAGCCTGGGGTTGAGAGGACAGGCAGGTTACTTGTGATGAGGCACTCTGTATCAAGCCTGCATATTTCTAACACTCTCTTGGGGAGGCAAAAAAATATCAAGGGGGAATCTTTATCATAGTCAATGCTGGAGAGAATTGGCACAAGCATCCCATTCCCAGGAAAAAAATGTTAAGTGCCCAATAGACACAATGCTTGCTCAAGAGGCTGCTCTTGATTCCATAATGGCTTCAACTGCCATGAAGTTATCAGTGTGTGTTAAAAATTGGCCCTTTCCTTCAATTTGGCTTCAGAATAAAGCTTCCCCCTTGTTGGCAAGGTTAGATGTGCTGGTCCTGTCAGGAAGGGCTGTGGTGAGATGTAAAACAATATGCTTAACAATCCTCCTGTTTGAATGGCAGTGACAGGAATGAATTTCAAACGTTTTCTGTGTCACCATAAGAGGGTGATCCTGGCAGGCAATATCCACCCATTAATACAAACAGTGCTACACATCTGCCTTAATTCACAACACTCTAGCAGGAACACACAGGACAGACAAGCTATTTGGCTTACAAAACCCCAGAGCTTTCTGTACTATGCACCAGCAATATTCAAGAACTAATTACTATTGTTCAGATAATATTCCAACAAAGCTGTAGCACTCTAGATCCAATGAAGCACAGGGGACTTGCACTGCCAGGATTCGTCCTTTCCCCTCCCTCACTTATTGAGCACTGTATATGTTTCACAGGTATTCAGTTACTTACCTCACTCCTGGTATCTGGAAGCGCCTCTTGAGGATGCAGACAGGCATGAGCGACCTTGATGACATGCTCCAGTTTTCGCGGTTGCTCCTCCACCTTGGCTGCCAGGAAAAGGGCAGCTGGTGCTACAGACTTTACAGAGAAAATAAATTTAAATGCAACATCATCTTTCAAATGGCTGCAAACCTCCTTGGTCTCAAAAAGTCCAGAGAAAGTATCTTAACAACAACATAGAACTGGTAGTTCTACTATTTGACTAAATGTCCATAAGCTGAATTGTATACACAAACATTAAAAGATTCATTTGGCAAGGCATCATAACCTGCAGAACAGACTGGACTGTATAAAACCCATGCTATAATATGAAAGCTATTCAACAGTAGACAACCAGTGCTAATATGGGATATAACTACCTGGGTTTTCACACTGCACAAATTATGCACAGTAGAAGCTATAATTTAATGCAGAGGATGGTTTCTGGGAATTATAGGCTTATTTTTTCCCTTAAAAACATTATGACTCCAGGTCTTATCATCACAGGAAAACTAATTTACAAAAATGAACAACTTCTACAAGAAACTGTGGGTGCAAGTTTTCAAGTTTTCCTGGGGCATTCTACTGCTGATCCTTAAGTGAAGACCACTGCTAAGTTGATGATCAATTTAGGAGCTACCTTGATCACCATAGAGTCCAAAACTTGATACAGATCTATTGAAACAGAAACCTAGATTAAAACCATCCAGTTTTATATGGAATGTGTGCCCTGTTAGTTACAGCATCCAAGTTTTAAAATGTGTTGCCTCAGGAAGTTTACCTTCCTCTCTTCTTCTTTGTCTTTATGGACATCAGCAAAATGGTATTGTTCCTATAAGCATTTGACCTAGGTGATGCCTCTAAGTTCTTCATGGATTTGCTATTGCTGTTGCCACTATATTTCACTCTTCTATTATCTTATTGTTTAACTATTAGTGTGAACTAGTGAACACAAAATGAATCTGTTTATGTTCTGTTCTTCTTTATGTATAATTGCTAGCGACCTTAAATGTATTTTTAGATCAGAAAAATGAGATCAAATGTTTAATAGAGAGATTATCCTCGCTCTTATACACTCTTCATAATAAATTATTTGGAATCAATTTCTGAAAAATGTGACATAGAATCAAACCCTTAAAGATTTCCACCACAATACTCAGCACACACCCTTTCTCTTAATCTGCTTGGGATAAGGGAGAATATGAAACATAGCTATGTACAATTCTAACTAAGAAAAAGTACTAATACAAGTGATACAAATGTATTTTCAATCTTTGCTGGAAGGCACCCAGAGTGGATGGAGAAACCCTGTCAGATGGATAGGGTATAAATAAATAAATAATACTTACATTTCGATGAAATTGAGTAAAAGATTGAACCATGTAGAACCGATGCATGTAGACAATAGCCGTATTGATAGTCAGTTGGGAACTAGTATCTTGTGGTTAAGGAAAAAGCAGACAAAGGCTTTCCAAACATATTTTAAAAGGGTTATCTGCAAATTGTAGGTTTTAAGGGACTGCACTGCCCCATGTATTCTAATCTTCACAACACACACTGATGTGAATCAGTGTTTTTGAGGTAACGTACATCACACATTAACAAATCCCAGATGTCTACAAAATGATTAGAACACCTATCTTTCAGATGCAGGCTTACACAGGAAGTTCAACACCAATAAATGCTAGAACAATATTGGGTTGCAATATTATATTAGTGCTTACTATAGAGTAAGCACCAATGGGACTTCCAAATAAACATGCATGGAATCACACTAAGTGCCATATGACCTTTAAGTAAACTCACTATACTAAGGCTACAGTCATAATACCACTTATCTGGGAATAAGCCCCACTACACACAAAAGGACTTATTTCCTAGTAGACCTGGCTAGGATTGTACTGACAGTAAATAGACACAAACGTTAAATTTTCCAGGCCAAATCACATCTTTGAAATCAGAACCAAGCTTCAAAGCATTGCTAAGGGCTCACCAACATTTACTCTTTCATAATCAAGAAATCTAATACAGGAAACACTGACGGAACTTTGGCTGCATTTTGAAAAAATATGTCCCAATTAAGTATAACTAGCATTAACCTGCGCAAAAGAGAAATGTCCGTACAGGAACCAAGACTGGCCTCTTTTCCCACCAGCAAATATCGCTCTTAAAATTTAGCTCAAATCTTAGATTCGCAATCCCAAGCCAAGCCGGCCTGCTAACAAACGAGTGCGCCTTCCAAGTTGTTGCTCAATAACTGCTTCCTCTCTCGGGCCTTGCAGCTCGATCAAGGCTTCAGGGCCTAGTCTCCTCTCCCCGACCCCACCTAGTTCCACCCCAGCCTTCTCCGCGTCGCGGAGTCGACCCTCCGCGGCCAACCGTAAACGCGTCCGAACTCCCACCCGCTCCCGGGCCAACGCGCGGTCTTTGTAGGACGCGGCCTAATAACGTGCCCCGTTCTAAGCCAGCCGCGAACCACCGCGAGGCCCCGGGCCTGGTCTCTCGCCCCAGAGACCTCAGCCCCGGCGAGGCCTAGTTCGCCCAGCGGCCCAAGCGCGCTTCCCGCACCCTGCTCAGCCCAGCCCCAGCTCGAGCTGCCGCGGCCTAGTCCCCCAATGGATACACAGTCAGGCGCTGGCCCATATCCTGAAGCAGGTTGGCTGCCTGCTGCCGGTACGACAGCTCCTTGTCCGGGTCGAGCCCCGCGCGCCGGGAAGGGCTGCGCGCCAGCTGCTCTCGGCTGAAATACCAGCGCCCTCCGCCGCCTCCTGCTGCAGCCGCCGCGCCACACACCGCCATGATGGCCGCCGTCGCCGTCGACAACCGCGCATGCGTGTGGAGACGCACGCACCGCGCACCGGCCTACGCCTGCGTGACCTCGCCCAAGAGAGCCTGGGCGTGCGGGCGTGCGTGCCTGCGTACTTCCGTTTCCTCTCCCGCTGGGAGAAAGAAAGGAAGAGGATGTGCGTGCCGAACTTCCGGTATTGGCTTGCGTAGGGGTGGGGGCGGGGCGTTACGTTGACAGTTACGTTTCAGTGCGTCGGTCGATGCTTCCCACCTCTATGGCGATCGTCGTACGGACTCGAAGAAGCGCCATAGAGGCAAAAATTGTAGAGTGACACGCAAAGAAGAGGGACTTACATGAGCCTTTTTTTTTGTTCGTTTTAGTCTGTGCCAGTGTGGTGTTAACCTTCTGCACGTCTTAAATTACGCTGGTAAATTTTTAAGCGATCGTTTCACGCTTCCGCTTCGAGTTCCCCCCTTTCCCCGCTACAACCAAGCGGTGTATATATACAACTTGGCAGCTGCGTGCAAATGGACTCTCCCTCCCTGGCTGGTAGTGAGTGGGAAGGAGGAGAAATGTGGGAGAGCTGGGCGAGGAGCAGGCAGAAGGCAGAGAATGAGAACCATGCTTGATTTCTGCTTGAATCCAAGGCTGTGGCTATGGGAGAAGATCCTCGTGGGGTGTTAATGCTGTGAGCCCCTCCAACGTAGGCTCAGGTTGTAAATAAGTGGTACCTTATAATAATACAGTGGTACCTCAGGTTCCATACGCTTCAGGTTCCATACGCTTCAGGTTACACACTCCGCTGACCCAGAAATAGTGCTTCAGGTTAAGAACTTTGCTTCAGGATATGAACAGAAATCGGGCTCCGGCAGCAGCGGGAGGCCCCATTAGCTAAAGTGGTGCTTCAGGTTAAGAACAGTTTCAGGTTAAGAACAGACCTCTAGAACGAATTAAGTACTTAACCCGAGGTACCACTGTATATCCTAAAGACCTCACAGTCTCTGCTGCCCCTCATCCCAAGGACATCAAACCCTAGGTAAGCGCCTGGAATCTGGCACGGATTGGGGTAATGCACAACAATATTAATGTCGCTGCTGAAGGAATTACACCGACTGCCAGTTACTTCCTGGGCTAAATCCAAGGTGCTGGTGCTGGTGAATAAAGCTCTGTACAATTTGGGACCAGGACAGCTAAACTTCATCTCTTATACACATTTTTGTAAAACAAAATCTGCCCTTTTCCCTTATGGGGTATCCAAGAGCCCCATATAGAGTCCTTACGTAGGTTCCCTATTGGTAGGAGAAAATAACAGAAGCCAACCAGAGAATATTGAGAAGCAAAGCAGCTAGTAAACCTGATCTTTATAGATCTGTTGCAACAGGGCCCTCATTCACCACACGCAGGAGGGAGGAGGAACCCAGAACAATGGTGTGCAAGCCCTTATATAGATTTTTGAAATTGCCACCCTATAGATCAAGACCACCCACAGAAACACCATACCTACATCACAGAAAGGGTGGTCAACAGGAGAAATCTAAGTGCTTTGTTTACCTCCTGTCTGCCAGATTACCTGTTTAATGGTCACTTGATTGGATTGCATGGGGAGCCTGGCCAGTCTTTTGTAATGATAAATACTTACTTCCTGAGCCAGGTCAGGCTCACACCCTATTCATATCTTAAATGTGCCCTTAAGACAGGATTTGTGAAGGAAAAGACAATGGGGAGGCTTTTCCATTTTCCTTTGACCTTGCAGAGAAATAATTGAGGTCATTTTGGGAATCAAAAATGGTTTCAGGTTGGTCTTCCTGTGCTTTTCTTAAAAAAAATTGCCCCACAAATAATAATATGGTATGTTGTAAATGGATGCCTTTGTGTAAATATAGGATATCACATAAAAATAACACATGTTGCATTTTGTTACTAAATTACTTGCAGCATTCTAACACTTTGGGAGAAACATTTACTCAAGAGTGGTCTATGCTTTTCACTTAGCAGGAAGGTCCAATAACGAATGGAAAATGCAGTTTGGTTTGTTTCTGCCTTTTTGTGTGTTCTCTGGTGTCAAACTTACGTAGCTCTCCTCCATCATACCGCAGCAGCAACAATCCCTGGTGAATCCCTTTAGGGCTTTCATATAAACCATGTCACCTTGCCATAGGTTTGGACATGTCATGAGAGAGATGTCCTTGCCTTGACCTTTCTATGGGATTTTAGTATTATAGGCTCTGGTCTTGCACTGTGGGGAAGTTGTTCACTTGCTCTTAAGGAATGAAAAAGCTAGTTGCAGTCTGGATACACTTGTCAAATTCAAACTGAGTCCAATTAGAATTTAGATAGCACCATGGTTCTCAACTTTTCAAACCAATCTGTAAAAAATATATATAAAAAGGGCACTTGTCCAAATTAGTCAATTTAACTCTATAAGGGATCATTCCTGCTAAATCAAGGCATATATACTTTCATGTAGCTGGTGTTTTCATGGATCCTGAAGCTTGCCTTTTTTTTGTGTGAAATGAATTAGGATAATTTAAAAATGGGTAGAGAAGGTTGGCACACTGCAGAGTGTGCCAGGTGAAACATGGTCTAATCTAATTATTGGACCACACAATAGCCTGATCTATTAGAAAGCATAAAATGCCTGTTTAATGGTCACTTGATTGGATTGCCTGGGGAGCCTGGCCAGTCTTTTGTAATGATAAATACTTAGATCTTGAGCCAGGTCAGGCTCACACCCTATTCATATCTTAAATGTGCTCTTAAGACAGGATTTGTGAAGGAAAAGACAGTGGGGAGGCTTTTCCATTTTTCTTTGACCTTGCAGAGAAATAATTGAGGTCAGTTTGGGAATAAAAAATGGTTTCAGGTCGGTCTTCCTGTGCTGATTTATGTATGTGCTTGGTTGGTACACTTATGAACATTTAACATATATCTAAGACCTCAAAATTCCTATCACAACACCAAACTGGTCACTGCATGCTGCAGGAGAGGGCATTGTGATAGGAATTTTATGGTCTTAGATATATGGTAATGTTCATAAGTGTACCAACCAAGCATGTACATAGATCAGCACAGGAAGACCGACCTGGAACCTTTATGATTCCTAAACTGAGCAAATGTTTTCTCTGCAAGGTCAAAGTGGGAAACCTTCCATTGTCTCTTTCCTCACAAATCCTGTCTTAAGGGCACATTTAAGATATGAATAGGGTGTGAGCCTGTGACCTGGCCCAGGAACTAAGTATTTATCACTACAAAAGACTGGCCAGGCTACCCAGGCAATCCAATCAAGTAACCTGCCAGACAGGAGATAAACGACAGGAGAAAAACAACATTAAAATTTCTGTTTTAAGACCGCCTTTTCTGTGATGTATGTATGATGTTTCTGGGGGTGGTCTTGATCTACAGGGTGGCAATTTCAAAAGTCTTTATAAGGCCTTGCGCGCCATTTTTCTGGGTTCCTTCTCTCCTGCGTGTGAGGGGAGCACCCTGTTGCAACAGATCAATAAAGATCAAGCTTACTAGCTGCTTTGCTTCTCAATATTCTCTGGTTGGCCTCTGTTATCTTCTCCTACCAATAGGGAACCTATGTAAGGACTCTGTATGGGCTCTTGGATACCCCATAAGGGAAAAGGGCAATTTTTGTTTACAGCAGCATCCAGCACATTGTCGCCCAGTCGGGAGGTTTGGTCTACACAATGTCAGAATTGGACCTTTAGTGTGGAGACATCTGCCATTTGGAACTTGTGTTAAATAACAGGTGTTGTCTGTATTCTGCACCTTTAATAGGCTTTTCCTTTCTAACAAGTATTTTAAGTGAATAGGGTGGTGTGTGGTCTAAACCACGGAACCTCTTGGGTTTGCTGATCAGAATGTCAGTGGTTTGAATCCTCGTGACGGGGTGAGCTCCCGTTGCTCTGTCCCAGCTCCTGCCAACCTAGCAGTTCAAAAGTACACCAGTGTAAGTAGATAAATAGGTACCGCTGTGGGCAGGAAAGTAAACGGTGTTTCCGTGCGCTCTGGTTTCCGTCACGGTGTTCCATTGAGCCAGAAGAGGTTTAGTCATGCTGGCGACATGACCTGGAAAGCTGTCTGTGGACAAACGCCAGCTCCCTCGGCCTGAAAGCGAGATGAGCACTGCAACCCTGTGGTTGCCTTTGACTGGACTTACCGGTAACCGTCCATGGGTCATTTACCTTTACCTTTAAGTGGGTAATTTTTTTATTCCAGTCTGTACTGGATTGGAAATTGCTTTTAAATATGCATTTGTTGTTGATGTTTTTTATTGTTAAATTGCTTCAGTGTGTTTTATGCGGATTCATAAACTGAATGAATAAAAATATCTGTATATAAACTTATTTTTAATTGTTCTGCTGTCTGAATGTTCTACTTGTTAGAATTGCAGTGCAGGAGAGCATTGTCGTGACAATGTATTACACCAATAAAAGGCTGGTTAGACTGGAAATACTAAATAAATACAACAAACTAAAATAAAATAGCTGAGAGTAGATTATAAAACTAACTTCAGACAGACTACACCTCTTCAGTACAAAAGCTTAGCAAAAGAGGTACTTTCTTCACCTTCCTCCTAAAAGTGTATAAAGATGAGGTAAGAAACACCTCAGTGGGACGATCATGCCCAAGTTTTGGAGGTGCCAAATCTTGGCCTATTAGAGTTGGAAACAAGGCTGACACACAGCACACACTTATGTACCGGTATATTTACTCAGAACACTCCACTGAGTGAACCACTCTTCATGTCTGGTGTTTCAAGAAGGCCGTTTGGCTCATCTCTACTAGAGACAACACTAAAAGCTGCTGTGAGTGCCGGATCTCCCTAGAGGAGAAAATACAGCCATCTGGTTAAATACTTATTTCATCACTGGGAATCGCATGCAAATAAATACAAGTTAATGAAGTCATAAAGCTGGAAAAAACACAAGGTTAAGGGTTACTTCTCCCCCTTTCCTTTCTAGATACCTCCTCAAACCAAAGCTCAGTACATTTTTCTCAAGGTATCACAACTGCCCTTTCACACACTCAAGTTTTCATTGCTTAAGAAACTCCCAAGAGACAGGGCCGAGCTGCGCATCTCCATGGTAACATAGCAAACATGCTTTAGAAGGCTGAAGGCAGAAGGCTGCAGTTGGGAAGTTGTGGAGTCAGTTGAACCTACAGCAAATTAGGTGCAGGAAATGTCTTTCTTTGGATTAACTTTTATGGGATCTCAAGACCCCTTTCGGGACAGAAAACTAGAACTACCAAAGTATGAGGTACCAGGTAAGGAAACTATCCAAGAACACTTCACTGAAAAACAAAGCTCTTCCTGGGATTCACCAGTGGTGATTGCTCTGTATGTGTACCTACGCACAAAAATCTTAACTGTCATTCCTTCATCTCAGAACCCTGGGAATGGCAGTGCTCTGAGGAAGGCTGTGGATCTTTAATGGAATTCCCACCACTGTCACTAAACTACTATTGCCAGGATTCTTGCAAGGAAACCATGATTGAAGATGGTAGAAAACTGATACAGAGGAGTTGCATAGATAAGCTCTTTGTGTGCTGTTCACACACATCACCCCTACTGTACAGGAGGTTCCTGGTTTTGTCTATTCAATCCCCTTCTGAAATTGAAGGGTTGATGGCCATCCCACAGTCTTTCAAAGGAGAGAATCATGCACTGGTCCACATAAGAGAGAATGGTTTAAGCCTTTCTCCCTCAGTGTGCTAGTTTTATGCCTAGAGATTGTTTGTATATTACTGAGATATTTTTCATCCATGCTGTCTTCCAGCTGCAATCTGAAGTGGTACATCTGGGATCTAGATTGGACTTAATTCCCTGGACACGAGGAAATTATCCTGTCTCCAACATGACCATTTTTGGCCCTAATTTCATTACTTCTTTACTTGACTGAGGCCCCATTTGCTCAACACATTTCAAGCAGCATCACACCTCTTTAAACAGTCATGGCTTCGCCCAAATAATTTTGGGAACTCTATTCCCCTAATCCTCTTGTTCCATTTGCTTTCCATTTTGCTATATTGCAGAATTGCATTAGTTTTCTTTCTTCTTCTGTCCATCTTCAGTGGGAACACCAACCCCTAAACTGGAACTTTTCTACCCAAAGCTGCCACCCATAGGACCTAGTGGATATGATGGCACAGTACACAGGGGAAGCTGCAGGAAGTATCGAGAGGCTATCAAAAAGATGAAGCTCAAAAAATGTAGGTAAATAATTATCAGAGGCAGGGTTTAAATGGTGGTTTCAGCAAAAGCACAAGGAGCCTTTAGGATTCTGTAGAGGGACATCCATACTCATGAGTCAGAGCACTGGGACCAGGACTAGGAGCAATGACCTCTGGGTTGGCAGGAGCTGTGTGTGTGTGTGTGTGTGTGTGTGTGTGTGTGTGCGCATGCATGCAAATCTAAGAGAGTTCTGGAGGCAGGTTTGGAGGAAGGAGGAGGATTGAAGGCCCCTTGGTTCTTTGAAGAGGATGTCCTTGCAGGATTTCCTGTACATATCTGGTTGGCCAGTCTGAGGACAGGATGCTGGACTAGCTGGTCCTTTGGCCTGATCCAGCAGAGCTCTGTTTATTCCTACGATGTTGGGCTCCAGGCAGGTGCGCCACCTTCATACTCACTGCACCAGCATGACAGCTGGCCCTTCCAGACAGCAGGGAAAGACAGGGAGGAAACCTTTGGCCATGTAAAAAGGAAGTTTGTTGTCACTAATTTTTAGTGAACATGCAAACCAAGTTGCAATACTGTGTATACAACCAGGTGGAAATGTGATGTTCAAGAGTGCTCCTGAGGAAGAACAGTAATTTGAAATGTGTTGGGTTTAATAATCAAAAGCAATTTTTCTTGTGTACCTGGGGTTTTGATCTCTTTCTCTGATTTCTTTCCTCCTCCTCCTCCTCCTCCTCCTCCTGGACAGCAGGCTAGTACCTCTAGGCAACTGATAATGAGGAACCAGTCACCTCCCACTGCCTCCTAAAAGGCTCACGACATCTTGGGAAGCCACTTGTCTCCTAAGTGCCTGTGTCAGCTGTCATTGGAGCTTGGCTTTCCAGCTTCTCTTGCCTGCTTCTTTGTGAGCACATTTTGTGCTGACCTAGCGATGGGGAAGCTGTGGCCCTCCAGATGTTATTGGACTTATAACTCCAATCATTCCTAGCCAGCAAGACCAATAGTTGAGGATGTAATTCAAAGTCCAACAACATCTAGACCTGCAGTGCTGAAATCAGGGCACCAATCAGGTTCAGGAGCATTAAGGACACAGTAGTTATTGGTTCTCTGCGGAAGGGGAGGAAAAGACAAGGAGGAAATATGATAATTCTAGAAGGGAAGGGGCCATAGGTCAAAAATGGCAGATCCCATCTTTGTTTAGGGCTGGTGCATGACCGTTGAGCTTCTGAACTCATTATGTACAGCGGTAATTTAAACCCACAGATTATTAGCTATCTTCTCAAGCCTCCATTGTTGCTCCAGCTCCTGCTCAAGTCAGTGGATTTTTAGCAAGTGTTGACGACCAGCCCAAAGCCAAGATCCTTCTCTCCCACACCTCCAGACAGCTTTTGGTTTCTCCTGTCTAACAGCCCAAGCTCTCCATCTCTTTTTCTAGACCCAAATGAAGAGTACAGGGAACCAATGACCTGCGGACAAGAGATTGGCTGGTGGCTGCCTAAGAATCGGTCAGTCAAGCCAGAAGATGCCATCCCTTGGATAAGGGTGCAAAGGCATCCCCAGCTACGGAGCTCTATGACCAAGTGAGCATACGACGGGAAGCAGGGAATCAGCCCAACCACCACTTCACCCAGCCAGGGATGGAGGATCTAACTCTCATCTTTTAATTGTTGTGTGTACAGCAGACATCATGGCCAAATCCACCCCATACAAATTACATTTTATCACATAGCTTCACCCAAAGAATCCACAGAACTATAATTATCAGCACCTTAACAAACTACAGTTCCCAGGGTTCTTTGGAGAAAGATGTACTTTAAATGCATGGTCTGGATGTGCACTGAGGGGGTTGCATGATTCCTGCCACCTTCAAAAAGCAGTCGCCCAACATCTCCTTTTACTCGCAAAAGACAATTCCATTGCAGTTGGGAATTTCCCCAGCACCATTTCATTGACTGCTGCTTGTGGAGGGCTTGTGTGTGTGTTTGGGGGTGGGGTGTAATTCTGAATGCCATGACACAACAGCTTGCACCTCCTCCCATTAGGTTTCATTGGGCAGATGTAGAGAGGAGATTCTGGGTGGCTGCTTTAACTGGATCCAAGCACCCTTTGTATTGTCTAAGAGATCCATGCTCTTGCTTGCCTGGAGGGCAGATAGAGGAATGGCTGCGGGTGTGTGGAAACCTTTGATCTGGAATATAGGCTACTGTACAAAGGTTAAGAGTCATCTGTGTTGCTGTGCCAGCTTTGCCTCTTACCCACTCATTTGGCCCACTGCCCCCCCCCATAAGGCAATGTGGCCCTTGGCTGGAAAAAGGTCCCCCACCCCTGTGCCAAGATGCGCTTCTCAAACACTGAACCTTTCTCCCCAAGGAACTTCTGTTTGCTCCCCACAGAGCTAGTTTCCAGTACCCTTAACAAAATACAGTTCCTAGGATTCCTCTGTGTGTGCTTTGAAGACCTTCCTCTTTCAACAAGCCTTTTAAAGTTGAGGTCTTTCCCTGTCTGCACCTATTTCGAAATGGCTTTAAAGATGTTTTTTTTTATAGCTTTGTCAATTGTTTGCCACCCTGGGCTCCTTTGGGAGGAATGGTAGGGATATAAATTTAACAATAGATAAATAAGGTCCTGGCAGCTGAAACAGTACCCCACGAGACAATGGAACAGCAATGAAATTTGTTTTCTTTGTTTATTGTAGATTTGTTGACAGCATGATAGCAAGCGACCGCCTCTTCAGCATGTTTTGAGAACCATTTGGAACCATAATAGGAACCTGAGGCGCATGGCAGCACCACTGTGTCAGTGAGAGCTCATTGGCAATAACCAGCTCCCATGTTTTAGACCTAGCGCATTTGTTCTACAAATAAATAGGAAATCAGTACAATCATCTGTGTTTGGGGGGTTTTTTTGCCCACAAAAGAAGGGGAAAAGAAAGTGGGTGGATATAAACTACAAGTGAGAAGCCTGTGGCTTCTAAGTGATGTTGGGACACCAAATCCCATCAACCCAGCTAACACGTTCAATGGTCAAGGATGATGTGAGTTGCGGTCCAGAACATCTGGGGAGTCCACAGCTGGTGAAGGCTGGTCTATGGCCGTTTATCTTGTACTATATCTATGCACTCCCTGCTTCTTCTTTTAAGAATTAGTACAGGAATGAGGATTGTTCCTGACATTTCAATATCAAAGCTCGCTGTGATTTAAGTAGATGCTGGCAAATGTGTTATGAGCATGTGTTATGTCTACATTTGACCAATACATGTTTCATCCAGGGACAAATGGATGACATATGCCATACAGGCATGGGCAAACTCAGCCCTCCAGATGTTTTGGGACTGCAACTCCCACCACCCCTAGCTAACAGGACCAGTGGTCAGGGATGATGGGAATTGTAGTCCCAGAACATCTGGAGGGCTGAGTTTCCCATGTTCTAAAGCAGAATAAAATGTTTATGGGCAGCATTATTGAACTTCAAAATAGATTATCTCCACCCCATTTCCCCACATGCGGACCCCTTGCATTTTCCATTACAATAACGTTGACCTGTCACTGTAGCAGTGCTTCAAGAAAGGGGAGGAAGATCAATGCTAGAAGGACCCAAATTGATAAAGGCAGGGCCTGCAGGCAGACTAGTACTGTGCTCTTACCCCCCCCCCCCTGTATTTCTCAAACCACCACCTTAACAGAGAAATGGAACAACTGTTTTTTGTAAATTCCCTGCTTCCCAATCCACTTCCCTCTAGGAAACTTAAAAGCAGGCTTTACAGATGCTTGCACACAACCACCAAACCAACCTACCCTTCTGTGCTCTAGCAAGGGACTAAGGTGATGATGAGGCTTTCAGGTTTTACTATTGTTTGACTAGCTTAGCATAGACAAAGTCAGAGGAGAACAGTCAAGGAGACACTAGAGACATACTTTCCTTTAAGGGGGTCTAGTTTGCCACTGTAAGAACAGGACACTTTTCTAGATGAGCCACTGGCGAGATCCAACAGGCTTTCCTTACAGGTTTCTGCTTTGTGCAAGGAGTTTAAATGTATGACCTATTGAGCTTAAGGAAAGTTCCTGTCACTTAACTATATATAGAATTGCAGTCAGGTGGTATGAATGCAGGCCATCTTACTACAGCCTAGCCAAAGTTCCAGCATGCAAACCCTTTGCAGTACCAATGGGTCACAGCCTGATCCAAAGTGGGTCACAACAGGAGCACTACCTTCATGCAATTATATGGTAAAATTTAAGAAATGGGTTCCCAAATGCATGTTTGGGTTAAGCATGAGACTCTCCATCTCAGGGTCATGGGTTCGAGCCCCACTTTGGGCAGAAAGATTCCTGCATTGCAGAGGGTTGGGCTAGATGACCCTTGTGGTCCCTTCAAACTCTCAAATTCTATGGCTCTAAATGTGGTTCCTGGGACTAAAAAGGCTGACAATCCTACACCACCCTGTGGCAGCTCACCTTTCTATAATGGTTAGATGATCCCAATACCTTGGTCATTATCCTATATACTGTTGGCAGTGATGTGCGTAAAATACCGGTATGTAACGTGATTCTGAATTCTCCTTGACGGTGGTTGTAATGATGTGGTCCTATATGTCAAAATTACCATTACACTTAGGTTCTAGATTCAGGTAGGTAGCAGTGTTGGTCTGACGCAACCGTATTTTTATATATACCGTATTTTTCGCCCTATAGGATGCACTTTCCCCCCTCCAAAATAAAGGGGAAATCTGTGTGCGTCCTATGGGGCGAATACAGGCTTTCGCTGAAGCTTGGAGAGCGAGAGGGGTCGGTGCGTGTCAGGGAAGAGTTAGAAGTTTCCAGTTTATCAGAGGGAGAAAGCATTCCCCAAGGGGGGAGGGAGAGCAGTGAATCTAATAGAAGGGAGCAAGAGGAACAACAGGGAGGGACCGGCTGTTCACAGGAAAGGCAAGGGTTCAGTTCTAGATCAGATTCGGAGGAGGGGAGATATAGGCCAGCTCTAGCCAGGAGGTTAGAAAAAAGAGCAGGAAAACGAAGGGAAAGGCGCCTTCGCCATTTTGTGGGTGGCTGGTCACGGAGAAGCAGAGCTCAGAAGGCATCTGAAATAAGTGACTCTGAGGAATAATAGTTAAGAACTGTTTATAAGATTATTTTGTTAATACACAATAAAAAGTTATAAAAGAACAAGAAGCGTTTGTGTGGTGATCTGAAGAGGACAACGACCAGTCCTGACAGTGCGCACCGACCCCTCTCGCTCTCCAGGCTTCAGGAAGCTATCAGCAAGCCTGGGGAGCCCGCGGGAGTTCCCGCGGGGCTCCCCACGCTGCGGATAGCAGCCTGCCGCCCGGCGCGTGAGATGCCCTGAAGCAGAGCGCCCCGGGCAGACATCAGCCAGCCCCACAAGCTCGGGGGACAGCGGGGAGGCGCAGTGCCGCCATCCCGCTGTTCCCCGACCTGGTTTTGGGGGGGAAATAAAGGGAAAAAAATTTCCTTTATTCCCCCCCCCCCCAAAATTAGGTGCGTCCTATGGGACGGAGCGTCCTATGGGACGAAAAATACGGTGTGTATATATATATATATATATATATATATATAATTTTGTTCTTGGTATAAGCTTTCATGCGCATGCACGCTTCTTCAGATACCTGAAGAAGTGCGCATGCACACGAAAGCTTATACCAAGAACATTACACTTAGGGTTCTTCACAGTGATAGTTGTTCCTTAATGCCTGAAATAATGTAAGGAGATTTAATCAGGGATGTACAAGCTTTAGTATATTAATGATAAACCCTGCAAAATACCAATGCATAGGCATGTAAGTGTACACAAATTGCTTGGGCTGCAATGATTACAGTCAAATTGACTTAACAAATGTCTTTAGCCTGAATCAATCAGGTGCTGATATCTATCTATATCAGATTTAAAAATTCAAGAACTGTTGTTCACAGGTACTGTCTTGAGAGGTGTATCATCTAAAAATTAGTGAGGTGTTTTCTTCAAAAGCTTTTTTATTCATACACAGATGGCATGCAGATTTAAATCAATTAAAAACCCATGTGATTCAATTGTACAATAGTGAAATCTCATGCAAGTGTGCTCAGTGGTCAAGTCCCACTGGGTTCAATGGGGCTTACACCCAGGTAATTGTGTTGAGGATTGCAGAATAGAATTTCCTAACTGTATGATAGCTCTAACATTCACAGTTCTCACAAGTTTCCATCTCCCTATATTCCATGTATTTGTGCACTGAGCAACTGGGGGTGGGAGGAAGTTGCCCAGGGAAGAAGAGAGGTAGGTATATTCAAGTTTATGGCACTGGGAAGGGAGAAGAGAAAGAAGGAAACAATGTAATAGAAAGTGATCTTTAATATATAATTTATATATACACACACAAAAAGAAAAAAGTACCAAATAAGTGCCATATTGCCCACTCTGCTCATACACCTCGCCCAAGGAACACAACTGAGCCATTTTCGCAGTAGCCCTAGAGGGAGTGGGGAGATCTGAGTTAGTTTTGTCTTTTTTTAAAGCTCACTCTCTCCTCCTACATGGTCTTCCCCATGGTAAGCATAAATAACTCATAGGCTATGCACCATGACAGTTGTCCATTAAAAATAATCTTTTCTTTTAAAAAATTTTAAGGAATATTAGAGCTTTTTAAACCATAAAGTAAACTAAAAAAGAATAATCTTCAACTTCTTTCCCTTCTTCTTTAAAAGACTCATTTTTTCAATTAAAAATAGTTGTTTTCCGCTTTATCCATCCTCTTCAATGGAATAGAGATTTCACAAAGCTACCTTGCTTCCCCATGGCTTAGATGTTCCCCAATTTAGGTGTCACTTGTGACAAAGAGTTGAGCAAAATAAACCTTGTTTCCAAGGAATCTGGTTCAGTACTGGAATCCTATGTAACAAAAGGTGGAAAGGGGGGCTGTAACTTGCCAACATCAGATATGAGAGGGACAAGACCTCTCATATCTAGTGGGTGGGACATACCCATACACATGCTTGCAACCAATTCAGTCCACAGCTGCAGATAAAAGACACCTTGGAACAGGGTCAAGTGAAAATAGGCCAAAGGTGGTTCCTCCAAAGGGGGAATTGCACCCGCTGCATAAAATGGGGAAATTATAGAGGAAACAGGCAGAATGTAAGCAGGCACTATCCAAGGTGCCCCTACAGGGGCTAGAGAAGTAGATGGAGCATTTCAAAATGGCAGCCACAACCCCATCGATCTGGGAAATAGCAAGTGCTCAATAACTGTGCCATTGGCCAGCCGTGCCAGCTACTGACCACATGGACGTGCCCTTCTACACCAAACAGTCACACACTTCTTTTCAGCACACCTTCACCACTCAGCAGTGAGCTCTCTTTCAAATCTTTTTTACACATGGTTTCTGAAGTTCCTATGACCAGTTAGTACTTTGGTGCAAATAGATCCCCTTTCCCACCCACCTAGGCTAATAAAAATAAAAGGAGTCCAGGATCTTCTCCTCTTCCACCTCAGTGCCATGTTCTCGCCAACTTAAATCTGGCAGTTAACACAGAGCTCTCACTTTGCTGATTTTGTCATCTACTGCGTTTCCTGCCAATCAGGAGGGCCAGAGCAAACATTCACTAGGGCAGCCAGACCCCAAATTTGTGGAAGTCCACTTTGCTTAGGATAAGCACACCCACCTACCCTCAAGCCTTCCAACATCTGGGATAAAGAGCAGAAGGGGGGCGGGTACATTATTATTTTTGTGGAGCTACATATATCATATGTATGAGAAAGACGGGAAAATACCCTCACACCCCCCAGAATCAAGGTCAGTAGAACCAACTTGACCAAACCTAAAAGATGGATAAAACAGGGGGCGGGGTGAGTGGAGAAGAGACATGGCACTTAATAGCAAAAGATCCATGAGAGTGGGCTAGAAGGAAGGAGCTTGCTCTGTCTGCCAATTCCAGCTCCTGTTAAATAATTTCTACTTTGGGGTCCCAAGTGAGTAGGCAAGAAGCTCCCATCTGCAGAAAGGTGGAAGGGGAGGGCTGCAGACAAAACAATCCGTCCCCTTTACTTCAGGCACCTAAGGCAGGTTTGCATCTCCACAGGGCAGCAAAACCTCTTTCCCTGGCTATTACAGGAGATGGAGTGGCGGGGGAGGCAGGGGAAAGAAGGCCTGTTTCCTTCCCGTCTCTTTGGCATCAAAACCACAACCCCCAGCCACCGTCCCATTTCCCCCCTCTCAAAGCACCCCAAGTGCTTGTCATCACTCCCCTTCATTCCAACCAGACATAGCAATTTGGCAAATAAGAACTGTACCCCAAATGACAATCCCTCAGAGAGAGAGAGAGAGAGAGAGAGAGAGATATTCCGAAACATCACAGTGAGTTTGTGACAGCGTGTTATGTGTGTGAGAGAAAGACACACACACACACACAGGAACAAAAAGACAGAGTGGGTGTTTGCTGAGAGATGTGACCAACAAAACGCACTGGGGGAAAGTCACCTCCCCCAGGAGAAAAGTGCCGTCGCTGCGCTTCTGGAAAGTCTCAGCAAAATGGCGCCATGAGAAAAATGGAGCCCCGCTCAAAAAACATCTGAGCAATGCTTCAGGGTGGAGGCGGGGCAGAAAGAAAAGGGTATAGCCTCCCTTCAACAATAAAATCAAAATGTCAGCTTTCTGGATCCACAGATAGACAAGGGTGGGGTCTTCTAACCCCTACTGCAACCTCCCTTCACCAGGTCCTTTGGTCGATCCCAAGAGCGGCAGAAGGTTCACAACAAACTTTACCCCAAAATAGCACCCACACGGGCCCAAAAGGAGGCACTCCAAGTTAGGCTTTGCTCCAAATAAATAAAAAATAAGTCTTGTATGGGGTAAAGCGACCCCCCCTGACATCTCTTCTGTTTCCAAGACTATCAAGGATCCCATTTCAGAAGCTGTAGGGGTTTTTCCCTTTTTAGGAGGGTGTGTTCCAAAATCCAGAGCAAAGAGAGAAAGACAGAGAACCAATCAACCCCATGGTGCCTGACTGAGCCCAGCTTAATAGGTCCCTTTGTTAAGCAAAGGCTCTTTTCTTGCTAACTGGTCGGGCCTCCATTCAGGAAATAGGTGGTCATCTCGCCTTTGCCCTTGACCTTGATGACCCCGCGACACTCCAGCTGATAACCTTTGGCTGCCAATACCTGATATAGGTCAGTTGTCACCTAGAGAAGGGGAACAACAAGTGTTAGGAGGAAAGGGAACACGCAGTTCTGGGCAGGTGGAATTATGAGTTTCCAATTTTGTCCCTCTGCTCACAGAAAGCCTGTTGCTCTAGAAGAGGATTCTGTACATGGGAGTGGGAGGCACTTTCCACAAATTCTCCCCTTTATCCTGCAGTCATAGCTCCCCGTCCCCCAGCACTGTTCCAAAGGGTCCCCAAATCCTCTGGAGCAAAATTTGGATGGTAAAAGGAGGCTGCAGAGGGAAGTTGCGATCAGCAAAAATTGCCTTCTTGCCCTGCCTTGGTGAGAGGGGGAAAGCCAGACTGCTGAATAAAGCCAAACATGTGAATCCTGCTGTTTTTGACAGCAAGCAGTTTGTGACTGAGGACAGCAAGGAAGCCAAGGAAGCCCCCACCCTGCCCAAGCCTGGCATAATTAGTGCACATTTAAGCAATGCAATGATCCAGCAAATACACTGGAACTGACATAGAGATACTATAGAAACAAATCTTTTGCCACAACATCCAGGGTTTAAATCACCCAGAAAAACCATAGCAGGCCCTCTGAAATACCTGTCATGGAATATCTCAGTTTGGGCTAATAAGTCATGTAGGGTTGCCATACATCAAGAATTCCCTGGACATTGCTGGGATTTGGCCATTGAAAAATGGCCTGAAAAGCTCAACAACTTTGCCAGGAAAAGCTCAACAACTTTTGTGTCCGGATGTTCACTTTTTGAAATATGGAAACCCTAAGTCATGGGATTTGGGGTTTTTTTTGAGCATTTGTCTCCATTTCAGTTATTTGGCTTACAAGAGACCTAGTCCCAAAGTATTGAGGTTCAGGGCTTTAGTAGGCTTTCTGTGTCCCCAGGGAAGGACCATTTCTGAGAATCCTCTGGAAAAACAATCTCTCAAAGGACCTGTTGATGGCATTTTACCATTGTACTGTGGAGAGCGTACTAACTTATGGTCTGTGCGTGTGGTTTGGGAGCTGCACGGCCAGGGAAAAAACAATGCTATCCAGGGTTGTAAAGACTGCAGAGAGAATTATTGGGTGCACTCTTCCCACCTTAGATCAAATCTATGCTGCCAGGTGCCATAAGGCGGCGGCAGAGATAGCACATGATAGTACGCACCCCGGAAATGATCTCTTCTGCCTTCTGGAAGAAGGTATAGGGCTATAAAGGCCAGGACTAGCCGCCTGAAAAACAGTTTCTACGCTAATGCAATTCTGGTTCTAAACGCAGCATAAGGGGTCTCTGTAGTATAGTGTATTTTAAAATGGGGTTTTAGAGTTTTTAGGGGTTTTGAATGTTTTATGTAGTTTTTATGTAGTTTTATGTAGTTTTATGTAGTTTTATGTAGTTTTTATGTAGTTTTATGTAGTTTTCCAATTTCATTGTTCCGCAAGGGACAATGACAATAAAGATATTGTATCGTATCGTATCGTATCAGAAAGGAAGGTGGCCTTGCTTTTGGTATAGCCACTAGGTCTACAAGCAAGGGCTCCGCCAATTGATACTAACTCATCCTGTCTTCAGACTATTTCCCTTGGTGAATACAACCCCATGAATTCATTATCTCAAGATTCTGTGATGGCCACCCACTTGGATGGCTGTAAAAATAGATTAGGTAGCTTCATGGAGGATGGATCTACCCGTGACTATTAGTGGCAACAAGTGGAACATCCTGAGGCAATATACACACAGAGGCCACAAGGGGGTGCTGCTGCTTTTAGGTGCTGCACATGGAATCTCTGGAAGCGTCTCGTAGACCATGCTGCAAAGGGAATGCTGGCCTAGGTGGGACTTTTGGCTTGGTCTGGAAAATGAGTTCTTACTCTCATATAGTAACCAGAACTATTCAGAAGTGGTCAGCAGAGGGAGCCTTACTGACACAATACTCCCGTAATATTATTTAATAGAAATGTGGATATCCCGCCACTCCCACTCCCATGGTCTCTGAGGCAGCTCACTACAAAGCCTGAATTGCTGCTCTTCTCACTGAAGTCTCCTCTGGACAGAATATCCAGCTTTTCCCACCAGCCCCAATAGTCCCCCCCCCAAAAAAACATTTGCCAGGAAAAACTGGCAGCAAGTAACAATTTCAAAGCGGTGGGTGGAAAGCTTTTCCTCCACCAGAAATGACTCCCAACAATTGGCAATCAATCAATCAATCAATCAATCAATCAATCAATGGTGATGGTGGCACAGGAATGAGTCAGCAACAATCCTCACTCCAATCCAGGTGTTCCAGCTGCTGGGTCTTAAAAATATCCCACCATCTCTTTGTGGGCTGTGTCACAGCTGCCCCCACCTTGAGAAAATGCTAGCTATCAACAGCAGGGCTGCCATCCTTGACGGAAAAGAAATCGTTTTTATTCTTAAATTGCTACCCAGAAATTCAGCAGCTGTTCAAAGTGCTGGCACCGTGTTCTTAAGGTTCAAATGACCCCAGGAGCAGGATAGATGGGTTTGCCTCCTTCTAAACATTTGTCCCTTGTCCTTAAGGAGAATCTTCAAGATGGTCCTAGTTAGGGTGTCCTTACATTTGAAGCTCAGCTATCAGATCAGGTGGGAACTCTTTCTTAAGGAAGAAGGCTTGTTTGGACACTACTCCCTTCCAACTTTTAACAAACCAACCCCAAAACATCATCTCTTTTTAGTAGGGCTTTTAGATGCAGAAACGATGGGTGCTAGTGTGGAGTGAATCTTGCTGTTCAATGTTGCTGCTTGTTTTGTAAGGTTTGCTGTTTTGTTGATTTTTAACTGTTTTAACTTTGCATGGGCTATATACTTTTTTTGTTAGAACTCCTGTGACTAAGCCGCTCGGCATAGATTATATTATTACAGACCTATTGAACCTCTCCTAAGGAAGTAGACTTCCAAGGTTAAATCCTGGCAACCATGAGGCCTGCGATGGGGGTCTTGTTCTTCGCATGACAGTGTAAGTCAGGCAGGCCCCCTGGCGGGGTCCCTGGCTGGAGGCAAGCGTACCAGGTTGCACCCTCGACCTCTACATGGGCCTGCCAGCAACCTTAACCATAGTCAAAACAGGTCATGCCATTGCCGCTCTCACCTGAATACGGTCAGGGACACCAGTGCTGTCCATACGGCTAGAGACATTCACCGTGTTGCCCCAAATGTCATACTGTGGCTTTCGGGCGCCAATCACCCCAGCCACTACTGGCCCAATATTTAGCCCTATGGAAGAAATGGGAAGGGAAGAAGGGATGCAGAAAAGGAAAATCAGTCAAAACTGAGCAGCCAAGCCACTTGCCTTAAGGACACCCAATCTCTCCCCCCAATGTGGAACACCCGCCCACCCTTCCCAGGCTCCACTGACCAATTTTCATTTGGAAGTTATTGAATGAGTGTTCATTGATATATTTCATCTGCTCCATGAGCCGCATCGCATAGTCTGCCAGCGCTGTAATATGGGAGCGCCCCTCGCGGTCATACGTGCTGTCATTCAGCCCTGAAGCCGCCATATAGGTACTGCCAATCGTCTTTATCTTCTCCAGCTGCCTGAATGGCTCATCACTGATAATCTACAGAAAGAAGCAATGGAAGGTAATTTCTACGAATGCTGAGAGAGTCTCCTTTCATCAAAATTGCACATCTGTTTTAAAACACATACAGCTCCCAAGTTAAAACAGTTCAACGCATCATCAGAGAGTTACAACCTCTCCTAGACAACGACAGTTCTCTTTCCCAAGCTCTGGGAGGAAGACTTTTCATTGCCTACAGACAGCCACCCAATCTTAAACAACTCCTCACCCACAATAATACAGCAAGCAGACTTAACATGGACACTGGTACCAGAGCCTGCAATAAACCCAGATGCCAACTTTGCTGCCACATACACCCAGACAACACCATCACTGGACCTAACAACATCAAACATACCATCTCAGGACTATTTAAATGCTCATCTTCTAACATTGTGTATGCTATCAAATGCCAACAGTGCCCTTCAGCTCTCTATATTGGACAAACAGGCCAAACCCTACGCCAAAGGATAAATGGACATAAATCTGACATCAGGAATCACAAGACAGAGAAACCAGTAGAACACTTCAATATCCCAGGACATTCTATACAAGATCTCAAAGTAGCTGTCATATTACAAAAGAATTTCAGAAATAGACTGGAAAGAGAAGTTGCTGAATTACAACTTATTACCAAACTTAAAACCATGGAGAGACCTGGTCTGAATAGAGACATTGGATTCTTATCTCATTATACCTGATAAAGTTATCTCATCCCTTGCTTTTTCCTGTAAGACCAATTGCAGTTGTTAACAGTCGTCAACAGGTTTACCACACCTATCAGCCAATCACCCATTCCCACCACCCTTCTGAGTAATACCCCTCCCCACCCTCTCACTGTATATAAAGGTCTGGTGACTTCTCTTTCAGTCTCACAGCTGTCAACGTTTCCCTTTTTTTAAGGGAAATTCCCTTATTCCGAATAGGATTCCTCGCAAGAAAAGGGAAAAGTTGACAGCTATGTTCAGTGTATCTGAAGAAGTGTGCATGCACATGAAAGCTCATACCAAGAACAAACTTAGTTGGTCTCTAAGGTGTTACTGGACAATTTTTTAAAATTTTAAAATATATTTCTACTGTTTTAAAACCTTCCATGGCCACTGCCGCACTTCTCCTGAACGGCAGAGATTTTGCCTTGGTTCTCAAAAGTCTCTCCTATTTCTGCTCTGTACTCGTGCAAATGCCCGGCACTAGGTGAGAGCCTTTCTCGGAAGAATGCCATGCAGAGAGCACCAACCTCACCCTGGCACAGGGCCCCCTAGTGGGCACAGAGCCAGATCCGGATTAAGACCCCTAGAGGCCCTATGCAGCACAGAAAAGACTATGGTGACGCTCCCTGTGTAATTCACAATAAAAACAATACTAAACCACAAAACAGTAAGGAAGACTAACAAATATCAAATATTCATTCACGTGGCACTTTCAAAACTGAAACATGTCCTCCTCCAGCATCTTTGTTTTGGGGAGGAGGGGGAACCTACTCATCTTTCAACCTCTGCCAGTCTTTGGTACCTCCCTTTTTCCAACCCAATGCAGGCAAAAGACACGCGGTTACCTCATCGAAGTCAGCAATTATCTCATTGAGTAGCCGCAGACATTCAACGCCTTCATTGTTGGCTTCCAGCTCCACGTAGAACTCTGAGAAGTTACTGATCGAGGCAAACATGACGGCGACACATTCACACGACTGGTGGTACAACTCGTCGTTGAGGCGCTCGCGGGCCAGGAAGTGAGCGGCCACATCTTTGGGCAAGATGTTGTGCAACAGCCGACGGTTGTAGGCCTGAAGCTCCTCCATCTCCTCTTTCTCACCTGTAGCCTGGGAGAGTCACACAGGAACGAAATGAGGAGGGTACCAATTCTCCAAGACGTGCAATTTCATGAAGCCTTTTGAACTTCCGCTGTTGAAGGTACTGGCCCTCCAGATGTTCTTGGGATTCCAACTCCCAGCAGCCTTAGCAAACAAGGCTGGTGGTCAGGGATGACAAGAGTTGGGAGTCCCAACATCTGGAGGGCCACAGTTTTGCCCAGCCTGCACCACACACAAATTCTGCAACCTGTAGAAGTTCTGTACATCCAACAGGACTGCACATATCTGCATAATTTAGTCTTTCCTGCTAGTCACAGAGAGGGGGAAAGAGCAATGTTTGGGACAAAAACTCACCACTACTAACAAAAGATCTTGCTCAATCCACTCTTCAGCTTCAGGTTTCCTCACCTGTTGCACTGTCAGTAGCCATAATCTTAAACCACAGAAGCTTACACCCCTAGTCAAGAGACGCCGTACCAGTCACTCTCCTTCCTACCATTTATTTATTTAACTTATATATGCTTTATGTTTCGATGAATCTCAGAGACATTTACATCATCATTCAACACAAAAATACAACAAAATACACAACAAAATACAACAGTGTGTGTGTGCATTTTATATAATCACATTAATATTACATAAAAGGATCCTCACACGAAATAATACAATTCAGGAATTCAAGAACCATGCTGTCATTACACCCATCACATCATTCCATCCTCTCAATTCTCACTCCAGTGAAACCCTCAACAACCCATAATCACATATGAATCCAACAGGAGAAAGCCAATCCTCCCCCAATCATTTCATCTCCATCTCTCACCTTCGGGGCTATACAAACACCTTCTCCCGCTATCTCCCCTGGGGAGATCAAGTTCTTCCTCTCACTCTGGGGTAGAAGGGTCTCTGGACACAGCCACCCATAGGCTTGACTCTCACACCCTCAGAGGGAGCATCCCAGTCAATCAAACAAAAATAAAGCAAATGCCCCTTAAAATAACTTTGAATTTATAAAAGCACCAAACTAAGTAGTTCAGAGCCAATTAAAGAAGGCATGCCAAAGAGCTGAGTAAACAGCAAGAACTAACAGCATCCTTTGGAATTCACTGGCACCAGGAGATCTCCAGAGTCATCCCAGCCTTGGCAGAAACCTCACACCCTCCACTACCTGTTGTTTCCAGAGAAAGTCCAGCCGGGCCGTAGACTCCACCTGCTGGGCATGCAGATAGAGTGCCAAAGCAAAGAGCAGCAAGATGACAGGTGTCATGTACTGTAGGGCCACTTTCCCCTCGGCAGAACTAGGAGAAAAGAGAGTAAAGGCAAGCTGTTATCTTTCTGCGCTCCTGTGCCCAATACAGCCCTGACACAACCCCTTTGCTCTGCTTCCTCCCCCAGCCTAGGGAAGCCCCCTGCTCTTTAAAAACCAAACTCAGCCCATTCTCCCTCTCTGTCCCTTATGCTTGGCGTACCTTCCTGCCATGACACCAAGGGGACAACCCAAATGCACTGTCATTACATGCTTGCTATCTGGCTTGGGTGCTACATGCAGAAGGTGGAATATAAATGAAAATGAGGAAAAATTAAACCACCGTTGTTACTCCATAAAGTCCATCGCTTCCACAAAGCATTTGGCATTTCCCTTTAGCTGCCATCCCAAGCTGAAATAAAAGCTGTTATTTGTGACTCCAGTTTTAATTTTTTTTTATTTGTGGTACGCAGTTACGTCTTGTTTTTATTTAGCTTTCCTTAGGAAGCTTTGGGTTGTAGCCAAGTTATTCCTACTCGGAGCAGACTTGACTACCTTGGGTCCATTAATTTCAATGGGTCTACTCCAAGTATAAGTTGGATAAAACCTTTCACCGAATAATGCATTTTCATTCAAATCACTCAGAGATTGTTATATTAAGTGGTACACAAAATCCATATATAATTTGCTTAAATTTCATTTCACCTCAACGATTTATGTATATATATCACTTAAACCTAACTACATATACAGTGGTACCTCGGGTTACATACGCTTCAGGTTACAGACTCCGCTCACCCAGAAATAGTACCTCGGGTTAAGAACTTTGCTTCAGGATGAGAACAGAAATTGCACGGCAGCAGCTCAGTGGCAGCGGGAAGCCCCATTAGCTAAAGTGGTGCTTCAGGTTAAGAACAGTTTCAGGTTAAGAACGAACCTCCGGAACGAATTAAGTACGTAACCAGAGGTACCACTGTAACTGCATTTCCTTACCGGTATATTTGTCCCTTGCTATCATTGCTTCACCATTGCTAGGTTCTCTCCCCTCCCCTCTAAACTTGGACAGTAAGCTCCTCAGGGCAGGTACCTATATAGTGCTTCTGTCACATTGTTACTGATATAGCATCACAATATATAATCAAAACAGCACAATCTGATGCTTGCAAATCCAAAAGACTTCTAAAAACCAGAATCTACCATTCTCCCAAACCCTAAAAAACAGCCTTGGGACAGTTTTCCCCAAACTAGTACCCTCCAGATATTGTTGGACTGCAACTCCCATCAGTATGGCTTATTGTCAGGAAAGGTGGGAGTTGTAGTCCAACAACATCTGGAGATGTCACCTGTACCCCCTTGCTGTACACTTAATTTTTCCAAAGCTTTGGTAACACCTTCACCAAACCTCTAAGGTAAAGGTAAAGGGACCCCTGACCATTAGGTCCAGTCGTGACCGACTCTGGGGTTGCAGGGCTCATCTCGCTTTATTGGCCAAGGGAGCAGGCGTACAGCTTCTGGGTCATGTGGCCAGCATGACTAAGCCGCTTCTGGCAAACCAGAGCAGCGCACGAAAATGCCGTTTACCTTCCCGCTGGAGTGGTACCTATTTATCTACTTGCATTTTGACGTGCTTTCAAAGTGCTAGGTTGGCAGGAGCTGGGACCGAGCAACAGGAGCTCACCCCGTCACGGGGATTTGAACTGCCAACCTTCTGATCGGCAAGTCCTAGGCTCTGTGGTTTAACCCACAGCACCACCAAACCTCTAGGTAGCCTTTATAACCACAACCCTCCATTCCCCACAACCACACCAAAATTGGCTTCCAACTCACCAATCTTGACTACTCTGGGTTTCATTGAAGGCTGGCCTGTTGTGAGAAGGGGGAGAGAATAATTTTTATAGAGAGAGGCCCAAGTCACCCAATACCAACACCCCAAACCACCTCCCACAATGCAAGGCAAATGAGATTGAGGGCGGCTTAGAAGTGGGGAAATGGGCTGGGAGACAATGAAGATTCTGGTAGTAGATGATGCACCTGAATTCTGACCCAAGTATCTTGCAATGGGAAGAGACTAAGTAGCCTCCTCCTTAGTTTAACACCCATGTCCACATAGAATGGATCACAATTAAGAGGTTTCTGGAGCTTTATAGAACACCGCAGACTCAGCGCGGTTTCCTTTTTCTCTGCTCCCCAAATTTAGTTGTTTACAAATCATGTTTGCCTATGCCTGGTTTATTTTTTGTAAACCACTTCCAAGTTTTATTACAATCCAGAGGTATATAAATTTTGTTTAATAAAAATATGCAACATTAAGTTACAGTTTTTTCCTTTCTTTCACTTCTTAGCTAATAGAGCAGCTTCCGTATATAATTTGAAGCAAATTATTTTCTCAGAGGAAGGGATGTTCTTACTCCTTTCACCCAGAAATAGATTTTTCTGCTTTAAAACTCCCCCCTCCTGAGGAAGCTGCTCTCTCCTCTCCCTGGGTGGGGAAAAAGATGTGGGCACCCAAGGTGGGGGGAGGTGGGCACAGAAAATACAGAAGCAGTTTGCCCAGTGATGGCTTGCTGGCTTATTTTTCCACACATGGTAGAAATATGAACAAGTCAAGAAATATTCAGGAAGAATGGGTTCAAGTTCATTCCGAAAGAATTTTTGGATACAAAGTCCCACTGCATCCGGTCATATTCTTGCTGGATTATTCAGAAGGGTCAGTGAAGGAAGAACATAAGGATATGATTTATTACTTGCTAGCAGCTGCTACGATCTTACATGTAGCTAAAAGGAGAATGGTTACAGCTCCCGACGATTAAAGAACTGCATAATAAGATACGGGATTATGCAGTAGCGGCAAAATGAACTTATTATATAACATCTAAGGATTGTAATTGTAGACAACATATGTTAAAATGGAATAAGTCTGTCAATTATTGTAGAGCATATTGTTTTATCTTCCAGTGCCAATTATGGATTTTCTATGTTGTGAGCTGGCTGGGTTTTTGTTTTTAAGTGGGAAAAGTGCCAAAGGAATAAAAAGACCCTCTCATGAGATAATGCATGAATGAGAACCTTTGGGAATCCACAATTCAGCTGATATCTGAAGGGCCACATAACCACCACCTCTGGTGTAAAGTGACAGTGCTATATCATCTTTGTTTCTGATGTTATTTGCTATTGTGGTGGTTTGTAGCTGGGCCCATTTTCTCTCGGTTACTTGTGGCTGTTTGGAAAAGTTAAATTTGAGGGCAACATGGAAGAAAACAAACGCAGGGTGAAAGCTGGAAGACCCTCCCCACTTTAAATCACCCAGACAACTTCAGGGCCCAGGGCTGAAGGTTTGAGATTTTTCCAGTCCCAGAGGGGAGGGGGGATTCTTACAGGGCATTAGCTGCCACCAGCAGGTCGTAGTTGTTGAACAACACCCCCTGGGGGCCCTCGGCCACGGCCAGGTACACCACCTCCATCCCTATCAGCAACGCCAGCTTCCCAAGGCTATTGATGTGCAGGAAAACAGAGGAAGCCAGTAGACTCAGCAACACCGAGTAAGTGAAGTACTGCAGGGAGGAAAGGATAGAGATGTCAGGACGCCCCTTACAACAACTAGACGTGCTCCCCAAAGCCCACACTCATTCTCTTGAGACAAGTGTGACCTCTCCTTCTCCCCACTCTTAATTTGGACAGTGTTTGCTGCCACAAGGTTTTTTTTAAAAGAGAGATTAGATAAGTTCACAGAGAATGGTTCTACCAACAGCCACTATCCACAGACAAGCAACCGGGGTAGATCATCGCCCTCGTGCCTTGCTTGTGGAGTTCCCACAGGCACCTGAGTTGCATGAAACAGGATAGTCAATTGACCTTTGGTCTGATCCAGCAGGATCCTTTTGTGTTACATTCTCCTCCTGTCTTCACAGATATGCCACCCACCTCCGATTTCATACAGTGGTACCTCGCAAGACGAATGCCTCGCAAGACGAAAAACGCGCAAGACGAAAGAATTTTCCGTTTTTTGAGTCGTTCCGCAAGACGAATTTCCCTATGGGCTTGCTTCGCAAGATGAAACGTCTTGCGAGTTCTTGCGAGTTTGTTTCCTTTTTCTTAAAGCCGCTAAGCCGTTAATAGCCACTAAGCCGCTAATAGCCGTGCTTCGCAAGACGAAAAAACCGCAAGACGAAGAGACTCACGGAACGGACTAATTTCGTCTTGCGAGGCACCACTGTACTTGAGCAACCTTCAAGGCCCGGTCAGGGCCACAAACCCACAAGATATCAAGGCACTCTGTGGGAGCAAGGATGTAAAGGAAGGGAGGAGAGACCATCCTTGGACTTAGAGGTAAATGCTGACCCCAGGCCCAGTGACTGAACCCCCAAGTCCCACCCACAACTCTTCACACCTCATGCAACCCCCCGCCCCGATCTTTCTGAAATACACGTACCTCAGGGAAGCTGCAGCTAGAAGCGCCATTTCCCTGGCAGGGCAGAGTGTCTGATGCCAATGAGTAGTTGAGGGCATGTAGGTGGCAGGGCCCCACGGCGGCTGGAGTAATGTTGAGAAACCCGGCAGCGCAGTCTTGGAGGCGGAGCCGGCTGCAAGCAAACTGGGTTGAGGGGGGAAAAATGGCCGACTATGTAGGGCTGACAGGGAACTCAATGCTGCTCTTGTTTGCTCTGGGCTTGTCCGATCCCACCCAATGCCAGAGACTTATGGCAACCAGGATAATGGAGAGCCAATGCCTGGGCTCTGGGGCCGGAGACAGACAAAGGGTTCTTCGGAGAGTTGAAGGTTCGGAGAGGGTTGGAAGTGGGACTGCTGCTCATAATGTATACTTTCTTCCCACTTTTGCCCACTGGTAAATACAATTTTGTACTGTTCCAAACACCTGCTTGATCCGGGGAAACAGCAGGACATGAGGAGCGTGTGCATAACTCCCTCAAACCACTTTAGTCCCCCCCCCCCTCTCGTGTGTATCTCCAGCCTAGAGCATCCTTTGTGCTCTTTCCTGACTCCCATATCGCCTTGGTTCTCAACTGTCCCCACACCAGTCAAGGCCTCACTGCAAGACCTGCCCACCCCTCCCAACCCTCATACCATGTTGACAAAAGCAGAGATGAAGACCAGCAGGATGGCAGCAACACCAGTAATCGTGCTGTTCATTCGGGACTGGATAATCTTGCGGGAGACACGCTGCAAGGCGGCTGGAAAAGGCTGTAGGGAGTCACAAGAGGTCGTATGAGATGGGGGGGCCACCACCACACACCCCATTATGCCCAAGAGGCTAGAACAAGCCTTGACTGCCCCCTCATCCACACCAGCCTGGTTACACCAGAATCAGGTGTTAGCATTCAAACCCACAGCACGTTCTGAACCCAGGCGATAACAGGTGGGGATTTAGCTTGCACACTCAGCGGCAGAGCTCCTGCTTGGTATGGAGAAGGTCCCAGGCCCACTCCCTGGTATGACCAGTTGAACAGAGCAGGTTTGAGAGACCTTAGGGAACATAGGGAGCAGTTGCCAGCCAGGGCAGCACCAGGAGAACAAATAGTCTGGCTTGGTACAGAAGTTAGCTTCCTGTGTTCTGACTGGTCTGAGGAGGAAACTGCAGGGAGATTAGCCAGAAAGCCTCTTAGCTACAGTAGGCCAGAGGTGGTCAGAAGATACTCTCAGATCCATGTAAAACCTTCCAGACCCAGCTTGTTCATTGGCCTGAGCAGCTAAGGGACCCTTCTCCTCCTGGCTGCTGACTTGCTTTGCCTTTCCTCACCCTTAAATGGACAGAAGCCTGACACCAGGACAGCAGGCCTGTCTGCTCAGCCCAGCATATCAAGGGCTTAAGGGGCAGGGGGGTGACACTGTGGCAAAAACCCAGGAGCTGCACATGGAACCAAACTGAACCCACACACTGCACCCTCAAAAGGCATAAGGGGTGTTCCCAGGTGGGGTCCAAGGGCTGGCAGAGGGAAGGTCAGGGAGTCCTTGGGATAGTCAGGAGTCACAAAGACATGGGGTCCCAATGAAGAGAAAATCACTTACGCCAAGGCAGGAGTAGATGGCACAGACAAAAAGGATGGTGGCCAGGATGACAAAGATGCTGATGTAGGCGCCAAGCATCAGAGGGGAGCTGCGGGGAGACAAGGCAGAATCAGCCCCACCAGTCAGGAGAACACCATAACGCGTGTGGCTTTCCACCACTCATCAAATGTTGGTGGACTCCAACTCCCATCAGTCCCTGTCAGTATGGCCAATGGTCAGGGATGATAGAATTGTGGTCCCAAAAAGATCCAGGCCCCTGGTGCGGGGAAGGCAGAAGTACTGTGTAAGTTAACAATATTGTGCATATTGTTGCAAGACAGAATGTTAAATTTATTTTTTTTAAAAAATATTGTATTGTGTGGGTTTTCCACTTGTGGTGACCCCTGACTCCCAAGACCAGTTTGGCTTTGTTGGTAAGTCACTTCTCTGCCTCTTTTTGCTTAAGAATCAGACTGAAAGCAAAAACCTCCACAACCACAGACTCTCTCTCCCCACTTTCCCATTTACTCACAGTGGTCTCCCCACTTCCCCATTTACCCCTCCTTTGCTCAGTGATATCCCCCAATTAGACATTTAATCAGTCTAGCATATCACCTTTTCTCACAATGTTGTCATGTGGCATTTGCCAACCCCTTCTGCATCAGGTGTGTAACACGGGCGAGAGGGGGAACTTGGGTGTCGTGGTTCAAAGTGTAAATATACTCACAGACAGACAGCACATCTATGCTCCCTAATAACTGCAACTGAAATCCTTCCCTCCTCTTCCCCTAAAACATTTGTGGCAGCAAATAATTTTACTGACTGGAATCCTGGCAGACTTTGCTAAATAAATGAGGGATATCTTGGGTTATCCAATTGGAAATTGAAACCCATTGGTTCAAGCAGCCACACTTGTGGACAAGGAGATGGAGTTGAGAGAAGGACTGTGGTTTAGTGGTATGACACCTGCTTTGCATGCAGGATGTCCTGGACTCAATCCCTGGTGTCTCCAGGCAGGGATTAGAAAGACTCCCGTCTGAAATCTTGGGAGAGCTTCCACTAGCTGGTGCTGACAATAATGAGCAAGAAGGGGCCAATAGTTGGAATTGGTAGAAAGCAGCTTCCTATGACTTTGAGGTTCCCCTGGCCCAATTTCTTCCACAGTGCCTTGATTGGGAATCAGCGGCTTGAGGCTCCTGTGCATCTGTTGGTGGCACATGATGGCAAGTAGTGCATAATAAGCCTTTATGAGAACTAGGTGTGCTTAGGACCAGTATGTTTCCGAGCACAATTCAAAGTGTTGGTGTTGACCTTTAAAGCCCTAAATGGCCTCGGCCCAGTATACCTGAAGGAGCGTCTCCACCCCCATCGTTCTGCCCAGATGCTGAGGTCCAGTGCCGTGGGCCTTCTGGCGGTTCCCTCATTGCAAGAAGCAAAAGCTACAGGGAACCAGGCAGAGGGCCTTCTCGGTAGTGGCACCTGCCCTGTGGAACGCCCTCCCATCAGATGTCAAAGAGACAAACAACTACCTGACATTCAGAAGACATCTTAAGGCAGCCCTGTTCAGGGAAGTTTTTAATGTGTGACATCTTAGTGTATTTTTGGTCTTTGTGGAAGCTGCCCAGAGTGGCTGGGGAAACCCAGCCAGATGGGTGGGGTACAAATAATAAATTATTATTATTATTATTATTATGCATCTGTACATGCCACCTTACCTCGCCTATGGCTACCATATGCAGCAATGGAGAGGTGTAGGATGCAGACCCACTGCACATACTGGGATCCTGTGAAGCGTGTGCCTTCACTGTGTGTGCACATGAATGCACACACACGGGCATGAATGCATATGTACCACGTTTGCAGAAAGAGCACATGACGAACGTACTCTTGCATATGTGTCACTCACTGCGGGAAGATGACAATCTGGATGCAGCAAATGAAGCAGAAGACGAGCACGGTGCAAGCCACGTAGCCGCCAAAGCGGGTATCCACCTTTTTGGAATACTGCAGGGTGGAAGGAGAAGAGAAAGGGAAGTTACCAGTGGGGAGTGGGGGTGGTTCTGCCTGAACTGGAACAAAGAGGTGTGGGATTTCCATGTCCAGACTGAAAGCTGAAGACTCCAGAAGCAAATGGGAAGGTACCTTCTTCTCCAACTCTGGCTTCTGGAAAGTGAGCAGGAAGCGCTTGACATGGTCCTTGCGCAACTGGTCAATGCTTCGAGCATCAATGGCTCTGCCCAGAAACTCATCAACTTCATCTTCAGGGTTCAGGGCCTCCTGCGTGCTTCGGCTGCAAGAGAAAGATGTCCCAGTTTTATGACTAGTTGTGGGGGCATCAAGTGGCAGTAAAGCAAGCCTTGCCGGTGAAGTCCCTCCCCCCACATTCATTTTGCCACTCGTTGCAGAATCAGCTCCCAGACTGTCCCAACACAGGTAAGGGGCTCTAACTGGCACAGCCTCCCTACCCCCTGCTAGGGTCCCAAGAGCGAGGCAAGATACTCACTTGTCTTTGCTGGAATCATCAATACCCTGAGAAAGGAGAGGGAGACACAGAGAGGAAACAGATATTTATATTTATTCATAAAAGTATTTTTGTACCACCTTATCTTAAAATACCAGGGTGCTTTGCAACAACAAAATATTAAGAGCCATTAAAAGCAATTCAAAAAATCATCCAAGTGACTGGCTAATTAAACAGCTGCAAAAGCCTGTTGGCCTAAAAACAGTATTCAAGAGACACCAGAAAGTCAAAAGCATGGATGCCCATCAGATCTTTGCTAGAAGACTTCTCCACAGTGTGGATATCATTCAAATGTTCAAGTGTTCCCAGCAGATTTTAAGAAAATTGTATACATATGCACAAAAAATGTAGAACTTGTGATCTTTTTAGAACATTAATATATAATCACGCAATCTTTACTGTGAATGTCTAAAGTGCAGAAATGGCTAACAACTGTGAGGGAATGCTATTAGTCTTAAAATACAGTGGTACCTCGGGTTAAGTACTTAATTCGTTCCGGAGGTCCGTTCTTCACCTGAAACTGTTCTTAACCTGAAGCACTACTTTAGCTAATGGGGCCTCCTGCTGCCACCGCGTCACCGGAGCACAATTTCTGTTCTTATCCTGAAGCAAAGTTCTTAACCAGAGGTACTATTTCTGGGTAAGCGGAGTCTGTAACCTGAAGGGTATGTAACCTGAAGCGTATGTAACCTGAGGTACCACTGTACCTGCAATATTTATTTATTTATTTATTTATTTAAGACAGCGGTGGGGAATCTCCAGTGCATTGGTCCATGAGGGGGTCCAATTAGGGCTCTGGGGTCATATCCCCCAAACCACACACCTGTCAATCAGCTGGTGGGTTGGGAGGAGAGTTGTTTAAAATCCTGCTAAGTATTGCTTCACCAAAATACTGCTAATGTGGTATAGTGGTTAGAGTGCCTGGGAGACCAAATCCCCACTCAGCCATGAAACCCACTGGCTGACCTTGGGCTAGTCACCACCTCTCAACCTAAACCCGGGATAAAATGCGGAGGGAGAGAACCATCAATACCAACTTGAGTTCCTTGGAGAAAAGGTCGGATAAAAATAAAATATGAATAACAGTAGCAGTAGTAGTAGTAGTAATAATAATAATAATAGAGAAATATCTACGTAAAATATTAAAACAGCAGAGCATAACATACAGTTATTAAAACCACATAAGATCAGGACCTCCTGCCAATGTAGCAGTTCGAAAGCATGTCAAAGTGCAAGTAGATAAATAGGTACCGCTGCAGCGGGAAGGTAAACGGCGTTTCCATGCGCTGCTCTGGTTCGCCAGAAGTGGCTTAGTCATGCTGGCCACATGACCCAGAAGCTGTACACCGGCTCCCTCAGCCAATAAAGCGAGATGAGCGCCGCAACCCCAGAGTTGGCCATGACTGGACCTAATGGTCAGGGGTCCCTTTACCTTTTAAGATCAGGACACAGCAGTAGCAAAAAGATCTGGGGGGAGGGAATGGTATTCACCTGGTGCTGAGAAGATAAACCAAGTCAGTGCAAGGCAAATCTCTCTTGGGGAACACATTTCAACGACAGGGTGCAAACAGAGAGAAAGTTCCATCTTGGCTCCCCCTCCCACCTCTCCTTAGATGGAGGGAGCACTTGAAAATGGGCTTCCAGAGTCACCCAAGTCATTTAGAGACTTGAAGGTCAAAACCAGAACTTTGAATCGTGCCTAGAAGCAGACAGGAAGCCACCACAGTTGATTTCAAAACTGGTGAGAGACAACCAAAACCCCAAATTCCCAGCAGCAATCTTCAATATTTTAAACCACCTGAAGCTTCTAAGGGGGCTCCTCGTATAGCACACTAAATACAATAATCAAAATGAGATGTTATCAGTGCATACTAAACTGCAGCTTGAAATCTCGACCAAGGAGAAATCACATCTGGTGTACCACCCAAGGTGGTAAAAAGGATCTAGAAGCCGAGAAAGCCACTGGGTTCTCCATCAAAAGATAACGTCAGTCCAAATAGCATACCAAGACTACAGATCTAATCCTTAACCGCAGCCAGAACAGGCTGAACCACACTTTCTTGGTCAGATAAGCCATGCATAGTAGCTCCATCCTGTCTGGACTGAGTTTCAGTTCAAGAACCTTGCCCCAAAATGGAATGTTTGTAATGTCGGGCGGCGGAGGAGGGAATCTTTGGATGCCCTTTATCAAGAATGGTCATAGAATCGTAGAACTGTAAAGCTGGAAGTAACCCCAAGGGTTATCTAGTCCAACTCTCTGCAATGCATTAAAATGGTTATACCTTGATTTTCTTTAAAAGGTAGTCTTCTCTCAGAAAGAGACATTTTTAGCCCCTAGACCCAGCAGATGAAACTACCCCAGGCAGATGTAATGAGCCAGGAAGGGCAAGGATTGAGCATCCAGGCAGTAGGCTGCCCCCATCCCTCAGAGCAGCCTGTCAATGGCCTCAGGCCTCAGCGACAAAATGTGACTCAGTGGTGTTCTGAACATGATCACAGAGACGGCAGTAAAGGAGGCATTCCAGTCCGTGCAGATATGGGCAATTCTGCCTTTGAAATGATTAGCAAATAAGTCGCAGCTGGCCTCTGGGGAGTCTTTAACACCTGGATATGGGCTCAGATGGAGAAGGTCACATACCCTCCAGTGGATGGCATTGTGAGGGGGAAGTGTTGTTCCTTCACTGAATCTACTGTGTCAATAATGGCAATCATGAACAGTTACCTGCGTTTGGTTGGATTCACTGCTGCCAACACCATGCTAGCCAGTGCAGTAAACCAAGGAGCAAATGGACTCTTTCTAGCGGGAGTGATGATTTCACCTGTCTGAGTCACCTTCATGTTCCACAGAGCAAAGCATTGACAGAAACACTAGCCCCAAACTGCCCAAGGCCTATCAGGAATCCAACAGCCTCTGAAAGCAGGCCATCTTAACAGGTTCCTCTTCAACAGGATAGCTGTAAGTCTGAAGTCCTGTTCAGGCACTTGAGTCAAACTCATAAGGGCCCAGACTGTGTATGGGTGGAAGAAACTGTTAAGTTGTGGGTGAACATATCAGACGACACAGCGATTCTTCAAACAGCTCTTGTTTATTCACAGGCCAGGACAGAACTGAACTGAAGGGTTCAGTCAGCCTGCTTATATAGAGCTCCAGTACAACGTTACTGTAACAACTTTCTAAAACTATCCAATCACTGAACGTCACTTTCGATCCCTTATTTGCATAACTATCTACAGTATCCCCCTGCTGGCCCAGGGTGAGAACTTCAGTACATAACAGAAACATTGGCCCCACCTTGTGACATCCCCAACATGCAGAGTTCCTGGTCATCATCCAGCTGAATACACTTTTAATCTCTTTCCAGACCTGAATGTGAGACCTGGGAGCAGATATGTGGGGCATTAGGGGAAAGGGTGTTGCTGGTGCCCATAACACAGTTTTTTTGCCCTTAAGCCTTTGGCCAAGTAGAGCTTAATCTGAGCAGGAAGTGATCCAACCATAATTAGAGGAAAAGGTAAGTAACTCAGAAATTCATGTAGGGCTGAAGTGACCCCAAACTGCTTCACTCCTAGACCCCAAGCACAAGTCAAAGCCTGAGCCCAGAGACTTTCCTGAGGCACCAGAACCACCAACAAACCATTCCACTGTATTGAATTAGCTAAACCACAACAACAGATGCTGGGAGCAAAGGGCACTGCCAGATCATGCAACAGCCACCAGTATCGTGGCAACCAATCAGCCACTACCAAACCATGTCAGACAATGGGCTGCCACCACTGGCAGAGTAGCTCCTTCCTACCATGCTAATGAAGCTCCTCCTAAGATGCAAAGGATGCCATGGCAGCAGATGCCACACCACAAAACCCACTGAGCAACCAGTGCCATAGCAACAACCTGCAATCGAGCAATCAGCAAAGTAACAGCAACCCTTCAAAGTGAATGACACAAGACCACGGGTCGTCCCTTAGCAACCAGCAAACTGTGACAATATGATGAAGAAGAGCACATTAAGTGGTAGTGGTGGTTTTTTTAAAACACTGGAATTATGCAAATTGGCTTAAAATCTTGCTCAATTTACACTTTACACTTTTGAAATCAGGGTAGTGGCTACAAGGTTCTGCATACAAGTATATTGCCAGAAATTGAGATAGTCTCTATGACCTATCATTTCTTAGACTAAGAAGTCTGGATAGATATTGCATTAAATAACCAACCTTAATGCGGAGCTGACAGTGTTTAAAATCCCTAGACAACCATGTTTCATTTAAGCAGGGCAAATGGGATTTTTCCAGCACAGAAAAAGGAAGGTGCAGTGAGAACAAACAACTGTTGCAATACATGAAGTCTCACTGAAAAAACCCCCAACACTCTTTGGTTTTGAAACCAGGGAAAGGCAGCTTCAGTATCAGGGGATCTGCCATCTATTCTCAAGAAACATGTCTGTGGGCTGGGAGTATATTTTGTGGCACAATCGGATCCCTTCAGATGCGGTCAGGCTCTGTGATAAAGTTATCAACATCTAACAATAAGGGCCCTCATAGCCGTGGAACAAGTGTGTAGAGGCAGAGCCAAGGTCGTTCTGCAGAAACTCAGAATTAAAATGTCACACAGTTTGCTTAAGCATTGGTGATCAGCTAAAAGGGTCTTGTGGGTCACACCCTGGCCATGAGAGCTGAAAACTTAGCCATCTGTATTTTCTCATTCATACACGGGCTGTGGGGGCTACAAACTTGCTTTTGTTTTGTTTAAAATAAAAGCCAAGTCTCTCAGGATTGTGTAGAAGCTGGTAGATTTCATGCTAAGGCCTCACTCAGTTCATAGACTCATAGAACTGTAGAATTGGAAGGGACAGCAAGGGTCATCTAGTCCAACCCCCTGCAATGCAGAAATATTTTGCCCAACCTGGGTCTTGAACCCACAACCCTGAGATTAAGTCTCTTATGCTCTACCGACTAAGGTATCCCAGCTATTTAAATAGGCTGTCACCTTGGCTTTTTGTGAGAATCTTACAAAGCAAACAACATGTAGTAACTTATTTTTTTATATACAAAAAAATGCTTCCAAAGTCTTAAAGTTAGCCAGCACATCAAGTTAATGGTCATAGCCATGTTAGTTTCGAAATCTCCCCCTCCCTGACACACACAAATTGGGAACAATAGCTGCCCCAATGTGCAACAACTGTTGCTATAACAATGCTCCATGCAATTTATGAAGCAAAATAGGGCTGGGAGGAGGGAGACTTAGAAAAGCAGGGCATTGTGCCGAGGTCACAGGAAGGAAGTAGGAAAGACTCAGGGGAAGAAAGATTCCAGTTCTCCTAGAAAGACCAAGGGTGAGGCGTGCCGGCGGGTGGGAAGAAAAGGGTGAGAGAGAGATAGCTGTTGGCTGTGGCGGCTGATAGCAGGGGAAGGAAACTGGGTCCAGAAGGGACCTTCCTCCAAGACTCTCTTTGAGATGTGCTCGACACCTGCAGCAGAACGGGGGCAGTAGAGCAGACCGACTCTAAGCAAGAGGGGAAGGAACGTTTTTGAAAGCTTTTCCATAGAAGACCACTCCATGCACAGAGAAAGTAGGGGAGAAGCTGGTGTTAAAATGGATCTCTTCTCAGCTATGCTTCTTTTATTACACGAGGAGCACACCGTGCGTAGTCAAAATAACACCATTCACACATAAACATACAGAAGAACCCCAGGGTTTGCCAGTATATATATATATTGGGGGGGGGGGAAACCCCCTCAAAGCAGCCCAAATATGTTCAGCGGGTAGAGAATGCTGGCCAGTTGCATGTGAAGTGGGAACAGAAGAGGTCAAAAGTGGTTGGGATCCTGAACAGGAACACTCAATCCTACTACAGCGGTACCTCAGGTTACATACACTTCAGGTTACATACACTTTAGGTTACAGACTCCGCTAACCCAGAAATAGTGCTTCAGGTTAAGAACTTTGCTTCAGGATGAGAACAATAATCGTGCTCCGGCGGCGCGGTGGCAGCGGGAGGCCCCATTAACTAAAGTGGTGCTTCAGGTTAAGAACAGTTTCAGGTTAAGAACGGACCTCCGGAACGAATTAAGTACTTAACCTGAGGTACCACTGTATATTTTGTTGCAAGCCTCACATGTACCAGCTCTCGAGACCTCATCCTGCTCCATAGGCAGACCCAGCCTAAACTTCATATACTGGGAGGTGGGGCGGTGGGGGGAATGTGGATGATTAACAGGGAGGGGAAGAATTACTCCTTCCAATGCTAGATCAGTAAATCCTAATCTGTATGCCATGAAATAAACTTAACAATTTATGCAATTTGAGCCGCACCGTACTTGGCAACAAAGGAAATGCATCCACTGCAACTCCGCACAATTTCACTGGGTGGTATTCAACACTTGTCCTACTCAAAGTAGGAGACCCACTGAAGTTAACAGCCATGAGTAACAAAGGTTGGTTAATTTCAGTTCTACACCGAGTAGGACCTAGCTGAATAAAACTCATAGACCTTGCCTTGCCCCTTTGCAGCAGCCTCTAGTAGGAGCAATTAATTCAGATATATCACTCCACTGGGTGCAACTGGAGCATGTAAATACACTCCATGTATAGACAAACATGGCAGAATTACCTGCCCACTAGGAGGCCAACAGTTACATCTCTGCCTGAGTAGCAAAACCAGGTTTGCACACTGGCACCGGGGTCTTGCACAGAAATCTAGGGGGCGACCTCCTTTGAGAAGTAAGAGACCTCCTCTTACTTTTGCACATTTTCTCAACATAAAATCTGTTCAGATGAAATGGAGGCGGGAAAAGGTGTGCCCTACTTATCAGAAGATACCGTATTTTTTGCTCTATAAGACTCACTTTTTCCCTCCTAAAAAGTAAGGGGAAATGTGTGTGTCATCTTATGGAGTGAATGCAGGCTGTGCAGCTATCCCAGAAGCCAGAACAGCCTCTTGCTGTTCTGGCTTCTGAGATTCAGAATATATTTTTTCTTCCTCCAAAAACTAGGTGCGTCTTATGGTCTGGTGTGACTTATAGAGCGAAAAATACGGTAACTTGGGGTAACTTAAGGGCAGAAAGGGCTCAGGCATTTGCTGCAGGAATGCCCAGAAAACCTTGGGAGGTTCCCCTACCCACTGAGTAAGCACACAAGCACCTCTCATTCTTGCCACCCAAGCAAGATAGTCCAGAGTAATTCAGGCACGAAATTCTTCCTAGTTAGCCGCTCACCACACCTCTCGCTCAGGTGAGTGCCTGATTGGAAACAACCTGCATTGAAACTGCCCCAGGCAAAATCCACCAGCTCAGAATGGCTGCTAGCAACACACCCACCCAACCAACAAGCCATAAAAAGAGAATCTGGACATTCTCCCGCTCCCCACAAAAGCCACCACTTCAAAAACCCTTTACACACAGAAGACTTTCCTCTAATATGGAGAAGAACTGTTCTACTTGTTTTCACATGAAGGAACAACTCCCCACAACTCTGCTCCTGCCTTCTGTGGTAGGAGCTGTAATAAATGCTGTAGAGGGCTGTAATAAATGCTCTTTCACATGTGAATGTGTCCCTCAGCCCTAATGCTTCAAAATAATCCTCCTAGTTCCTGAAGCAAGTACCTTCTGTCCTGATAGCTGTTGTATTTCTTAAACAGCCTAAGAAACCCAAATGCTTCGGATTTATTTGGCAAAGCTCAGAAGGCCTTGTACTCCCTTCAAAATCCGTATTGTAACTAGACATTTCTTCACCAGAGGTCAGACTTTTAAGAATCCACACTATGCCCCCACCCATTCAGTTTTCAGATAAAACGGTCAATTGTGATTCTCCAGTTGTAGAACACTGCACTTTTTAGCTCTGCCCCACATCTGGGTCTCTAGACATTTGAAAATCGTCCTGTTTCAGCCAACATGGAGCCAGGGTGGGTGGGTTGGGGTGACATGGTACCCAATTTCTGCCTGCTTAGACAGTCCATCAGAAGCATGAAAGAGTTTCCTTCCCTCAGCCCCTTGTTGTGCCGCCCCCTGAGAGAGCTGGGCCCCAGGTATTCAGGAGCCGAGAAAGCCAATTTACTTTCTGGCATTTCTATCCTTCCTATGCTCTGAGGAGCTCTCAGTTGTGTGCTCAGTTCTCCCCCTGTCCCACTGTATCCTCACAACCACCATGTGAGGTAGGTTAGGCTGAGAGAAGGTGACTGAGCCAAGGTCACCCCATGAACTTCCTGGCTGAGTGGGGATTTCAACCCTGGTCTCTCAGTCCCTAGTCCAACACTCTTAACTGCTACTCCATACTTGCTCTTTAGTCCCTTTATACACCTAGCCTGGCACTATCAACTCTAGTCTCTTTCCAAGGTCTCGGGCAAATAGAAGAAGAAGAAAAAGAAGAGGAGGAGGAGGAGTTTGGGTTTGATATCTTGCTTTATCACTACCCTAAGGAGTCTCAAAGCGGCTAACAATATCCTTTCCCTTCCTCTCCTACGACAAACACTCTGTGAGGTGAGTGAGGCTGAGAGACTTCAGAGAAGTGTGACAAGCCCAAGGTCACCCAGCAGCTGCATGTGGAGGAGCGGGGAATCGAACCCAGTTCACCAGATTATGAGTCCACTGCTCTTAACCACTACACCACATTGGTGTGGAGGTTTTTCTACTTGATCTGTTTAACTGGAGACACCAGGGACTGATGCCAGGAACCATCTGCATGCAGCATATGTCTCTACCAATGCTGTCCTACTTTAACCCCAATTCCTTCCATAACTTTTGTTTTCCAAAAAAAGAAGAAGGCTAAAAGTATTTTTGTTCTCTTGTTTGTTGGATATTTGACACCTCCTTTGTCCAATTAGCTTGTCTCCCAGGATGATTATCTCGAGGGAAAATATGATGTGCTGACACAACGCATCAGATCTCCCCTATCCGCATGGTATCAATAGATTTCCTTTTAACATTGGTCAGCTAGCCTCCAAAGGTTGACAGGGTAAATAGCTGGATCTGGGCTGGTGGTGTAGTCTACTTATCTGCCCTTCTGCTGTCCTCATGGAAGGTACTCCTAGACAGAAAGACAGCAGGCTTCATTCCACACACATATTCAAAAACACACATTGAGGAGATTCCCTATGCTTCTTCGCGTCTGCTGCAACACCCAAGCAGACTCTTGGACATCTGCTGTGCCGACATCTCATTTCAAAAGCCAGTTCCTCTCCAAAGTTAAAAAGCGGTGCTACTCAATATCTCCATATGGATCTAGGCTTTTATTTATTAGAAAATTTATATCCTGCCTTTTTGAGCCAAAGCATCTAAACAATGGTTAACAATAAGAACCCAAATAAATATAATTTGAGGGGAGACAATGTTTTTTTAAAAAATAATAATAATCAAGAACTACCGTATTTTTTGTCCTATAGGGTGCACCGGCCCATAGGACATACCTCGTTTTTTGGGGGGGGAAATGAATAAAAAAAATGTATCCCCCCCCGCTGCAGCTGCCGCCCCAAGCCTTGCGCACACCTGCCCGAAGCATGGGGCACCCTCCAGAGGGCTCCGCGTGCTTGGGGCTGCACGCTGCCGCCCCAAACCTCGCGCGCCTGACGGGAGGTCCCGCCAGGCGTGCGAGGCTTGACACTGCCGAGCACGAGCTCGCCGGAGGGCTCCCCGTGCTTCGGGCGACAGGCTGCCGCCCCAAGCCTCGCGCGCTCGGCGGGACCTCCTGCCGGGCGCGCAAGGCTTGCGGACACTCGCCAGGGCTGCAGGCTGCTGCCCGCAAGCCTTGTGAGCCCGCGGGAACTCCCGCCGGGCTTGCAAGGCTTGCGGATAGCTTCCTGAAGCCTGGAGAGCGAGAGGGGTCGGTGCGCACCGATGCCTCTCGCTCTCCAGGCTTCAGCGAAAGCCTGCATTCGCCCCATAGGACGCACACACATTTCCCCTTCATTTTTGGAGGGGAAAAAGTGCGTCCTATGGGGCAAAAAATACGGTAATCAATCAATCAAGTTAGCAGCAATAAACAATGACCAAAAGCTAGCAGAAGGTGGGAGATTCTCTTCCAAATTCGAGGGCAGCCTGGGATGGCACAGCCTAGACCAATAACAGCAGCAAAAATTAACAGAGATCAGGGAAAGTGTGAATATCCCTTGGGAGGGACTTCCAGAGTTTGGATTCCACCACCAAGGAGGTCGTACCCCAAGTAACTCTGCCCTCAATTTACTTCAAATGGCAAAAGGGTTCAGGAAGAACAGTCTCCAAGGAAGTTCTTGTAACGTGGGTAGATTCACGCTGAGCTGGGAGGGAGGTAGAGGAGGACCTTCCACATTATATATATATTTATTTATGCCATCCTCGTGTTCTTAGAAAAATTACGTGAGCAGATTCAGCCCAAAGCCTCCAACTGGCCCATGCCACAAGGAAAAGAGAAAACCAGCTTGCTTGTGGAGCATCAAATATATTATCTGTACATCACATAAAGGGTGGGGACATTATTTGCTTTCTCAGCTGCTAGGATCAGTAACAGCCTGGTTCTCATGGATGCAATTTGCTGCAAGTGGGGTAAAACTGTAACTCTGGCATGTGACACGTTCGGTTTTATGGCTGGTAATCCAACTGCACTGGAAGCAACTTTATGGTTATGGCCTATGGCCTTAAACAGCTACTCCCACCCTATCCCCATCCCCCCCTCATTCTGGGCCAACTCCTTTGGCACAGGGCTCACTATTGTCTCCTTGGCACAGGTCAATGTGCTGCTCTGACCTATAAACAGCCTTAATGCACAGAAGCCTCAGAAAAATCCTCTCCCTTAATTCCACATGCTTTCTCCTTTGCTCCACCGCAAGTGACAGACTCAAGCAAGAAGGATTTCTTCACTGCGCCACCCGTGCCACCAAAGAGGGAAGTTATTGGCGGCTCCCTTCTCAAGCACTCTGAGGATGTTTTAAGGCTTTTCCCACTTGGGCTGGCAATCAAGAGCCTGTGTGAAGCAGTCCAAATGGCAGCGGAGAAAAGCTCTGGATGCGTAGATTTCGCCATGCTCATTCCCCAGCTTCTCCAGTAAAAGAAGCTCACATAAGCGGCCCTGGAAAGATCCCCACCCAAAGTCCTTTTGCCAATCAATTTGGGCAAAGTAGATTAATACTGGACTCAATAAGAGACATCAGCTTCGTCTGCGCCAATAATAAGAACCAAAGAGACCAGATCCATGCTGCCATGTGACCAGCTTGCCACACAGTCAGAAAAGCCCACACAGGCAAGGCTTTTGCCATGGTCACCATGGGTTGTAGTCAATGCTAGCCTGGCTTAGAGCAGACCCATTGAAATTAGGATATGGCTTAATTTAGGTCCATGAAGAGTAACAGGTCTACTCTTAAGTTGGCTACAACCTTCTGCGCTCAAACATTCGTGAGAGCAGGCCCTTGTGGGGGCTTCCCCCTCTTTCTCTAAGGATAATAAAGGTAAAGGGACCCCTGACCATTAGGTCCAGTCGTGGCTGACTTTGGGGTTGCGGCGCCGAGGGAGTCGGCGTACAGCTTTCGGGTCATGTGGCCAGCATGACTAAGCCGCTTCTGGCGAACCAGAGCAGCACACGGAAACGCCATTTACCTTCCCGCTGGAGCGGTACCTATTTATCTACTTGCACTTTGATGTGCTTTCAAACTGCTAGGTTGGCAGGAGCAGGGACCGAGCAACGGGAGCTCACCCTGTCGCGGGGATTCGAACCGCCGACCTTCTGATCAGCAAGTCCTAGGCTCTGTGGTTTAACCCACAGCGCCACCCGCATCCCTTCAATATTTAGGATTTCATTAAGGATAATAAATAGTGTAAAATGTACACAACAGACCATTACCCATCCAGGACCTGCAAGCAGGTGTGTAACGTGATCAAAGCCCGGTTGCCTTTTTGCTCCCACCCTCTTGGCTGGATGTGCGCCCAAAGCAAGCCCTCTCTCTGTCCCTCGCTGGCACTCACCATCTGTCGGAAGGCCTTGGAGTCCTTCGTCCGGGGGAAGGAGCGCTCAGGCACCCAGCGAGGCACCAGCCCTTCGGTAGAATTGGCCTGAGCTCTCTGCAGCTTGGCTAAGATGGCCTTCTCCTCTTTCTGTCGGAGAGAAAAACAGGCCATGGAGGTGCAAACAAAGAAGCTGGGGGGGGGGGGAGGGGCCATGGGGAGAGACCCTTTCCAACACCCTCCTCTGGAATAAGGCTGCTCATCTTGGCCGGCCAGAGTTGCAGCTTCCACTGCTCCAGCTTTGGATAGCAGAATGCTCACCTTCCCCGTGAACCATACCTACAGGGCATAAGCAGCGCCCTGCTGGCTGGCAGGTAGGTTTTCTAACCCCCCACACCCTAGAGAAGGGGGGGGGAGGCAACTTTTTTGGGCCACTGGACACATATCAAATTTTGAGAGCATGCTGGGAGTGCCAGTCACAAAATTGCTACCACTGGGGGGGCACTGCATAACACACAATGGCTGCCGTGGGGAATGTGGCATAACACAAATTTAGAGACTACCACCCCCAACCACCTCAGACTTACTAATGGAAGGGAGGTATGTCCTGCTGTGATTCTGAGGGATCACACAGTATTGGTTCTACTTACACACACAAACATTTGCAGTCTAAAAGCAACTGGGAACCTATCTCAGTACCAGGAAAAATATACCTCAGAAGGTATATTCACATTTTGCTCCATAACTTTTTTCTAGGAGGGCTAGAGGCTTCCCTTTAAAAAGACAGAGAAAACGGGGAGACCTGCCCAAGAGCCACGGTGGGAAAGCCTTTTGTGACCCCTGCACAAGAGCAAATTACTGTGATATTCTTCCCCAGCCCCTCCAGGACTCACTCGTTTCTGGCTGCAGCCCACGATGAAGAAGGTGTCGATGTTGTGCTCCTTAAGGTAGGCATTGCGCTCGCCCCCGTGCCCTGGCTCCACTTCGTAGTCCTCATTCAGGTACTGCAGCGTGGCTCGCGTAATGTGGATCCGCCTAGCACAGAACTTTTGTCACTCAGCCAAGTCATCTGGTGGAGCCCCCCTCTCCCACTCCCTCTGAGCCACACCTACAACTGCCATTAATATGCGCGAGAGTGGTTTGGTCTCTGTAAGTGGTTTGGTCTCTGCCCACGAAGCTGGAGAGCAAGAGGCTAGAATCATGGAACCATAGAACTGCAGAGCTGGATGGAACCCCAAGGGTCATCTAGTCCAACCCCCTGCAATGCAGGAATCTCAACTAGATCATACATGATAGATGGCCATCCAACCTCTGCTTTAAAACCTCCAATGAAGGAGAATCTCCCACCTCTCATGGGAGGTTCGATGGGCAATTGAACAGAAAGGGAAAGTAAGTGGGTAGTAAAATTAGAAGAGGTAGCAATAGGACTGCAGGGAAGACAAAAGTGGACTAAGCTGAATATCAGGGGAAAGCCTCGAAGGTGTGCCTTCAGGAACTAAGGCGGGAACAGGGAACAGCATGGCTGAAAGCCACAGAGACAGGACTGGGGGAGGCAATGACAGATGGCTTTTCATGGGTGCAAGAAGGGGAGATGAGAAGGGAGATAGTTGGGGTCAAGAGTGTTGTGTTGAATGAAGGGACTAGAAGTGTGAAGAGGCTGCAGGTGGCAACTGGGAAAAGCCATTGGAGAAGCTTCAAGGGAAGAGATCTTTGGTCACCTTCACCACACCTGGCCCATGCAGTAGTGGAGAAACTCCAGCCCACGGGCCCTCCTTTGTGGCCTGCAAGGCCACTTCAAGCAGTGGAGACAGGGCTTTGCAAGAGTGCCAGGGATAAGCCGATGGCAGTGACTTTGCCTACAAGGATTGACTCCAAACCAAGAGGGCCAAATTGGGCCACTTGCTATCAGGTGCTTGTCAGGGTGGTCCACCCCACCCACCTGTCAAGCTTGGCCTGCAAGCTTAGATCCAGTTCCAGTTCCCCACCATTGGGTCAAGACCATGACCACCAAAGCTAGAGAGCCTGGTTTTGCTCATGCCACCAGCAAGCTGAAGTCCTGGCCAAACCAAGCTGCTTGTTTATGCAAAACTATGGGGCCTCTCCTGGCAGAGAGGTGGGCAGAGCCATGTGGAGGTGGCTGAGGTGGTCAGACAACGTTGCCCCAGCAAAAATGCATCTTTGTGGCAGCGAGACAATGGCTGCTGTTTAAAAATAAACCCTTGCCCCATTTTTTGGATAACAGCAACCCCCACTTCCAAGCATCAAGGATAGGGCAGGGCCTTTGGGACAGGGAAGGTGGCGCCTATTGGACAGTGCTTGTGACATCCGCCAAGGGGGAGCTCACAAATTCTCCTCCAGCCTACCCACAAATACATGTACAAGCTGTTCACCTCCACATGATCTGTCTCAGGCAACAGACACAACCCTACAGTTCCAGCTATCAACTCATTCCTCTTTATGGTGCCACGTCTTAGTAATTCCACCAACCCAACTTTCCCCTCCTTTTACTCCAAAGACAGAGACTTTGTGGCTCTCCAGCCACAAGTTCTAGGACTCCCTACTGCTATCATACCTGACCACTGGCCCTCACTGCCCCTGCCTTTCTTCAGGCCTATGGAGACTGGACTTACCCAGCTTTGCCACCAGCCTCCATGTGGTTGGCCAGGGTGACATCATTGGACCAGACGTCAAACTGCCACTTGCGTAGGCCCAGCACTCCGCAATGTACACGCCCACTGTGGATCCCGACACGCATGTTGACATTCACCCCCGTCACCTCACGCACCAGCCTGAAAAGCAGGAGGAAAGGAAGTGTCAAAGCACCCCTCCCCTTCTTCATACACCCATGAATTCACTCGTGTGAAGTAAGAAACGCAGTCTGTGTCATGCTTACAGGGGAAGACTGATTACAATACCATCAACAAAGTGTCATATTCATGCAGGGTACAAGAAAACAGGCCACTGCCCTTAAGGGTGACGACTGATGTTAAAATGGGCAATGAAACTTCCTGCAAGCAAGTTGCCAGGGTGGGGATGGAGGTACGAGAACGAAATAATCTAAGATCAATAGACAAGCTTTGGCTATACGTTATTATTATCATTATTATTATTAATAATAATAATAATTTGTACCCCGCCCATCTGGCTGGGTTTCCCCAGCCACTCTGGGCGGCTTCCAACAAAGATTAAAAATACATTAAAATGTCACACATTAAAAACTTCCCTAAACAGGGCTGCCTTCAGATGTCTTCTAAATGTCAGGTAGTTGTTGTTCTCTTTGACATCTGGTGGGGGGGGGCGTTCCACAGGGCGGATGCCACTACCGAGAAGGCCCTCTGCCTGATTCCCTGTAGCTTTGCTTCTCGCAGTGAGGGAACCGCCAGAAGGCCCTCGGTGCTGGACCTCAGTGTCTGGGCAGAGCGATGGGGGTGGAGACGCTCCTTCAGGTCTACTGGGCCTTTGAGGCCGTTTAGGGCTTTAAAGGTAGGCACCAAGACTTTGATGTATGGAATATATGGCATATGGAGCCTCAAGCACCTGTAGATTAATTTGTCACCATACCCAAAGCACATCTTTAGACCCTTTTATCAGTGGTTTTGTGTTGGTCAAGTTAAGATTTACCTGTAAAGAAGACTTTGTATGCTTCTTTTTATTTTCTGTGTTTTTGTTCAGATTAGTTTTTTTTGTGTGTGTGTGGGGTAATGTGTCTACACATACATATAGCAACTACTTGGGACTGGAGTGAGCCCTCACAGAAGTGGGACACCATGATAAACCACTGGGTTGTATTCAATGATGCAATTCTGCTTGTGCAACAGACTTCCTGCTCCAGAGGGTTGAGGGACCAAAAGGCATCTTGCTGCTTTGACACCAGCTGCCGCTTTTGGACGGTGCAGTGTGGGGCACAGAATACAGCCACCCGTGACTTCCGATGCAAGGACAAAGCTGGTGGCATTGCTGGCTTTTATCACGCACCTCTTCACCTCACAGATGCTTCTGTCTTACAAAAAATGGGCCTATAGATAAAGCATTTCGATTCCCTGGAAGGGGCTCCAGTTTCACAGCTGTCCATCGATAACCCCATGGGGTTCTCCTTTCTCATTTCCTTCAGTGACACTGCACAAGCGCGCAGGGCTTGGCACAGAGAACTGACACCCTGAGAGGACTTTGGCTTTTATGGGGGGTGGGGGTGTTGCAAAAAGGAAGTTTCTAGACCATATGGCTGTAAAGATAATCCTGACTTTACATAGGCAATGCCTGGTGAATTATGAAGATTCTGAGGACGAGGAGGAGGGGTGCTGAGGAATGGCCAGGAAGCAAAGGGAGGGCAAGGCACCTCCCTCCCTACTGCCAGCCAAAGCAACACTAAGAACATTATGGGAGAATAACAGAAGCTTCCCCAACATGTATGATTTATTCAGTTCCACAATTTTGCATTTCAAGGAACTGAGATTAGATATTTCTGCTTCATAGCCCTGGTGATGCTATCTCATATAAGCTATTACCAAGCCAGGATCCAACTTGCTGCAAGTGTGAAAGAGATACTAAGTTTTTTAAACCATTCAGTGATCTGTATAAATGCAGAAGTAACGAATTTGGCTTTCTGTACTGTGACCTGCGATAAAGAAGGATGTTGCCACCTGTATGTTGTGCGTCAAGCATATGCGCAAACTGCCACAGTCATGGCTGGTGTATCTCACACATTGTAAGCTGATTCAGATATCCTGATAAAACACGGCTTATCATGATGGGAACAGGCTGCACCTGTGAGGATCACACAATCTCCATTCCTCCTCCAGAGTGGCCATGAGGGGGTGACTGGAAGATTTGGCAAGCTTGTTATTAACAAGCTTGACATTCCATCCAAACCTGGCAATTCATTTTAACCAGAGTTTATCTGAAATAAGCTGTGGGTTAAACCACAGAGCCTAGGGCTTGCCGATCAGAAGGTCGGTGGTTTGAATCCCCGCGACGGGGTGAGTTCCCGTTGCTTGGTCCCTGCTGCTGCCAACCTCACAGTTCAAAAGCATGTCAAAGTGCAAGTAGATAAATAGGTACCGCTCTGGCGGGAAGGTAAATGGCATTTCCGTGCGCTGCTCTGGTTCACCAGAAGCGGCTTAGTCATGCTGGCCACATGACCCGAAAGCTGTACGCTGTATTAGTCTTTAAAAAGTGCCCCAAAGATCGCTGTGACAGGCTAAAAAGGTTACCTTTCTGGAAACTGTCACAAGGAACATGTTACATGCATATGGCGAGGCACTGACTATCCCAAGGAACGCATGCAGCCCTCGCAAACCAAACTGCTTCCCCCTCTCACACTCACGAAATGGCCTCGATCATGTCAACGCCCATCTCCACGCAGCAATGGGCATGGTCTGCCCGCGGTTCTGGAAGTCCAGAGACACAGTAGTAGCAGTCCCCCAAGATCTTGATGCGGAGGCAATGATTCTCCTGCCAAAGGGAGGAGGAGGAGGAAGTCAGAAATACCACCACCCCAAACTCCAACATGCCCCTTCCAAGCACATCTCACCTCAGTTCATTTTGAATTTGAATTTTTTATTGGAATTTTATTTATTATTATTAACACAAACCCCCAATACACAAATCCACCCTCATTTAACATGAACATAACATACAGTGAGCATAACACTGTGGATATTTAAGTTATAATTAGAAAAATCTTAATAATTATTCATAAAGGAAGCAGTTTATAAGAAGTAAATAAGGAGGCCAGAATCAGGATAAAGGAAGTCTTTTATTTGGTTGTTTGTATTGTTGTATGTTATGATCTCACCTCAGTTCAATACCTCTGCCCCTGTGCTACAAAAAGACCCTCCAGCAGCCAAAAACTGTACTTCTATAGGGGAAGTAAACTTATAAGAATAAACAGAGTGCTGTGGGATGTGCCTTAAAGGGTCTTGCTTTGTCCACAAACATAGGGAAGGAGGTGGTACCGGAACATTTATGGGGATTTCTTAACACGGCACCTGTGTTTGCTGCAGGCACACCTGTAATAAGTACAAAGCTCAAGGGAGGTGTGCATGCTTAAAACATGCAGACATTTGCAAGAACCCCGACTGGGCCATATTCCTCCAATGAGCACAGGCAGACCATCATTCCCACACAGGTCAGCTGTTCCACTGGCTGATCCTGCTAGACACACTTACCGCAGCCAGCTTGTCAAAACGGGCAAACAGCTCGTTCAGTGTCATGACCAGTTCCTGCGCTGTGCACTGGGACGCCAGGCTAGTGAAACCCTCAATGTCAGCAAACAGAATGCTGTTGGGGTAAGAAGAGACAGGAAATGAGCATAGGAACTTGCAAGGAGCTAACAGCCTGGGGGGTCTCTGTCTTATCTGGCTTAATAAACCCACCCAGAACCCAGCCAACATTTTCTCTCCTCGAGCACCCAGCGACCCACCCGCTCACGTCTTGTCGAAAAGCAAGTGCCCTGCAGTTTAAGTTTTCCATGTTTACAGTAGAACGGCCTTTGCTTCACTGACGTCCTTGCCACTCCTAGGCCTCGGTCACTCCCAGGCATGGGTGCACACATGCAAACACACACCCCATATCCCAATAGCTTGGTACCTGACATTGTCATGTTTCTGGATGTAGATCTTGTGGAACATCATGTCCTCCTTCTTGGTGTTGATGTCCTCCTTCATCTCCATGGCAACATGCTGGGGCAGCACTGATAGCAAGAGCCGCTCCTGCCCACCACCCCAGAGAGAAAGCCACATAAATACTCCCCTCAGAGCAAGAATGTTGACACAACACACCGAAGTTAAAGGCACCAGTTACAGCCTAGTCACAGATAATCCTCCCTTCTCTTCCAACCTTAACATTCCTTCTGTCCCAATTCACAATCCCCCCAACACTGCCAGACTCTCAAAATTCTGGCATCTTCTCGTCCCCAAGCAGCCTAATGCCAGCCACACAAGATCAGGAACTGAATGGCCAAGCTGGCCCTTTAACTGGCAGTCCTGCCCACCACAACTCCCGTTCAAGGCTGCAGCCCAACCCTGGCCCCCCACAATGGCTCCTCACCTGCTGGCGGTTTTCACGTTGCAGGTGTAGCCGTGCCTGAATGTAGCCCCGGGTCTCTTGGAAGGCCTGGCGCTGCGACACCTCAGCCGGGTAGTGGGTGCAGATGCCAATGACGTTGGTACACAGGAATATCAAAATGTTGGCTCCAAGCTGCAAGCAAGAGAGGGACCCAAGTGAAACACATACTGGAGCAGGGAAAGAAGTTACCTGCTTCAAGCAGTTTTCTTTCCCAGCAAGCTTTCAGCAGGAAACCTAGACCTACTAAAAAGCCCATTCATCTTCAACTCCAGTTCCTGACGTTTGTGAGGTGGACCACCTTCCCTCCACCTGAGGTGCCATTACCCTCTGCTCCCTTCCCTAAAGAATGAATTGGGAGCTTTTTGCAAGCCAAGGAGACCCTCTTGGCCCATAATGGAGTCTCATCCTCCATTGCTGCCAGGATACAAAAGGGGTCCCAATACTGTGCCTTCGGGAGACAGAGGGTGGGAAGAAAAACAAGCAAAACACAGTTCCCTAGGGTTTAAGGCAGGGCTAGGGAACCGAATCTGACCACTGGGCCAAACTCTTACACCCCTCACAGTCAGTGCTTGTGCGGCACTTTGAAATGACCTTTTGGATATTAGACCATTGGCTGACTGTCTGTTCCTAGAAGCCCATTTTAGAGCACCATTTTGTCCAGCACTTTGCAGGCACTGTTGATCAGCTGACCAGCAATACCTGCTAATCCCCTTTTGGCGGAGCCAGGTGTTCACCTGCCTCACACCTGACAGGTGGCTGCTGCTGGGGGAGGTAATAGGCAGCAGCAACAGCCCCTTGGCCTTTCCACTCTGTTGCAGGAGCGCTGTGGGAGCTGCATAGCCTGGCCTGCCTAAGCTGAGCCTGCTCTTCTGTTGCCATAACTGAAGGAAGATTAATCTAACAGCCTGCTTGGTTTCTGTTATGTGCAACAGGGAGGCACGGTCCTGTTTTTTGCCTCAGGCAATGACACATCTTGGGCCTGCCCTGCCTCCAGGACTCACCTGCCGCTGAGCTAAGGTGCTGCAGAGAACTGGGATGGTGCTGTGGATAAAAGGGTGAGTTGCAGGCCAGGAAGTTGCCAGCTGAAATCTCACTTCAGCTCTTTAACTTGATATCATTTAATTAATTAATGTTTTCTAGGTACTGCACAAATATTAAGAAAACACCCTAGCCTCTCCCCACCAGCTTACAGTCCAGCTGACATGATGGAGAAAGGGACTGGGAGGGAATGGGCAAACAAGCTGACAGAGGCACAGATTTATTCAGAAAAGTTGAGGGCATGGTCCATGGGCACAAGATGCAGCCGCCACGTTGAAGCCAAGCAGGCCTGGTTGGGAGTGTGTTTTATCATGTATTTTATGTTTTGCTAGAAACTTCCCAGAGTGGCTAGATCAGCCCAGTCAGATGGGTGGATGATGATGATGATGATTAGCTCCACAGGCCATCCCCAGCTCCTCCAGTTAACAGATCTCTAGTTGGTCTTGGAATTTGGAAGGCCTAAGATTAGGTGACAGGGCTGGGAAAGACCTCCGCTTGAAATCTTTGTGCAATTACTGCCATACCGAGTAGGTATGAAAAAGAAATTGTCAGACTTGGTCTATGGCCGATGTCTATTCTCAGGGCGACAAGCCCAATTAGAGACATTTCAACTGATTCATTAGCTGAAACTCTTATTTGATTAACCTATTAATTAAGTTTGTGTGATCAATTATGTCTGCATGCACATTTGCAAACAGTGGCATTAAGGGGGAAACAATGTTTCTGAAGCAAGATGCATTTTTTTGGTAGATAACAAAGCAAGCGCTATTTTAGAAGAGGCATTTCCTTGAGTGTGCACACATGGTTATGGACGGGAGAGACAACGACTCTTCTTTAACAAACATAAGAAACACAGAAAGCTGCCTTATAATAACAGGAAAGACTATTTATCAATTGAGCCCAATAATGCCTACTCAGAGTGGCAGCATTTTTCCATGAAAAATGGAGATGCCAAAGATTAAACCTGGAACCTTCTGCCTGCAAAGCCTGTGACCACTCCTACCATCTATTGCACTTCTCACCTGCATTTTTTGGTAAGAAGCTACATTAATATACAATATGAAATACAACTTTAAAATCTGCTGCCTTGTTAATCAGTGGCACTTTTGCACGCATACACACACACACACACACGTAGCTGCACCTGCTGTCCCTTGGTCACTCTGGACTTTCTTTGTAGCTCATGCTCTCTCGCCATGCAATGTTTGTCACAGTGACAGGTACTCAGTATCCTTGTAAGCTTCCTGGGCAGCTTGGGTGAATTCGTTCTTACTCTAACGCAGTCAATAGGCGACGCCAATCTGTAATCTTCCCTAAGCCATTGAGATAGCATGGGGGGAATCTAAATAATATATATGTAAATAATGCACAAGCTAAGGCTTCTTCCCTGGTCACCTAATAGTGCCATGATAACTGGAAACAGGATCCTAACACATCTGTTTGGGGGTCAGCTGTGGGAGGAGGCAGGTCAAACCTCCACTCTATAAATGCTGGAACGCTCACAGGTAAAGGTGTGCTTATTACTGCAGGGCACTGATGGTAGGTTCTAGGGATGCTGTCAGCATGGTGAGTCTTGGAGCACAAACGTCAACGGCTCTTTCCCACAATGCCACTACGGTCACCAAGGTCAACCAATCCTCAAGGACCACCTCTCCCCATGTGAAGTGACCCGGACCCTGCGATCATCATCTGTGCCTCCTCTGTGAGAGGTCTGGAGGGCAGCAACACGAGAATAGGCCTTTTCTGCTCTGGCTCCTCGCCTGTAAAATGCTTTCCCCTTGGCTGCGTTGTTGTTGGTTTTTCCCCTGTATTTTTGTTGGAAGTCACCCAGGGTGGCTGGGGCAACCCAGTCAGATGTGGGGGGTATAAGAAATGTATTAGTATTATTATTAATCTTTAGGCACCGGCAAAGCATCCCTCCCAGGCTTTTGGCTAATAAACAATCCATGGGCTTTTAAACTGTGGGGGGAGCATTGTATTTTTGTGTTTTTATATTGTAAACTTTGGTTTCTGATCTTTGTATGAAGGGTGGTATGGACTTGTAATAAATAATAATAATAAATCCTGACCAGAGTTTTGAAAGGTAGCAAAAATGAATGCCCACTAGGATGTCACCAACTTATGGCAGACAGTGACTGGGCCACTTATAGACACCTCCAGACTCCAAGCTAACTCCCCAATTGCTGCCAGCACTGGATAGTTGAGGGTTAACTCTAATTTAGTTTACGAGTTGAAGATACAGCAATAATTCCAAGCATCATAGGGGAGCTATTTGTGTGTGTGTGTGCGTGTGTGTTTTAAAACAACCAGAAATCCACAGCAACCCAAAGCTTAAAAGTAGCTACTTCTTTCCTCCTGCACAGAAAAGGCTGATGTGAGCAGCTGTATCCTTGATCCTTTTTTGGAAAGGAGCACTGGAAGGCTGAACCGAGGAGGAAGGGGAACCAAATGGAGGCGTGGATGAAACCCAAGCAGGCCGTGAGGTTACACTAACAGGAGAAGCAGCTGCAAACTGACCACCACATTTGCCTCTCCGTCGCCAGTGGCAGTGCTCACCAATCTGATAACTTTGCAGACGCAGATCCTTCTAGTTATTCCCAGAAGAGAAACGCTGAAAGTTGGACTAAACAAAGCTAACAGACAGTGCAAGAACAGGAGAGATCTGGGGAGCAGTGGGGGAGAAACAACCAGTGAACTTGCGGATTTGAGTGTTTTAAAGACCCTTTTCTAAAACCATGTCAATAAAGGGGCACAGATATAAATCATTGAGGGAGCCTGCAAGCTGCCAGATCATTATTCTATGTAGGCCACCCTCTTGTGGCCTCTTTCCTTTCCTCCCATTTTCTCCTCTCCACACACAAACATTACACATTTTAGAATTATGCCTCATTGCCGCTGTAGTGTTCAACATCACAATTTTAATGACCCGTGTTTAAGAGGTATGTTACGTAGTAGTTCAAAAACCTAATTGCAATGCAATTATGTAAGTTTTAGACACATTGAATTTGACGGATTTCAAAAGGATAAAAATACAAAAGAAATGGGTAAATTATGCTGCTCCTTCCTAGGGCCAAAGAAATAGAAGCACAAAAAGAGGTGATGGAACTGACTATTAACATTATGGTTAGCTGAACTTCTGCATTTACCAGCTGAATAAATGTGGACATTTAAATTACACCTTTGCCTTCATCTCTGCAGAAAACAGAGCACCAGGGAAGTAAATTCAAGGCTTGGAATGTAAGCATATAAAAACAGCTTTATCCAGCCTAATGTCCACCAGATGTTTTAAAACTACAGCTCCCACAAGCCCCAGCCAGCATGACCAATAGCAAGGGATGGTGGTAGTCTACAACATCTGGAAGGTACCAAGTTGGAGAAGGCTGATAAAAAGGTCACCATAAATCTGGATGCTACACAGCACTGACTCTGTAGCACTAATGATACAGTGATGACATCAGCTAGAGATGCTTAGGAGTAATGTGTACATATGGTTCTCTGTGGAGTGCAGACCATAATTAGCACATCACTCTCTAAGGTACAAAATAGGTAAGACTTTGTCTTTCATGGCACTGATTTATAATATGCAACTGTGGGACAGCAGAGAACTCTTCATCATACAAATTGTTCTAATTCACTTTCAAATGCCTGATTTCCTAATTCATTCAGAGAAAAGGGGCAACCAAAATTATCAAGAGCTGAAGCAACTCCTGTATGAGAAAAACGAACAGCACACCAGACTTGTTAGCTTAGGGGATTAAAAAAAAGGCACGTAAGGCCAGGGAAGGGCAAGGAGAGACCACCAGACAGGTATATAAAATTATGCAGGTGGGAAGAAAGAGGGCAGCGGTTTTTCTCTCATTGTCCTCGAGCCACAAGGTCATCCAATGGTTGCTGGGAGATTCAGGACAGACAAGGCAGAAACCTTCTTCACCCAGCGATATTTAAGCTATGGAAATGGCTGTCATGGCTGTGGCCACCAACTTGGATAGCTTTAAAAGGGGGTTAGATAAACTCATGATGGAAAAAGGGGCTACTAGTCGTGCAGCAACAAGAGGCAGGATACTGAGGAGTCCAAGTGGGCAGCTTAAAACTGCCCCAAAATATCCAACCATCCCACCACAAAGAACATTCCTGTGTTAAGCAGAGGATCCTGTGGACGTGCCATCAGATTCTGTGCTGGGAAAAGATGTTCAGTGCTAGTTCTGGCCAAACAAGATTCCCAGGCGTTCCTCTGTCACCACCAAGCAATGAAAAGCGGGCAAGAACCAAGCAGATACGGGGCAGAAGCAAAACGAAGTTTTCACACACAAGGCTTTAGCACCAACAGCCAAGCTTACCATGTTATTTGGGGAACTCAGGAAACGAAATATCCCAATCACCCACTTCCAGAAACTGGGCCAATCCCACAGCATGGGGAGGAGCCACAGGCAGGCTCCTCCCATACTACCCAAAGCTGCTCCTACCAGCTTAGGAAGGGGCCACAGATTCATGGTTCCCACGCAGCTCAACAGGAGAAGGAGGCTGCAGGCCACTTGACTGCTCCCCCAACAAAAGCCTGAAGCAATTACCATACGAGTCCCCGACTTGGCAGCCTTTTTGTTTCACACCCAAGGCCTCTGCCCAATTAGCGTACGGTTTCAAGTGTGCCTTTCCTCACAGCTTCCAAGGCTTTTCTTTGTCCTCAAGGGACTCATTAACCCCAGGCCTCCTCTGCCCTCACTCCTTCCCCCTTACCTGCTTCCAAAGGAAGGAGTCCGCCCTGTTCTGGTGCCAGGAGATTACCAGGTGCAGCACAGAGAGCAAGGCTCCAGCCAGGACCGCCACCCGCATGCGGACGGGCAGGAGGGTGTAGATGATGTAGATGAAGAAGACGCTCCACCAGACGCCCTCGGAGGCACTGCGTGGCGAGACCAGGAGAGTGCCCAGAGCCTGCACCCCGCACAACGCCCCAATGACCAGGTAGCTCACGGCCCACATGCAGTCCTGGTGGAAGCCAGTCCGGTTGCAGAGGACCATGAGCGAGAGGAACAGGGCGGCCGCCACGGCCAGGGCAGCGGCATAGGGCACGCGGGGGGTGCCAGGCACGCAGTGGAACAGCAGCATGATGCCGCAAGCCAGCACCAAGACTCCCATGAGCACCGTCAACGAACTCTGGTTCATCTGGAAGAAGTAGCGCTGGTAGAGCCGCTCCAGCTTGGCCGAACGGAAGCGCTTGGAGCGGAACACTTGCAGCAGGCGCCGGCCGCAGTCGCTGGCCGAAAGCCCCTTGGCCTCTCCGCCCCCGTCCTCGAAGCCCAGGTCCACGGCTTTGAGTCCCAGGTCCCCAGTGCCAGGCGGGGGTGGCGGCGGCGCCTTCTTGCCATAGTGGTCCTCCTGCCACGAACAGTTCAGGCCCAGTCCCCCGCTGCCTCCGCGCTCCAGCTCCGGGTCCTGCAGGCAACTCATGTAGCGAGGGCCACAGAGCGCTGGGCGGTGGCGCTTGGGCCCATTGCGCTCCCCCCAAGCAGTCTTCCGCTCGTCCACTTTGGGCACCAGGATGCCGCTAAACCAGGACATACTGTGGGGGAAGGGCATTAGAAGTAAGAACAGGCAGAGCAAGGGAGAAAGTCAGCTGGGCTTGCCTCTCTGAGAGGACCAACCCCACATCGTTCCCCACACAGCCCAGTAAGGGGAGCAGTTCCTGCCATGGGTCCCTACAACCTAGAAGGAGGTGCTTTCTTTCCTTGCCGGATACAAAGCAAGGACAAGGGAAGAATGAAATCCTGATCATTAGCAGACCACTGGGCAAGGAGGGCTCCACCAGTTCCTGGGCAAAGCTATTCCCCTCTCTACGGGAGGCGGGGCCACAGAGGCAAAGCACACAGGGCACTGGGACGTCTCAGTTTAGGTAACAAGGATGGCGGCCAACAAATAGGATGCTCTTCAAGCAGGGCAGCAGGATCAGCGCCAGGGGACGAGGTAAGGCTTGTGTGGCAAGATACATAAACCAGAGGTGCCTAACGTGGAGAGGTGGGACAGGGGAAGCAGAGCATCCACATTCTGGAAAAGAGAATCTTGAGAGCCTGCAGAGGGAGGGTTCAGATTTATTAGGGGTCGGTGCCAATGCATCAGAGGCTGCCCTCTCTGCCTTGGGGAGATTCAATACCTGGAAGGCCGCTGGGAACTGGACACGAGGAGGCGACATGGATCCCCGTAGGGAAGGCAAAGAAGCAGCAGTGAGGGGCGTCTCTTATTTCCTCTTCAGCATTGAGCGGCAACCTGTTCATAGAAAAGAAAGCTGTCAAGCTTGTTGTTCATCCTCGATGCTCTTCCAAGGCTGAAGCCCCCACTGCATCCCGTTCTCCTGCTCTCTGGAACTGGAGACTGGATATTTCTCTACTTGCCAATCTGTGGTTACCTTCACACATTCTCTTTTGCCCTCAAGTTCTATTACAGACACTTCCCCTGAGATGCAACTAGATTCCCACCAGGGTATGATCCCACCCCCCGTGCATACTTTATGCTGAGTGATGCAAAGAGGATATCTATCCCTTATTCCCCTTCCAACACGGATGACAGTATGAGCGCGATGCTCTAACTAACAGCACACAAACACAAGTAAATACATTAACTGCTTTGAGTCAAAAGGACAGCTCAAAGAAGTCGCTTTGTAACCTCAGGTTGCGTGGCGCTGACAGAGGAGCACTTGCAGGTACTTTGGTCACTGAACCATCTGCTGCTGATACTGGGAATCAGAAATATGTGCATGTTCCCCGCCCCCCCAGACCTGCACAAAAAGCAGCTAACAGAGTCTCTGGGGTGGCTTGCTTGAATTTAGCATCCCCGGTGCAGCAAAGTGGAGGACAGGCAGCAACAGTTGTCCTACCAAGGTCAGCTCCAACAAAAGAACAGTGATCAATATGCTAATCTCTCTTTCCTTCTTTAAAAAAGCCAGCTCCTAACATTCCAACCCACTCCAGGACTAAGGGGGGAAAAAACCCAAAAGGATGGTGTTATGCGGATTAGGAGGGGTTTGTTGCAGAAGGGAAAACCTGCTTGATTCTTAATCCCCAAGATCAAGGAAGGGAGCAGGGAATGGGATTAGCCCCACCCCAACAGTGTGCTTGCACACTTTCCCTACTTCCCACAGGAGAGAGGACGCCTGTAAGTAATTCCTTCAGAGAGAAAGTGAAAGCGCTGCACCTGGAGAATTAGTGGCTGCCTGAAGCAAAATCTCCCTGTGCATTGCTCTCACCAACAGAGATCCCATGGGGAGGGGGTGCTATACACAGGTCCCCTCTCTATACACATCCTGCCCATTGCAACAATAAGGGGACAGAGGGGGCCTTACAGAATGCTGTTGGAGGGGGTCGGGTGGAGCAAAGGCCAGCCTCCCTGTTTAACTGGCAGGTTGAGAAGGCATGTGGCATGTTGGTGGCAAGGCGACTGTGCCCTGCCCCCCCCTCTCCCCTGAAGTGGGAAGAGTCTTCTGCGAGTGTCAGCCTGGCAGCAAAACCAGGTTCCTAACATTTCATCACACTCTTAAGGGTGCCCAAGAAACAGAAGCAAAGGTGGAGTTATGCAAATGAAGGGACTGAATTATTCAGAGACATCTCAAGGCAACACCACACTCCTTGGCTGTCACTAGAGGCAAAGGGAGAGGACCGAGAGAGTGTTCACACGCACAGCAACCCACCAATCTCCACCAAAGCCCTTGCAAAACACAAGTCCTTTTCCCACACTGCCCATCAAAATGGTATCTCTGCACAGCGAATACACACACACACAGGAAATGCATAGAAAAGTTTAAAACGTACAGTGAACACAGCCTACGATATGCAGCCTTCCTTATGCAGTCCAGAAAACTCCAGAAGTTCAGATCCGACCCCACTGGTCTCCAACACTTGCTGGCTCACCTGATCCACGCATCAAAGATCCAGAACACAAGGTGAAAGGAACTATATGGGCACAGCTCAGTCCAAACTCAGTTTACTTGTCTGCTATTTCCAGCTCGCCATTCTGCTGCTCTCTCAGCATTGTGCCCTTCCTCTTCTCCAAACGGTGTGGAGTTTTGCCCAGGGTGCAACAGGAGAGATTTCAGAGGCCAGGGAAAGTTTGGGGCAGGAGGGGCAGCGGTGCTAGTTTCTGGCAGCTGGGTCCTTCCTCTGGCTTAGCTCGCCCATTCACTGCAAAACCAAAGTGGAATAGTTTTCCCCTTTCAAACTCTATTTGTCTTGAGTGCCAGCCAAACCAGGGCTTGTTTTAGCTCCAGCCCCTTCGGAGAGCGATTCCAGTGCCCTCCCACACTGTTCTTATCTGCATCCATCCAGGGAGATGGCGTCAACGTCATGACATCATTGCCCTTTACTGTAGGAACACACAGGCAGGCTTCAGAAGCTGGACCCTTCTTCCCCTCCCCTCCAATCCCCACACAACACACACACCAGGAATGGCTTCACACACGCCAGCAGCACTCTGACGCAGCCTCCTGGCTGTGGGAAGCAACAGCCAACAGCACATGAGGACAGCTTTGTGGCAAGCGGAGGAGGTCAAGGGGTGCAGGACATAACCCATCCAGGGAGAAGCCGGGCTGAAAGAAAACTCAGGCATGCGGGGAGGGGGGAGGACTTTGGCTTAATAGCAAGGTTTATTACAGCTCAGCTCCCCCAGCATGGATTTCCCCCCTCCCTGCAAAAAACCCCCACATTCGTAAGTGATGCAATAATGAAGCATAACAAAGTGATACAACAGCAACAGCATCTTCCTCCTTGGTTCAGCTTTGCATCTTAGGAAGAACACATGCTCCCTCCCATAGTCACTTTTACCCTACTCCCTGCAGCCCAACACCCCCCACTCAAGAGCCTGTTCCCTATAGCACAGCACCCTCTGCCTTGCACCAGGTTATAGGTCAACTTCCTTTCCCTTTCCATCCCCTTCCCCAGGTCCTACTAAGGGGCTTGGGAGAGGTGTTCCAAAGTTCAATGGGAAAAGAGCCTAGGGCCCCACAGAGACTCTCTGCCCAGAGACCCCCTTCCCTCTGCCTGCTTTAAAGGGGAGACACGGCAAAAGAATAAGCAAGTCCACAGCTCACAATACAGAGGCTTTAGGGGAAGCCCACCTGCTCCTCCTCCAGGTATGTAACCTGACCAGGCTGAGAAGCTAAGCTGCCCAGGCCAGCCCACATTCGGGAGCCAACCAATCCCTGCAGAGGGATCCCAGAAAACCAATCCTGGGGGAAGCAGAAATGGGGGGGGGGGGAGTCCTACCGCGTTCAGTTCACACAAGGAAGGTGAAATCTTTCAACTCTGGGAGTTGCATTATCATTAGCCTTTTCTCCTGCGCTCTCCAGGCACCTTATTCTCTCCCCACTTAATTCAATAGCCAATTGGCCCCCCCAAGGGCCCCGCATCGGCCCGCCGCTGTGCGCACCTGTCCCCACGCCCCTTCCCCCCCGCGCCCGGCTGCATTCCCCGCAGTCGCCGCGGATCTCTGGGCCCAAAGAGCGCCCCCAGCCGACGCGCTTGGACCCAAACTCGTCCCCTCTCCTCCCGTGCGCCAAGTCGCCGTGGGGACGGCCTAACTGCTCCCACCCCTTTCTGTTCGTTGCGCTGCCATCCCTCTCGGGACCACCTCCCCAGCTAGCTTCTCCCCGCCGCACCCCCGCCAGGCCCGGCCTTTCTGGACGCGGCGGTTCCCAGAGCCAGCCTCCCAGCGCCCCGCCGCCGCCGCCCGGCTCCATGCGTCCTCCGGGGCGCAAAGCGTATTTCCCCCTCGGAGAGATCTTCCGTGCTCCCTGCGCTCTCCGGCTTGCTCCCGTTCACCACCACCTCCGCCACTACCACTCACCTCCGGGTGCTGGGCCGCCTCTGGGCACGGCAGGGCCCTCCTCTCCGGCGGGCGGGGGGGTGTAGCAAGCAGCGATCTCTGGCAAGCAGATCCTTCTGCAGCCCCTCGCTATCTGTTTACACCATGCGCCCCCCTCTCCGTTTTCGCCTCCTCTCCATTCCTGCCCGCCCGCCCGCTCTGGGCCCGTCCCCTCCTCCCCGCGTTGTCCAGAGTAAACGCCCTCTAGCCCGGATCCACAAGGCTCGCCCCGCTCCGTGCGCTCCTGACCGGGATCGCCAAGCAGGAGGCCTTAAAGGCACAAGGTCCCTTTTGTCGCCTTCCCTTCGCCTGTTGCGCGGGGATGCGGGGGCAGTTTGCGCGGGGTGCGGGGGAAGCAGAGATGCCGAGGGAGAGAGGAGCTGTGATTCCAGGCAGCGAGGGCGCCTGGCAACGCGAGGCGGCGGAGGCTGCCCAAAGCAGGGGCACCTGCTGCAAGCAGGCAGAGCGGCAGCTGGGCCCAGTGGTGCAACCCGCCTCTCCCCACGCTGCGGTAGATGGATTCGCTCGGCTCACACGCGTGCCCGCCGGGAGATACACGCAACACCTACCGCCCGTGGGTGGCGACAGTCCTCGGTGTCCTAAAGCACAACTCTTGGCTACAAGGGTCTCTGAGGCTCTCCTTCGTACGCACATTCCCCCCACCCCAGCATAAAAAAATCCCCCAATCCCAGGACACTAGTGGATCCCAAACTATTGTCGCCTAGAGGGGGAATCTTAATGCCGTTTGGGTTTTGCTCAGGAACCACCTGTTGCCATCTCTTAAACCAGGACAATCCCTCTCCCCTCTGCTTTTTGCTTATCCCCAACGCACAACAGGAATATCAGGCTGAAAGTCTGTGCGGACTTACCTGAGAGCCAACCCCGCTGAAAACAACGGCATTTACTTCTGAGTAGGCACGCCTCTGCCAGCCGTATAAGCGTCCACCCGTTTGGATGCCCACGGCTTCAGTCATCAGATACACTCCATCCATCAACAAGTGGCTTGTCAGCCTGTTTGCCCAACTTGGAGGCCGCTCTGCTCCGCGCCAGATCCCGATCCCAGGCAATCTCTCAGGGCTGGTTTGTGTCTCTCCCCCCCGCCCCCCCGCAAGCTTGCTAGCAGCATACAAGCAGAGGAAGGGAAATGGTTAGTGAGCAGCTTGCCCTTGGCATAGGGACAGTGCCAGGCAGAGGACAAGCCCTAAATCCTTCTGTTCGTGCCACTCCCTTAGTTTGTGCCAGCGAGGGAGAAAGGGGAAGGCAGGCCTCCCCGTGGCACAATCCTCCGAAGAGGTAAGCTTAATTGTTAATTAACCGTGAGTCCCACGGGGCCAGGGAAGTGCCCGCAGTGGCAAGGATGGCATTTTGTTAAGGGCACAGTTGAGCAGTTCTTCCAGGGCACCTGCACCCGTGCCCCTGTGCCGCTGGGTGTGTACAAAACCTCCACTCCCTCCCTGCTTTGCAGATTGGCTTGGCTACGGAATAATGCCACCAAATCTTCTTAACAAGAGTGACTTATTAAAGCGCTGTTTGGGGAGTGATTATCCCCTGCGCAAGAAGGTCTGGGCTTCCCCTGGGCCTTCTTGCTTGGCTTCTCCCCAGGCAAGGAAGAGGGGAAGGGGGTGTGAAAGGCATTAATTGATTCGGAAGCCTTTCTCCTGAATGTTCCATTGCATCATAGTTGATGGCAGGGGGATTAGGACTGGGTGTCATGTGATGGCCTTAACCCTTCCCGGACTGTAACTGGACACAGAGAGAAACAAGAGCCAGAAAATGTGGCAGAAACTCGTCACGTTCACATATCTTTGGTGCCTCTTTTCTTTTCTTTGACTGCGTACACATCACGCATTTCAAGCACTATGTCTCCTGGGAACTGTAGCTTAACCCTCACAGAGCTACAGTTCAGAGCACCCTTAGCAAACTACAGTTCCCATGATTCTTTGTGTGAAGTCATGCACTCTAAACTTGTCTTATGTACACAGCCATTGTCTTCTTCGTCATCTTCATTCTTCCTGGTGGAGCTCTAACATGGCTACTCTAAATATATGGATGCATTTTAACTCTTTTTCTAATAACCGAGTATGGAAGAAAATTCACTGGATTGTGAATTTTGCCGTGGTGTTTTCTTTGCAAGTTCCCTTTTCACCTGGCTGGTGGCAGTTATTTGGAGTCAAGCTTTCTAACTCCTGCTCCAATGAGTGTCATAGGAGAGTGTTTTCAAGCAGGGTTTTATGAAACCCTTAAGATTCATGAGCATCTGCTTACACAGGTTCTGCAAACATTATCATTGTCCCACTTCAAGGACATCACCTCCCTATTCTAAAAGTGGAGTTATCCCTGAGTAACACATGTCCCAGTATAATCTCATGATGCATCTTTTGTGCTTAATTGTTCAAAAACAGTCTTTATTTGAATTTTGAAAATGTTAAACACTACGTGCTTCCAGACAGGTTTTTGTTTTGCTTTGTTTTTTGTCACGAACAGGTAATTCTGATCTAATTTTTGTGTGTACGTGATTGGCATGCAACCATCAACACACTCCATTTTTAGTTATAGATATTTCATAGCTATTCAGCTGTTTCCCATCTTGATGGAATGCTATATTTTTTGGTTTCTCCCCTCAACTGCCCACCCCCACCTCAATGCCACCTTATCCTGTTCCGGGCCACAAGACAGCTTAAAAAAATCACAGGTAGAGGACAAGAGCAAACTTTACTTCTCGTTATCATGCTTCACTATGGGCAAAATGAGGGCTTGTGCTGTGCAGACAGATCTGGTTCCATTTTTTTTTTAATGTTCATTTAAGAGTTGTGAAAAGCTTGTATTTAGCTATACAGAAATTCTGATGCATAGGTCTTGTGCAAGACCTTGTATTATTATTTTTAAAGACCTGATGTATGTGTTGTGATTGCAATCCTCAAGGGACTCCCTCACATGAACTGAGATCTTGGGAAAACAGCTCCTCCAAACTGGGCTGTTGAAAATTTTGACGTTCCTTCAGCATGTGGTCATTGGCAGAAGTAGGTGGGGAAACTAAACTTGAAAATGTAGAATAAAATAAAATAGGGTCATGGGAAACAAAATCGCCAAGTTGTGCTCAGGTGAGGAGCAGATAGAAGCAGGAGTGTGGCAATGGGGACAGCCTACTAAAACACTTACCACGCATGTGACAAAAAGCCCCCCCCCCGCCCCCATCTGCTGGCAAGCTTCTGCTCCAGTAGTCACTGCAGGTATCTAATGGGTTATTTGTACTGAACAGCTTTTCTACAGGCGATATGGATTAAATGTAAAAAAAGAGAAAGAGAGACTTTGTGCTGCCATTTTGGTGGCAAGAACGGTCATATGGACGGTGCAAAAACCTTGCATGTGTGAACAGCAACAATTCCACAATAAACTTTCCCCTGGAAGTAATGTAAGGCTGCTACGCTATATCCATTTACTAGGGAGTAGACCCCAATGAACTCAGTGGGACTTACATCTGAGTAGATGTAACCAACTGAGCTGTAAATTTCTTATTAACAGTTGCCCTCTCACTTGGATTGGTCTCTTGGTGCCTAAGTTTTCCTTTCCAGTGGAAAGTGGGGAAGATAATGGAATTTCCCGAGCTTTAAAGAACAACTGCCCCAAAGGCCTGCTTGTGACTATTTGTGTTTGTGATTGTTCAGGGAGTCTGGAAGATCCCCAAAGCTACACAGGTTGTGGATGAATGAGCCCTTAAAGCCCAGGACTAGCAGGTGGGGGTGTGTGTGTTAAGTAAGAGATGTTTTCCACTCTAATTCTGTGCAAGTTTTGGGGAGCAATCACCGTGGCGGGAAGAGTGCTCTGCAGAGGCCGAATGTTTAGCGTCAGCCTGAGCCTGATCCTGGAATAATCCAAGCCTGCTGCAAATGATTTTTCAAATCCTGACATTAGATGATTGCATATGGCGTCAAACCTAAAATGCTTTTTGAGCATTATGCCCCACTGGTCTTGGGCTGGGTGGCAAAGATACATGCACTGAGAAGGAGAGAAGAAAGTCAGACCTGAGGGCCAAATGCAGCCTCCCTAGCTGGCCCTCGGAGCTCTCCTTAGGCTGCCATGCCCTGCTTTGCACACTGCTGGAAAACATTCTTTGAATCTGGATGTCTCTTGCTTGCCAGAGTGGAGGACAGCAACATGTTTGTCTAAGTAGAAACTGGCCTACTGTACAAGGGGGAAATTTACATTTGTTGCTCCACCTACTTTTGTCTCTGGCTCCACCCCCCCCACTGACATGTGGCCCTCAGAAGGTTGCCCAGGGGAATGTGGCCCTTGGTTCCCTGCCCCTGCTATAGATGAAGAGATGAAGCTAGTGGCGAAGCTGCATGCTCTGGCACACAGCTGGCAGGGGTGTGTGGCTGGTGTGCATCCCGGGGGCGTGGCACTTTGCCCGAGGGGTGTAGCGTGCCACTCTGTGGGGGGCGTGGCATGCATCCGGGGGGCGTGGTGCGCTGCCGCGGGGGCGTGGTATGTGTCCTGGGGGGGTGGGGCCCGGCCCAGTGCGGGGTGTGTGGCGCATGTCCCGGGAGGGCAGCTGTGATGGTACCCTCCTCCCCGATGGTGCCGGGGGGGGGGTGCGCTCCCCCGCCCCCCCATTCCTCCGCCAGTGGATGAAGCACAATGGGGAATTTAAGAGCCAGTACAGAATGCAGTGCACCAGAATGTCATAGGTAAGGCTGCAAGCCTTTGCTCAGTCACCAGGGAATTAGTTTCACTGAACTGACTGGAACTTAATTACTAACAACAACAACAACAACAACAACAACAACACCTTTATTGTCAATGTACAACCTGTGTACAATGAAATTTACCGAGCCTCCCTCCCCCCCCCCCCCAGTCTCACTGCACTCATTGCACCCTAAACACGCAGAGATCAGGCCTACCACCAAGATTTTTCCCATTGAACTTAGTGGAACTTTTTCTTAGTAAAAATATTTGTGGCTGGGATGTCAGGATGCAAACAACAAACATAAATACTGCTCCTTTTTCAGTCGATTCTATGGTGCTATACTGCAGGTTTAGCAATCTTGCAAGGGGTGGGATTGGAGGATTCTAGGCCAGTGTTTCCTAAACTTCGGATAGCTGAGGCACAAAATCTATCTGAATTGAAAAGGGAAGCACAACACTCTTAGATCTGCAAAGACTAAAAAGAAACATACTACCCCAAATAGTAACTCATGCAGAGATGCGGCAGGCAACCTCCTATGAGGGCTGGTAATTCTGGTGCATTTGTTCATCAGGTATGATTGAGTTGTTTGCATATTTCAGGGGTGGCACCTGGCACTAATAGTATGTTCAGAAGCTGAGCCCTGGCTCAAATCAAGCTTTTCATGGAGCTTAATTTGAGCTAAAATATGGCATCTGTTTTCACCATTTCAGCCAATAGCTGCTCTTGTGGGGTGGGAGGGTTTGCATCAGGGAACGGATGTGGGGGAAAGGGGAGAAAGGGTTAAACCTCTCCACTTTGCTTCCTTGATCCAAAGCTCTCTCTTCTCTCTCATGTGTACACACACAAAGAGCAGCTGTTTT